GCCGTTATTGTTGTTGCTGTTCGTGCGTTCAATGGCGCTTTGTTAATGTAACGGAAATGTAGCAGCAGCCAACGGATGTGGATATGGATGTGGGATGTGTCTGTAGATGTGCATGTGGCGCATGGTGATTGTGGTCATCTTTTATTGAAAGTTGACTTTTTGTAGCCGGTGTCGTCGCACCTGCTGCCTCATCTTGCTATTGTCAGCCACTTAGCAAAGTTTTTGGAACTTTCTCTGCTTATGAACTGCTCCGTTCTCCCTTGCCGAACATAATTGAAAATTGATATTTAAATGAAGCTTTTTTTGACGCATATTTTTTGTTTGTTTTTGTTCCTAGCGTGTAAAAAATTTGCCACTTTACAAAAATCACTTTGCAACTCTTCCCTACCCTACCCTATCTGAGCTGGTCTGGCTTCTTCGTGTACTTTGAGTGCAGGCAATGAATTTTTATGCAAATTTCATAAAACCGCCCAGCCTTGCAGTTGACAACATCAGCGGTGGCGAGGACGTTCTCCGAACTTTTTCCTCAGTCGCTGGCAATCACTTGAGGCGTCGGCCATAAATCTTTGAAAACACATCCCCTGGAAGCTCATTGTCAGTCGTCTTGTTTACCTTGTTAACTCATCCGCCTCCCCTTCGCACCACTCTTGCGTTGAAAAATACATAGCAATCACGCAGCATTTGCATAATTTGACAATTGTTTTCAAATTGCAATAACAATTTTAGCTTAATTGTTTTGCACACCATATTCTATTGCTGTCCCGCTCTGCTGTAATTCTCATTCATTTTATTAGTGCGAAAAGTTGCTCCATTTGTTTTAAAACTTTTTCAATTCAATTGCAGAATAAATATTTTACAAATAATTGCACGTCCAAAAGCAAAAAAGTTTCCATTATTTTTTTTTTGTTTTGCCTTTTTTTAATGGGCCACAATTTGCTGCTTTTAACAGAAGGCAATGAAGTTGGTCGCATATAGGGGTGTAAGGGGGAAATTGTTTCTGGCCACAGCTGCTACGCAATTAAAATGCATGACTATTGTCAATTGAAGTTGGGGAAGGTAGAGTAAGGGGCGAGGCTTCAATGGCAGAACAATTGAGTTTGTAGGGTGGTTGTTAGTGGAGTGCATTTGTTAAGCTATAAAGTCAGATTTGGTTACGCTGTGTTTGTGTTTAAGCCATCGACATTTTTACATAATCCACTCGATATTCCAACTTGTAGCAGCTGTGGCTTTCTGGCGTACAAAACCAAATCTTCAAAATACAAAATTCTTTCTAAGTCATATCGCTTGCAAGACAGCTACTTACATGAATTAGTTGCAATACTATGGCTCATATGCCTGTGCAAAGCAGTAATTACGGGAGTTATGGAGAATCAGTGATGGGGGGGGGGGGGGGGGGGAATCAAAAAAATAAAACAGACAGACGGATAGACAGACATAGATCGACTCGTCTTGACATGCTGATCAAGAATATATATAATTTGTGGGGTCTGTTTAGAATCCTTCTTCCTGTTACATTTTTCAGCTGCCGCAAACCTAATACTCTCTTGTACATTTCATGTACAGAGTGTAATAAAATAAAATATATAAAATATCGTTAGTATTTTTAGTAATCATATATAAGTATGCCATGATTTCCCTCTCAAATTTCTTCATTAATTGATATTAAGTAACAAAGCAAATGTAAATCAGATTTAATTCCAAATAATTATATTTCTGTGGTTTTATAAATACATACTTATATCGGATGTCTATCATTATATACTTGTCGCATAATGTAACATTCTAACCAGTCATGAGAGAAAACCAGTTGTGAGAAAAAAAAATCAAAGTCATGGGACGTCTTGCAAATGGCAACCACAAATTTGCATAAATACTTGTACATATGACTTGTCAACTGGCATTTCCAGACAGCGGCTTCTTCTGTCCGCTGGCGCATGCAAGTAATTAAAATGCTGCAAAATTATACATTAAATGCCTAAACTCGACAATAATGTTAAACTTGGCATCATCCGACGGCAAAACAAAGGATACCAACAGCTGCCACTGGGCTGCCAACGCACCCGACCAATGCGGAACAACGACAGCATAGCCCACAGGTAAGAAAGCAGACAGTGTGGGGTGCTTGACTAACCAAGCCAACGAGCAACTTCCTGTTTTACACAGTTTGAAGCTGCAGGCGCACATGAACGCACACTCGCACACTCGCACACACACACGAGTACTTACATACTATTGGCTGCATGGCATGCATATGTATATGTTTATAAATATGCGTGCACACACACACACACACAGAAACATACCTTGCATAAATTTGCGCAGTGCGCTGGTAAACGTTGCAAAATCGTTGCCGTAACTCTTCCCGGCTAGAACGATGTCGACGATGACGGCACCGTCAGAGTCATGCCACTGGCGTTTACCACAAAATAAGGTTTTTGGGTTAAACCGATGTTTTGTTGACTTTTAAATTTGCATAGTAAATTATTGTGCCTGCGAGAACGGCTGTCATATTTGATGTTTTACCAAAAAACCGGAAGTGCTGCCAACTGTCAGCCACTGCAGTGACATGTGTGCATATCTCGGAGCCACACACGCTCAGATAGGCACACATATAGTACACGTACCTGTACTACAGAGTGTTAAATGCTTTTAAAGTTGTTTTAATTACGACACAAATGTAGTTGATTCGCTTGGCTTTATAAAATATGTACTATATTTTTGAGTGCCCGGCGCTCACAATGTCCAATCCTAAAATTGTACAATAGTATCCGCACACTCCTGCACCGGCGACCGCTTTAACGAGCTGTGGACTAGCGCGGCAATCTTTGCATGTTTCTGGGTTTCCACTTTTTATACCCTTCACCGAGGTACAATAGGGTATTTTAGTTTTCTGTGTCTGTCTGACACAGCTCATCTATTTAGAGTAAATGTATGAAACACACTGAAATAATATAAAAATATATACGAGTATATTTGTTATTGTTATTTTCATAACCACAATCGACCAAAAAATTGGAAAGTACCGAAATATAAATTTAATACAATTAAGACCCCAGGGTATTTCATTGTCGACTGTTGGAAAATATATCGCTTGCCATGTTTGTTTATATTCTGCCGCTTTTGGTCACTAAGTGCAGGTAGAAAACTAAAAAAAAAATAAAGTAAAAACAAAAAACTAAAGAAAAACTGCGCAAGAAAATGGCCAAATGCCTTTTGCATTTTTGCTTTCGGAACGAAATCAACGTAAACAGCTGCTTCCGCTAAGTGTATGTACGTGTATGTTTGTGTGTGATTGTTTGAGTGTGTTCTTGGTAATGGCAATGGCCGCGCGTACTTATGCAAGTTGGAGTGTTTTTGTTCTTTCCAGTTGGCCGACGTCAGGACAATGGACTTGGCTACCATGTTGCATGCTTTCGTTGGCATTTCCTTCGACATCCGCTGGCACAACAAGGTAGTGTCAAATGTCAAGCGGGTAATGCATGCTATAAGTAGTTGTATACCTTCTAACTTTAGAAGTTATTTTGTATAAATAGGCATTTCAAGAACTTAGAATACATCTTTGGTTTTAATTGTGCTGAAGGTAAAGTACAAACAAATAAATTCAAACTGGTCCACTGATCCATACTTTAATTAATTACTTAATCTTATAAAAATATGTACATATATAACATTTATTAAAGTAAACAAATAAATAAATATAAGTTATTGTTTGTTTTTTGGGCTCCACAAATTTACTTTATTTTCTGCTGGATGATGCTGAAAGCAAACAATTTTTCGCTTTTAATATTAGGAAATTAGGAAACTTGCCTGTGCAATAGGGTAGCTCTTATATATATGCAAGTGGTTTCCGGACCAACTTTGGTTCATCAGATGGTTGTGCGAAAATATTATATTATTATTAGTCATGATTTTGTATTCATCTTCAAATTTATTTATTCATTTATTTTTATTTAATTAACAAATAAAAACTGTCAACAAAAATATCTACTTAGGATCTTAAGAGAGGTTATCAGACCTAATTACGAGGACACAAAGGCACTAATTAAAGTTAATTACCAAATCTCCAAGAATTAAGAAAGTTATGGAAAATTACTAATAGCTGGGAAGTGGTGGTGTATTAGGGAAAAAAACTTGTCTTTTCTCAGATTTAGGAAAATCTGGATACCAAATTTGGGAGTTGGCCAGACCATTTTTGATCAAGCACACAATTTTAAAGCCTCCTTTATCAGGAAGGATTCACGTGGTAGTTCCCTCACTTTCCACCTCATCAGCAATGCGGTATCCCCGTACCCATATGACGTAAGTACTGACGTGCTGGGTCATCTCTTTAAGGCAGTGGTTACTGCAGATAGCAGGTGGGCTCCGTGTCTGTTTTATACAAGTTAAGCATAACTTAAGTTTGTTAACTTGGCCCAGACATTTATTGTTTATAAGTATTACCATTTGTATGGTACCTTTATTTGTTGTTCCGTGCCGAAGAAGTTAAGACCTGAGCTAAATACCCATACTCGTACATTATTTTGCCACTCTCTAAGAATTCTGTACAAAAGTTCATTAATAGACTCTGTTTGTTTATATGTGTATGTATGTATTAATCCACCGCATCGCTTTAAGATTTTTTAGCTCTTTGCCCTACGACCTTCAGTCATCAACATACTATTTCAGCACATTTTCACAGTACAAATAAATGCAGGTGTCTAATTATAAACGCAAAATATTCATTTTCGTTGGCGCGCTTATGCGGTTCTGTTGTTTATAAAAATAAAATAAAAAACATGAAAAATAAGCAAAATAAATAATTTGGAAGCAAGAAGAAAATTAAATACAATAAAAACTATAGCAAGCCCGTTCGGAAACATACAAGGGTGCATTTTACAGAGTACGGAATAAAATTGTAACAATTTCGAAAAATAAATTCAGAATGTTTTGGCTTTTTTTCGAAAATAGTCTCGCGTGTATTTTAAAAAAATCTGTCCACGACAGTCGTTTACCGATTGCGACGCGGCGCGGCGCTCGCTAAACTCAGGCGCGCACAGACGATCCGTATTATAAAAATAAATCACAGAACTTCTAGAAAACTGTGCCAAAAATTTCAAAATTAGAGAGCATTTAGACAGTACGCAGAAGTGATTTCATGCCGACATTTGTGTAATCTAGAACTAAACTAAACCAATTTGCACAAATATAGTAATTATAATAATAATAAGAATGTCTACAATGAGTCTCGCACGGAAGGGCAGTAACAGCAGCATTGAAGTAGCAGGAGGAGACAAGTTGAGAGCTACGCAGAAGGCAGGCTGGAAAATTGATGAGAATGAGAAAGGTAGAGAATAAAGTATTGTTTAGCCAACAAATTTTCATCACTTTATCAATCTGTAGCCTGCTACATAGATATAGACGAAGACGACGATGATAGTGATGATCAGAGAAACGACGGAAAGCGTGTGTATTCACGATGGTGCTACTTGCCGGATTTGCTGTTAGAAGAAATATTCTCCTACCTTACACCAAAGGAACGCTACTATGCCAGTTTGGTGTGTACCCAAAACAAACTTCTATGCGATCTATCAATGAGTCTGATACTTGGTTTAGGTTTGCCGCCACTGGTACGGCGCCTTCTATTTGCCGACCGTATGGAACAACTTTGTGGTTGATGACCGCACACTGACCCGCGCCAAATACAATTATTACTCGGGTTGGCAATATTGTCTCGATCATATGCGCACACAAAATTGCCTGGCTCGCATCGGACGGCATTTGCGAGGCATAGAGTTCCGGCCATGGCATAGCTTCAACAATATTTATCAGTTCATGTCAATGCTGTCATGGAGCATGGATAAGGTGAATTAGATAAACGCACATCACTGTTTCTAACCCTTAAAAGATTAAATTAGACATACTACTCGCACTGATACACCTATACATATCTCAATTTACTTCCATGTCCTTCATATGGATTTTGCTAGCTTATTTTGTTTATTTATTTTGTACTGCATAGACTGCGGACTACTCCCTTTTATTTTAGCCTGATTCAGTCTAATTTATTTTTGTTAAAGAACTTGATTCACTGCTATACTTGTCGAATACGAAACTGGTCATATGATTGAGATCTATATAATATTTGACAACAGGGAAATATCATGTAGCTCCTCGTTGTGTCAGTCCTTGAAGTTAAAATAAAGGTTCCATTATTTGTTTATGTGGTGTTTATACGATGAGCTTTCAGGAGAGACATTTTAAAACGCAGCCTTATCCCATTCATCCCATTATTAGTAAACTTGTAGGGTTCAAATAAGTCTAACCGCCGAATTTTATGTACCTATCTGTCAGTGATCATTCAGACAGACAGTCAGAAGTTTGTCATCTTATGAAAATTTTATTTATTGTTATAATGCTTTAACATTCATTAATACATTGGAATTAAACTATTCAAGCGATAACATTATTTGTTCGCCTCCTCTAAGGGCACCGAATTGAATGCCTCACCCGAACTCCGCGGTATGGGTTCCCGCATACGCTCCTTAGTATATCACTTTCCTTGCAACATGTCTCAGCCCAACGATCCTGAAGGCATTAAGCTATTTGGCACAGGAGGCCAATTACTCAAAGGTCTAAAGGAACTACTGCTACGTCTAACTGAACTGCACACTTTGAAACTTGTTGACTTTGTCTTAGAACGGTTTGAAGCGAATCATCTGTTGGACGAAGTAGTCTGCAGTTGCTGCACCAAAATGCGTGTACTCAACCTGGTCAATGTGACTACGACACACTGCCCCATCATGCATGTGGGTCTATTTCTGAATCTTCAGGTAGGTTGTTATTCGGATTTAGTGTTGTTTTCATTCGGCTACTTTTATATGGTCTATTTTTGTATAGATACTAACCATTTCGCCACAAAACATTGACGACGATGTACTCTCTCTACTGGCCGATACAAAGCTGAGACATCTGCATTTGCTTCAGAACTGCTACACACCCAACCATCTCACCATCAGCCCCTGCAGCGCCAAAGCGTGGCGCAATGTAAAAAAAAGTAATCCACGTATGCGGGTACACCTACGCCTCGAGAACCTTGTGGATGGCGAAGTGGTTCTACAGCCAGAGGCACCAGTGCACAGCATCACCTATTGGGCACCCCAAGCACGCGTTCATGCCGAGCTGCTACTGCGAATGGTCGACAACTACAAAAATACGCTGGCCGTCTATGGCCACCAACTCCTACCGCGCTTCACCAGCCCCAAGCCGTTTCACAACCGCATCGACAGCTTGCTGCTACTAATGTGCCGCCAATGCTGCTATTTGGACACTTTCGTAAGCTATGTCGCCATATTTAGACTAGAGGTGGGCTTTCTAGAAAACATGTCAAACCTAATTTTTTACGTTTTTACGGATTAGTTTTGGTTGCATTTCAAAAATAGATAGAGTCAACTCCCGGATGTGGTTTTTATTATTATTTAATTAGGCACATATTTATTTCATATGACACCTTAAGAGAAAGAATATCTCCGTAGATGTCGGAATTTTCGTCAAAAATTACGTTATAAAACAATAACTATCTAACTCATACATTTTAAATGTGATAAATAACGCAAGCTTATTTCAAAAATTTGTTATCAAACTGTTGACATTTTGGTTTTGTTCTCTCCGATTCTTAATCAATTTCCAATGACCGTGTTACAAGCCCATCTCTAGCATATAAGTATATCTTCCTTCATTAACATATACACTACTCGCTCAGATCATACGTGAAAAAATTTCGACTTCAACTCTGCTGCTGCTGGCGCGTACGGCCAAGAACTTGCGACAGTTGCATGTTCGTCGCTTCGCCGTAATTATAAGATGCGACTGGCCGCGGCATCCGGAATGGAGTGATGAATATTATTTGTGGCTGCGGCGCAATTCGCGGTCCTATGAGGCAGTGGAGCGCGAAATTTCGCAAATATTAGGTTTCAAGTGGCGCTTGCTGAGCGATCGCGACTTTAAGCAATTGACGGTGAATTGTAGGGCCGGCACGTAGACATAGCAAGCCTTTCCCTTTCTTCACTTAATTTGTGATACACGGTGTTGAGCTTTAATATACTTGTATGTATGTACGTGTGTGTACTGTATGTATTACTCGAATCAAAAACAATTAAATTTCTGTAGGAAACCCCCGAAGAATATTGCCAGGGTGAAAACAATCTTTCAAACCGCCTCTAGACTAAGTGCAACTGTATAAAGTATTTTGTTTGTGTACATTTTGCAAATCACCGTCGAGCAATTTGTATGGCTGTGCTTCAATCGGACCTACGTATATAAAAGTCTGGTGCTAGTCGTGTGGACATTAGTTACTTAAGACGCACTGCGGACGCTTAGATATGAAAGCTATATTCACTATTATCGTTATTATTGGTGTACTCCTTGACTTTGGAGCAACTTCGCCAACACCGTACTTTATTCGTCCACGCCCAATCGGATGGATCGTGGCTGTACCTGTGCCCTATCATGGACATCACCATAGATACCATGGCTACCACAGGTATCGCGGCCCCTATCAACGCCATGGGTATTGGTGAAAAGTATTACAAACAACTATCAGAACTCTAATAAATATAGTAACAATATTTTAATAAAAGCAAAGGTGTAAATTAATTTTTAAAAAATAACACTAAAGATTAACAAAGTAAATTTTCTGGTAATTAAAAATGCAATACCTTTACGTGTACATGTTATACAAGTACTATAGTATATATCTGTATAGATGCAGTAACTCTCTATATTGGCGCACTTAAAAATAATCCATTCTAAAAATGAAAAACACTTTGAAATTATCATCCAGTTCAACAAAAAATCCAAGAAGAGTATTTTTTATGAACATATAGAATTTTTAGAACCGCGATTTTTTCTCCGAACTAGAGGTGGAAAAGAACCGTGATTTCGGTTGTCCCATTATGGTAAGAAAAGGAACAAACAAATATGAAAAACACAATATCCACACGAATAAAAAATAATTTAATATTTCAAAACCTCCAACTTTTCACATTTATAAAAAAATTTAAATTTACATATTACATCTTTTTTTTATTATTCAATAAAAAAAGACATGTGAATTTGTTAGAAATGGCATTAATAGATTTTTCTAAATTAATTGATTTTTGGAATATGGTTCTAATTATAAATTTACGAATGCTGCCAGAATGACAACGTACCGCCGCATTTTTCTTGTTCTTGGTGTATCAGCTTTAAAAACGATAACTTTCTTACTGCTGGCCCAAGGGACATACATGGAGACCAACTCCGGTACATCGTAGCATCTAATATCATTATTAAAGCGCGAAATAATAATAATCTAATTGCTCGTACACATTTGTTATCCATTTACTAAAATTGAGCTCATAATAGTTCAAAACGTTTAAATCCGGTCAAAGGCGGAAGTGCAGTCATTCTCAAAACTACTCGGAGCTATACTTGTATGTATTTGGATGAAATACGCCCATTACTATTGAAATTGAAACCCCGTCGTGTGTTAAGTCATAAGTTGTGTGGTTTTTACCTTGACTACTACTTTCAGAATGTGCGCTTTTAGTACAAAAAGCTTTTCTAAAGCACCGAAAGCACGCAGGCAAGCTTACAAGCTTGCATTACCCATTAACGCAACGACCTTGAGCTGCAGCAAGCAACAACAATTGTATGATATAGAAATCAATGCACATACACAATTCAATGTCAGTGTCGGCGAAAGCTTTCTGTGCAGTTGCCTACTTTGAGGCGGCACACGTACACGCCAGAGAGTACATTTAGCCACGACTGGTATTAAATATTTAAAAATAAATTGAAATTCATATTAGAGAATTTTCGGCTCACATGCGTGTGTGTTGTGTTGTGCTTTGTTTTGTTTACGTGAGAGCATTGCGAAAGCGTGTCAGACAAATTTAGATGGGCCAAGAAGATCGCAATTATTGGGCATCGCAAATGGTTATCAAACTGTTGCTGGCTAGTTAAGAGCCAGGCGGTGGCGGCATCGCATGCCAATGTTGATCATGATCTCGTAGCGGTAAATAAGCTAAAATATATAAATACAAGTATATATGCCACAAACAAAGAAATCGTGTTGGTCGAAATCAAAATAAATGTTTATCAAACAATGAAAACGTGAAAATTTGTAGTAAAAAAACGGGTATTGTGTAATTAGTAGCGACAAGATGAACAAAACCATCTTGCACTGGAGCTATTTAAATTTTAAGGATGTCCCCATGGACTTGTTTTTGTACGAGGATTTGGAGGAAGTGTATCTCAAAGAGAACTATATATCTGTTATACCCAAATGGCTGTTGAACATAACAACGTTGAAATTTATACACCTGGCCGGAAATAATCTGACCGAATTACCTGTTGATATCTACATGTTAGAGAACCTCGAATTCTTGGATGTATCGAACAATGAATTGCGTGAGCTGCCCAATACTCTGGGCCTGTTGTTGCATCTGCAGCAATTAAATGTGAGCGGTAATCAGTTAACGGAGTTGCCTGCAGGTAGGTGACATGATATTTAAAAAATGGCCTGTTCTTATTTCCTTACTGTTGCAGAGCTGAGCACCATGCGCAATCTAGAACATCTCAATATATCCAAGAATCAGCTAAAACGTCTGCCCATACAGCTAAGCGAATGTCTGCGTCTTAATGAACTGAATGTGAGCGACAATGCGGAGCTACTCCATATACCTGAGCGAATTGCCAATCTGCCTATGCTGCAGTCTCTTGCCGCAGATCGTAAGCATATGGGCCTCTGTAGAAAAAGAAATTTATAAACCTACGTGTATTTCTTATAGGTTGTGCCCTCATCTATCTGCCGGCTGCACTGTCCAAATTCATGAATCACGTCCGAATCTTTCACAACACGGCTATCAATTACATACCCATGGTATATGAGCGCTTTTATCAAAGCTTCTACGACAACAGACAGAAAGTAACACCCATGTAAGTTTACAAAACAGAAATCATACACGAGAATAGGAAAAACATGTTTATAGCCTGTATCGATTTAACCATGTCTGGCTGTATCAGCTCAAGGATCCAACTAACACTAAGCTTTAAATCCAGACCCAAGAACACTTTTTATATACATATGTAGTTATGTTTTATTATAAACATCTTTTATTTTTTCGTGCCGGTCTTTGTTGTACCCCGTACCCGTAGGGTAATTGGGCTATATTAGGTTTTTGCAAAGTATGTAAAAGGCAGACTCCAAAAAGGATATATATTCTTAGTCAGCATAACGATACGAATCGATTTAGACATTTAGAATCTTTCCGTCTTGATGAACACCACATTAACCAAAATTATTATGTAGACGCTCCTAGTCTCAACGCAACAAATGTACAAGAGTATATGTATGGTTTTTGGGAGGTGAAAAATATAACAGGTTGAAGGAGGCCTGGCAGTCCCCACAAAGTACTTATAAACATTCTTGATCAGCATGACAAGACGATTCGATCTATGTCTGCCTATCTGTAGGTCTAGCCGTCTCTCTGTCCGTATGAACTCCATAGTAAGGATTTTCCGTAACGCCGTTCGTATAGGCACCCATGTATATCTCCGGAACTATAAGACCTAGGAACACCATTTTAGTTCAAGATGCCTTATATACGCAAAATATGTGGACTTCGGAGTTTTCCATAACTCCCGTAATTCTTGCAGTTTTTCACTGAAATCCGGCAAATTCCTCCAGTTAGAAATTATGTGTCTTTATGTTACATTATGATAGGCCGGTTTTAAAAAAAGTTATAGCCATATATGTATGCGTTGCCCAAGCTTGCTCGCAGCTGTTGTTGTTGTTGCTGCTTTCGTTCAACTCTGTACACATGCCCAGACACAGACACGCACAGACACGCATAGACACGTATAGACTATCATAGACACAATTCCTATGTAAAGGTACAGTTATACAACCTTTGCGTGAGTTCGAATACCCAAGGAGGTATATTCGATCAACTCTATTTGTGAAAATGTAAGTTTTTTTTTCATTTTTTAAATTTCTATAATTATTGTACACATATTGTGCACATATATATGTACGTACGGAGTATTTCGAAGTCCGGACACCCGATATTAGCTTCTCCACTTGTTTTGATTTCCTCCCCCCTCTCAACGCTACAGAAGTTCGCCAATACTGTCCACATTTCAAAAACCATATAAACTTTGCACATGTAATCTTTATACAGCTGTGCTCAAAATAATAGTAGTGTTTCATAAAAATTTAGTTCGTTCAAAAAATGTATGAAATGGTGTTTTAATGAACTTAAAATAATTTGTATTATTAAGTATAGTAAATTATATTGTATGTATATACATTCCTCAAAATTCAATATATTCGAATACCAACATACTCTTCTTAAATCATTTCGTTTTCATAACTATGTATGTACTACTAGCTGGCTCAGTATTTGTGCTTACAATTATACGTTTATTTACGATATTATATTTCTCTTCCCAAATTTCCCAAATAGCAAATTACTTTGGTACGATTCAAGAGCTAGGACATAAAGTAAAATAAATACTATGTATGGTTATACATGTATGTATATGCACATACATATATATGTATATTTTTGTATTCTGCAAGTAATTTCTAGAATTAAAAGCTGTACAATTTGGCAAAGTTATTTGGTCAACTTATGCAACAAACTAACAATATTTAAATGAGCATACACACGTATGTATGTATATACATATATCATAATTATTTCTTCTACTCTTTAATGAAAAGTTACAAAAATGCAACGCAGTTTATTCTGTATTCTTTCTCAGAGTAAATACATAAACCAAGTTTAAAGTTAATCGGATTTCCAATTTTCACCTACACTTTGATGCTTTTTAACGCTTACCATTTGGGAATTACCTTCTGAGATCCTTGCGCTCATACAGACGGACGGACAGACGGACGGACGGACGGACGGACAGACGGACGGACGGACATGGCCATATCGACTCGACTGATCAAGAATATATACTTTGTGGGGTCTGCCACGCCTCCTTCTGTGTGTTACATACATTCGCACAAAACTAGTATAGCCTTCACCCTTTGGGTACAAGCTATAAAAAAAAATTTTTTGGATCGATTTGACCTCTTTTTGTATTCGAACTCACGTAAAGGGGGTATAATTGCACATATACTATACAAAGCAATTGCGTCTATGTGAGGGTATGTATGTTAAGATGTTAAGTGTGTGTGTAAGAATGTTCGCAGTCAACCAAACAGCAACATCAACAACAGCCGCGGGTAGCGCTTGAGCAGCGCTGCAGCAGCAAATATATTTATGGCTATAACTTATTGTTAAATCGGTCTATCATAATGAAACTTAGCATACTGATAACCCGACTTTAACTTTTTTACTTGTTTTTTACAGAAAAACTCCCATATTTCAGGCCCCAAAAAAATTTTCAGTTTCAATGCAGTTTTTCTTGGAATTTTTCTGGGAGCATAGAAACTAAGTTTGAAGTTAATCAGATGTAAATTGTAGATTTTTCATACAAACTTTGGAGCTCGATTTCCCAACTTTGGTTATTCTAGCTTTTATAGTTTCTGAGATCCTCGCGTTCATCCAGACGGACAGACGGACGGACATGTCTAGATCGATTTCTCTCGTCATGCTGATCAAGAATATATATACTTTATGGGGTCGGAGATGCTTCCTTCTGTATGTTACATACTTTGCACAAACCTAATATACCCTTTTTACCCTACGGGTACAGGGTATAAAAAAACAACAAAAACTGCACGTCATTGGCTCGCGCTTCTTTTTTCGTTTTGATCAGTTACGCCTGCTAATTTCAAAGGCAAAATGCCTAAAGTTTACAGTTACCGTCGCTAGGCAACGACTGCGTAAGCGATAGTAAAGCAGATATACTTGTAATTTAATTGTTGTGAGTGTAAAAGTCGTGTTTCTGCTTTTGTAAATCGCAAGAATACATTCACGGAATAAGCTTAACGCTTAATGTCTCCCAAAAGTCTTCAGAATACATTTGTAGCGTTGTTAGCTGACGCAACCGTTGAACATAAACGGTAAATGGCTTGTAAATATGCGATCAGCTGAGATGCTAGAGATGGGCATATGTCGGCTTTTTTCGGCACATCACAGCGCGATCACGTAAGTGGCTGTACAAAATCACGAATCCGTATGCACGGTGAATGGATACGCAAATTTTTCTTTGTAAATCGAATAATTAGGAGAATGTCGATATATAATTTATGCTTGTATACATGTGTATATGGTATTGGACTTCCAAGGACCGATATATGTACATAATATTACTTTTTCATAAAATTTTAATTTATTTTATGCAAAAGTGGGTAACATTAACATTGTTATTTTTTGGATATGCGCTCCAAATCCCTTGCTTTTTTTAACAATAAAATACATGTACACATTGTGCAACAAAATGGAACAAATATTAGAGTATTTGAAAACTTTAAACTATTATTTTTATACTCTGTACATGAAATGTACAAGAGTATATTAGGTTTGCGGGAGCTGAAAAATGTAACAGGCAGAAGGAGGCGTGGCAGACCCCACAAAGTATATATATTCTTGATCAGCATGACGAGACGAGTCGATCTAGCCCTGTCTGTCTGTCTGTCCGTCTGTCCGTCTGTCCGTCTGTCCGTCCGTATGAACACCTGGATCTCAGAGACTATAAGAGATAGAGACACCAAATTTTGCACAAAGATGCGTTATGTGTGTATTCTATACGAGTTTGTTTTATTTTTTTGATTTTCCCCCCCACTTCCCCCCTATGGGGGTTTTCCCGATTTTCCATTCGTATAATCGCCTATATCTCGGAGACTATAAGACCTAGGAACACCAAATTTTAGTCCCAGATGCCTTATGTGAATACGCAGAAAATGTATATTTTGGAATTCCCCTCCCTCCCCCCTCTACCCCGCAAATCGTAACTCCCGTAATTCTTGGAATTTCGAACTAAAATTTTGGAAATACCCCCAGTTGGTTATTATGTGTCCGTATGCCAAATTTCATTATGATAGACCGATTTAACAAGAAGTTATAGCCATAAATATATTTGCTGATGCAGCGCTGCTGCAGCGCTGCTCAAGCGCTGCCCGCGGCTGTTGTTGATGTTGCTGTTTGGTTGACTGCGAAAATGCTTACACAGACACGAATTGATGCGCATAGGCATACATACACTCACACAGACGCAATTGCTATGTAAATGTGCAATTATACACCCTTTACGTGAGTTCGAATACCGAGAGAGGTAAAATCGATCAAATTTTTTTTTTTATTTTCTTAATTTTTTTATTTTATATAATTATTGTAAACATATGTACAGAGTATTTCAAAGTCGGGACACCCGACTTTAGCTTTTTTACTTGTTTTATTTAGTACATTAACAATAATTCTGTCGATTATAATAATTAAAATATATTTTAACATTTTATATATATTAAAATAAAAAATAAAATGATGATATAACTTAATATAACAATTTAAACTCAACTTAAAAGATAAGAAAGCCTAACACAAAGCTGTACAATAACGTCTACTAATGCCTCCGACACGTTGGGGGAATTTTATTTGCCACTTGGCCAGATATGCTCCGATTCACAGCCATATGTGGTCAGAGACATTATAGACCTAAAAAACTATACAAAAAGTAAGTAGAGGAGGAAAATTAATTATATTTAACTAATTAGAAAACGTAAGAAGCAGAAAGAGAAAGAGAAAAAGAAATATGGAAAGAGAGATAGAGAGATAGACGATCTACTACGATAGACGGTCTACTACGACCAATTTACTGGAATTTACTTCCTTGGTAAATGAAGCATTTATTCTAAAAATGCAGACTGATGTCGTTTACACTGACTTCAGTAAAGCATTTGACTCTGTGAACAATGATCTTCTGCTCTTTAAGCTAAGTCGTATAGGATTTCCCTCCGCTTTTTTGTGTTGGATTTCGTCGATTTCGTAAAAGAACGAGTTTCATTATGATAGGTTGATCAAAAAGAAAGTTATAGCCATATAACCAGGCCCAATGCACACATACATACGATTCTGATGTAAATGTATGCATGTATGGAATATTTTATATTTAATTTAGTTAATTAATTAATTTAAATTAATGAAATTAATTTATTAATTTAATGAAATTAATTAATTAATTTAATTTCTTTTTTGTGGTCGGTCTGGCATACAACTTTGCAATTCCCCTGTAGTTTGAAATATCAGACTTCTCACCCTTTTTATGAAGAGCAATAATAAAGGATTATCTCCAAATAGTTGGAAAGATTGAGGAACCCATTGACAGATTAAAGATTTAAAGTAATGGCTGTAATAGGGAACTAGAACACTCCTTGAGAACACAACTAGGAATGTTGTCTGCTCCAGGACAGTATGAAGATTTTAATGATTTGATAGCAGAAAGTAGACAGCTATCAGTAATTATGGGAGCGTATATAGTGTGGGAAGATGATATGCTATAAGGATAGGAGGTGCTACTAATAGAGACAGAGGAATAAGTTGACTGGAAGAAGTTGGCAACCAAGTCAGCAGCTTCAGAATCGTTGCTGGCTTTTTTGTCACAAAGGAAAAATAATGAAGGTAGAGAAGAGTATTTATAGAAGTCAAGAGATAGGCCCGACTGCTTATACATACTTTTTAAAGCATCTAGATTGAACATTTTTTAAGTTTGAAAGTCTTGGTGAAAACCAAGGAGGTTTAGATGACGCAGACGATATGATACTATTTGGGATACAAACACCAAAATGAGCATTAATAGTGTCATAGAAAAACTTGACGGCTATGTTGATATCAACCGCACTATACAACAAGTAAAAAAGCTAAAGCCGGGTGTCCCGACTTTGAAATACTATGTACATATGTTTACAATAATTATAGAAAACAAAAAAAAAATTAAGAAAATTTAAAAAAAAAAAACAAAATTGGACTCATTGCAAAAATGACCATTCTATGTTAGGCAAATTAAAATCACCTATCACAACAAACGCATCTCTGTCACTGAGATGAGTGGAAATTGCTTTAATACAAGTTATATATTGCATATAAACATGAATATCGAAGAGGGAGGTATATACTATAAGTACGAGCAATTGATGAAAAGAGCAAAAGACGGAAAAGTTACTTTAACAGCAACAAATTCAACATCATTTGGCACATCACCATCAATGATTTCCGACCGAAGGTTGGATTTGACTGCAATCAGTACCCCTCCGCTTCGACTACTCGGACGTTCATGACGAAAGATACAAAAGTCATCTGATAAAATTTCATTATCAGAAATCGTAGGCTGTCGTAGGCTCTCGAATCACTCAAACTTTTAAATTTTGCAGGCCCATTTCTCCTAAAGGCTTGTTTTGGATCCGTGAACTGGAGACAAATAGTCGCCTACTGCTGCCTGTGGGCACACGTAAAGTCTACCCTGTACCCTCGGCAGAAAACCAAGTTACCCTCTACGATGACTGCTTACATGCATTGCAGAGTCTAAACAGGCATCTTCCCGTTTATGAGAACACGGCACTACATCGCTTGCTGCCAGAGCCATATATGAGCGCTCACATTATAAATGGACCTATTGCGCGATGTACTACGACCAACTGTTCCAGCTGCTTGTATACCACGTACTACTTCATGGTGGTGAAACGGTGAGTGGGCTAACTGATAGATAAAATTTGCGATTCAACCATGCACATTCAATGCATATTTACAGACGCGGCAGCAGCTCCAAGCAACTTTTCACATGCAACTTCTGCACCCAGTACTGTGCCCTGCAATGGCTTAGCAGCAATGTTAAGAAATATTATCAATTAGATTGGAAAATTTCAAGCGATAACGATGTTGACAGCATTTCAGAATGAGGTTATGTTTTCAAATTAAATCCTGTATAAACTCTACATAGCCATACTACTTGTATATAACTATGTACCATCTAAATTATACGTAAACAATGCTTAATCATTACAAAAATATATCATCACAAGAAATTATTTATCTCATTACGCCAATTAAGAGACCGGAAATTATATATCTTGTACCAATAATAGATAAGCTTAATAGGTGAGGATAGTACTAATAATAATACAAGATACTTCATCAAGAAGACAAGCCAAAATATATACATATGTACCATGTGTGATTTACACAAATCAATGGTGCTTATACTATATATTTGTGGTATGTGGGTGAGAATATGTCTAATCCGCGGATCCACCTCTTCAGTAGTGTTTTTGACCTGTCCTTCAGGATGAACCGAGTTAGTTATAATCGAGGTGGCAAACAAACTCGTGTAGCGTACACACATACTATAAGGCATCTTTGTGCAAAATTTGGTGTCTCTATCTCTTATAGCCTCTGAGATCCAGGTATTCATACGGACGGACGGGCAGACAGGGCTAGGTCTACAAGAAACTGAAAAATTAAGGCGACCTAAGAGGGCAGAGGAGTCAACGTCACCGATAACCAACTTGTGGAGAAAAACTACTCCAAGAACAGTCCTACGATTTTCTAAAGGAGGAAAGTTTATAAGCATCAGGCTACTAGAGTACGATGGCAAGCAGATGTTGGGATCCCAGCTTAAACCACGTAGAGCAAAAAGAAGAAATTGCTTCGTAACAGACTTAATACTATCCTGATGTTTTCTATACTGCGGAAACCAAACGCATGAGCAGTATTCAAGCACAGGGCGTACTAGAGCAGTGTACAGAAGCTTAGTGGTATAAGGGACATTCAATTTCTTGGACCAACGTTTACTGAATCGAAGTAATCCCTTGGCCTTATTGACAATATTGGACATGTGACGGTTAAAGTTCAATTTGGAATCAAAAAGAACTCCAAGATCTTCAACAGTCGATATCCTCTGCAATGACACATTGTCAACCCTATATGTGCCTAAATGAGGCAAAGCTCGCTAAAAGGTCATGAACTTATATTTAGAGCAATTGAGCTAAGCTCCAAGATTGCATGCAGTTCAGATCATCCTGCAGGCGATGAAAATGAGAAGGGTCTTTGTAAGTTAGAATAAGTTTCACATCATCAGCATACATAAGAATATGAGAGTTTGATAAGGTAGCGCGGAGGTCATTAATAAATAATGTAAAAAGTAAGGGACCAAGATGGCCAAACACGGGCACATATTACATTTATGACAATAACTTCCTTTCAAATTGATCTATCATGTTGAAACATAATCAATAACTGGTTTAAAATTCTAAGAATTACGGGAGTTATGGGAATTCGTAAATAGCGGGAGAGTGAATCAAAAAAAAAACACAAACTCGTCCTTTCTCGAATTTAAGGAAATCTGGATACCCAATTCTATTATTCTAGCTCGTGTACTTTCTGAGATACTTGCGTTTATACAGACAGACATGGATACATCGACTCGGCTTGTCACCCTTATCATGAATATACATACATACTTGTATGTATATGCTTTTGGGGGTCTACGACGCCTCCTTCTGTGTGTTACTTTACCCTTTGTATGTACCCTGGAACAAATTGTTAAAATCTACAATTTTGATTACGAAGTAATATTTAAATTTCATTAAACAGTTGCTTTGGACTTTTCCTTCGTGGAAATGCAAAAACTAGTGCACCAAGATGAAGTTAAAAACATGTGAATCCAGAATTTAAAGAAGGATTTATAAATAAATTTTCGTGAAAATGAAAATATGCTATTTCAACACACAGGATCTGGATAAAATTGCGGCCTTCGGTTGTTGCTGTTAGGCTCGCTGTCATGGCGGGCCATTGCCATGGCATTGTTTGTTCCATTTAACGAACATGTGCAAATGTCGAAATGGACGAATCAAAAATTCTGCTACATAGCATTAGCTGCCACAGTTGCTTACCCTTTTTCGACACATAAGTAAGACTCAATTTTCGGACTCAAAAACGCGATTAAATTCAAGCAACATTTTCTGCGAATTTAAAAATTAGAAGACAAAATTAATTTGTTCGCAATGTTAAGACTGCCGGGAATGCCCCTTCTTCCAGGTGCGCAGTTTCATGACGTAAGTAGCGGACACATAGGTACTTCCAAAAAAAAAACTTCTTCATTGGAGTCCTTTCACATGCAGTACACGAAACGGCGTCATCCGCGCCAGCAAACACTGATGCACTACCAGGGTATACACATGCTTTCGGACCGTCGCGAACCGGAACTCGTCGACCCAATGGGCATGGTGGTGGATCCCAAATGCCCTCCCGTTCCCTCGCAGTTAAATACGTTGTGGGCGCCCCGGGCCGTCTATAAGCAGCCCCCCTGGCTGACCTACGACAAGCAAGTGCTCTGTTTCAATGCCTACTTTAAAGAACATCTGACGGAAGTTTTTCATGCCGCCTATCAAGTGCGCAAAGTAAAAATCTACTTCTATTTAGAGGATGGCACTATGCAAGTGACTGAGCCCAAAGTAGAAAACTCAGGAATACCTCAAGGGTGTCTGGTGCATCGCCAGCATATTCCTAAACCAGCTCCAAATCAGTACGAGTTTATTAATGTGTTCGACCTGAATGTAGATGCGGTTGTGCAGATTTTTGATCGGGTCTACCATATAACTGGATGCGATACATTTACACGGCAGTTTCTAAACCGTGCTGGGATTGTTGTGCCTGAAGCACTTCAGGAGCCCAAGTCGGTTGAATCTGATTTTGATAGCTCAATCCAACTAACGCGATCTATTTTATATTCTCAGTGATCCCACCACCGAGTTACGCAAACGTTCCGGCTTGAAGCAGCTTCCAAATGCAGGAGCACTACCAAAAAAGCATTCTTTCGCCCAGTTCCTAGAATTTGATCGACGCGTGCTTAAATTTCTCGGTTACTGGAATGATAACTCGGAATATGGAGATGTACGGCGGTTAGAAATCTGTTATTATTTAGCGGACGACACGATTGATATCAAGGAGAAATATCCGCCGAACTCAGGCCGCGAGGGACCCAATACCTTCCTTAAGCGCGACAAGTTGCCAAAAGAGTATTCGGGGACGCCACTACCGGGCCAGCAGACATCCATTACGCTTCTCAATGTTCTCGGCTCTAATATGCGCGACGTGCGTTACATTACCGACCCATTGAACGCAGGCCAAAATCAGACCTTCTATACTGATGAGGATCTGAGAATTGGCGCTGTGCTGAATGTGTTTGGTCGATCCGTCGTGCTTACCAGTTGCGATCATTTCACCCAACAATACTATAAGGAGAAGGTAATGATTTATTCTTATTATTTTCGACTCAAATTTTACCCGAGAATCAATGTCCTTGCGACATGCTGAAATAATGTTTGTAACAAGGTATTCAAAAATTTAATGATTGTAAAAACATTTTAACAGATTTATTTCGATTTTATATTGTGAATCAATATTCCCATTGCCATTCCAAATATATTTCCCTGCCCCTTTCTTCATCACAGTCATTGAACTACAACAAATTTTGTTACACCAATCGTTACTATGGCAGCTGTAGCGTATGGTATACCGATTTCGATGAACCTTCTAACTATGTTAAGACAAAAGTTATTTCACTAAGCTCACTAGCAAGTTGGATTTTCACAGGTGTTATAAATCAACTCTTCATCGCTCTCGGAGCTCATACAGACGAACTTACGGACATTTCTATAGCAATTTATCTTATCATGCATTTGTATATGTACACATATGCATGTATAGTACATAAACACATTTAGATTTTCCAGTATCTACGTACAAGAGTTCAAATGTTAAACCACTATTCGACGTCATTTATAGTTGATGTTATGGGGGCCTAGGAAAAATATTATCCAAGTCCACATTAAAATATAATCACCTAAAATGGGATCTTTAATTCATTATATTTCCCGAAAATTATCTTAAGGGTATTAATGTGAGGCTTTAAGTCTGTTGTATCCCAAGAGTCCTGAGGGGCAAGTAGATATCATATATAATAATATACAAGGGCGTAGGCAGACCACACTTTCATTATTAAGACGCAATATTTCGCCTTAAAATGGATCTGAGTTGGATTAGTTGAAGTTTTTTCATTGATCATATGCATAAGTTATTTTTTAAATGCATCGTGCATTATTTAATTAAAATTTTAATTTGTTGGCCCCCCTTTGGTAAAAGCTGCCTACGCCCTTAATAATATATTTGTCTTCCTACTCCAGTACGGCATTCAGGAATTCACAGCCCAGCCAATTCCAGTGCGGGACGATATCCGAAACAACACTCGAGACCGTCGCCTACCACCATACAATGGCTGGGGAACATACGAAGATTCTGAGGGGAACTGCCTTTCTGTGGAACCCAAAGCCCCGCAGGCAAACTTCCAAAAATTGCTGAAGTATGATGGCTGCATCCTGCGCTTTGAAGCCAAGCTTTTATCGGCAGTGCGCGAGAACTGCAAACGTAGTTTTGTTATCAACTACTATCTGGCTGATGACACTCTACAGATTTACGAGCAGGCACGTCGTAATTCGGGCTTTGTGGGTGGTGAGTTCTTGAAACGAGCACGAGTTCCATTGCCAGGCCAGCCCAAGTTCAGCTCAAGCCGACCCGAGTACTACAAAGCTCATGACTTTTATATTGGCGCTACCCATAGTTTGAAGGATCATATCTTCCATATTATATCGGCTGACGAGTTCACACTTCTTTTCATGGAGCAGCATCCAGACGAGGTAAGCCTTAAGGTGGAACCACCAACAAACTTACATCCAATTCACATTCACAGTTTCCGGTGAGCAACATAAAAACCATCATGGACAAGATTAGGAAGGCAGTGCGACCACACTACAAAGAATTCGTGTTGCGCTGTCAGCCCGACGGCAATTTGGACGAAAATACCAACATTAGCTATGATACGCTGCGCAGCATGCTCCTCTGCTATATTCCCAAAGAATCTTTACTCAATCACGAGATTGTAACAGTATGTCGCTACTTCTCGGCAGAGCAAGCGCCACCACAAACTCATGATCGCAACACTGTGCGTGCAGCGGCGCACCTGGAACTGAAGCGATCTCTTTGGGAAGGTGAACAAGAGTTATTAGAGCATTTAAGTCACATTAATCCAACATGTCGAGCATACATAAGCGAATCGCAGGTGCGATCGACGTTGCGCGGATGTCGCTTGCCATTCACGATTGAGCTGATCGAAGACATCTTAAAGGTGCTGCAGAGGAATGAATTAGGAGAGATTGAGGTTCGTGATGTGTTGGGATTTTTCAGCTTGCATAGCGAAGACCAAGTTCCCGATATCGTACCCGTCAATATCGCCTTCGAGTTGTGCCCCAAGCTTCCATTTCTACACAAGGGACGCTTGGTAAATTTTAACGCATTTCTGCACAATCTTGGCTTGGAAGAGGAGTTGCAACGGGCTAATAACTAGATTCCGATGTAAAATATTCAGTTATAAAAATTGCAAGTTGTATGTACAAAAAATTCGTGGCAATACATTTTAAGGAATGCTGAACTTTGTGCTTAATCCTAGATTGCAGGCGACCAGATAGGCGTGATTCTAAAGTTTCGACTCTGTTAGCCAATTAAACGATTGTGCCTTGCGATCCGAAGAGGGGTTGATAGCCACATTTATGATAGTGGGCCTATCGGTAAGTTTATTTGCCGCCTTTATGGCCTCCTGCAGTTGGCTAATCTCTGTGCAGAAGAAACCCTCCAATCCAAACATTTTCATCATTTGTTCGTAACGTACTTGAACACCAAGCGCCGAAGTAGGTGTGCTGAAATAAAGTGAAATAAATCATCAATGGGCATTCATAGACTTCAGTGTAGGTCTTACACTTGAGTTAGATCGCCGTCAACCCGAATAGCTTCGAAGGTCTCCTTGTCGAAGCCACCGTAAATTCCGTTGTTGTTCACAATTACAATAGTGACTGGCAGCTTGTACCTTACAAGCGTCTCAATCTCCATGCCAGAGAAGCCAAAAGCACTGTCGCCCTCCACACACAGCACACGCTTCCCTGGTGCATAGTCACGACAATAGAGAGCAGCGGCTACCGCAAATCCCGGTCCCACACCCATGGTTCCAAAGGTACCAGCGTCAAGGCGATGGCGCGGTTGCTCATTCAAAAGCATCGATCGTCCAATGTCCATGGTATTAGCACCCTCGCTCACAATAATTGTGTCACGGGGCAAAAGCTCACGCAGATGGTGGAAGACAGTATAGTAGTTCAGTGGAGCGGACGTATTCAACGACATCTGCAGCACTGCATCCCGATTTTGCTTGCACTTTGCTGCCAACTTCTTCCACCAGTCTTGCTCGTAACCAAAGCGGAAGTTCACGGCATTCATTTGTTCGAACAATTGCTCTGCGAAGGGACGTATGTCAGCCTGTATGGCTACAGTCGATATTACAGAATTATGTAGCTCCTCCGGGCATATGTCAACTTGAATAAACTTAACATCCTTGTCGTAACGAGGCGCACGTCCGAAATGCAGAATCCAGTTAAGACGAGCACCCAGGAGCAGCACCACATCAGCCTGCTGCAATGCCAAGGTACGCGCGGCGCTAACACATTGCGGAGCAGAATCACCTACCACACCCTTACCCATAGGCGTGGGAAGGAATGGTAGGTTTGTGTTATCGATGAAGTGACGCAACGTGTTTTCGGCATGGGCATAGGCAGCGCCTTTCCCCACAATTACCAATGGTCGCTTGGCTTGACGCAGCAATTGGGCTGCGCGTATAACATCGTCGTGAGGTGGATAGGCCAGAGGCGGGGCAGGATGCGCCAGAGCTTTGTAGATTTTTTCCTCCACAGCCTTTGATTGTAAAATGTTCCCGGGAAAGTCCAGATATGCGACGCCGGGGCGTCCATAAGTGGCATATCGTACTGCTTTCTCTACGTGCAATGGAATCAAGGCGGCTGTGGGTGGTCGCGCTGCGTACTTGCAATACGGGCGTGACAGTTCTACTTGAGGGCACTCTTGAAATCCGCCAATACCTTCATGGTCCTGATTGGTGGCGCCGCCAATCACAATGAGTGGCCAGCAATTGACCTGAGCATTTGCCATACCGCCTGCAAATGCGTAAAGCCTATTAATTTATTATTATTACTGGATGTAGTAAAATTGCGCACCCGTCACATGCAGAAGTCCTGGTCCGGAGACCACCAGGCAAACGCCTGGCTTGCCAGTCAAGTACCCAATGGCCTGAGCTGCATAACATGCGGCCTGTTCGTTACGCATGCCAACATATTTAAGTCCTGCCGCCTGAAAGGCCATGGACAGCTCAATGACGGGTATGCCAATAATGCCGAACACATATTCCACGCCCTGCAAGCAACAAAAAGAATAAAAATTTTAACAATTAAAAGCTAGCTAATTAGCACAAACACAAGAAATAGCGCTTTTGTTTCTGCGTTTTCGATTAGGGACCGTTTATTGATTTTAATCCACGGCCGCAGCAACAGACGTTATATTTACGACGACCGTGTATTAAAAAACCTTTGGAACACCGTTTTATCACAATCCGCTCATATCTTATATTGACTACCAACAGCAGCAACAAAAATAACCAAAGAAACAGCACTCTACAGCAAAAACAAAAACAGTGTGTTAAGAGTTTTGAACTTTGCACAATAAACAGGTAAAAGATAAGCGGGTTTGTTGTTTATTGTACTATTAGCTGTTAAGAGTACACCAATTATGCGAATAGTGCTATATTTTACCAATTATCAATTGCCCTCACGAATTGCCGCTTCCAATTGTCTTACCTGTTGCTTCAATGATTCTGCAATAACTTGCACGGCTTCAACCTCGGCCATTTCTGCGATTATATTTGTTGTTTAGCGGAACTTGCTGTTGTTACTGGCGTCGCGTTGATTTGCGTACTGCTAAAAATGTTGTATAAAAATTGTATAAAAAACGAAATTAACTAGGCTGACGTGCAAGAGATTAGAGTTGTGTTCCAACCAAACAGTTCCGAACTAGCTCAAATGAATGGAATACAGAATTTAATTAATTTAGCTGCCAACAAACTGAAAAATTTTACTTTTAGCTCGTGCACGTGTCCAGCTAAAACCGTGTTAAAATGTATGAAGGAAACAGAAATGTAAAAAAGCAAACCGATAATCGTTTAGCATTCCGAACTTAAATTTAAGAACGCACTGGCTCATTCGAATGGCGTTGAACGCCTTGTCAAGCAAAACGTCGTACTAGCAACACTGCAATCAAACTTTGAGCTGTCTGGCAACACTGCATTAGCAACTGTGTTAAGTGGCACAATCACCACCTGTCGTCATTCGTTAGAAACAAAAAAATTTAAAACGTGATGGCCTTTTTCTGTTTTTTTAACATTCCAAAAATATCCTAGTTTACATCCAAACAATAACGAATAATGCCACTATTTATAATTTTATTTGAATAAGTATTATTTATATGAACTTATTCAGCCCGAAGCAGGCTAAAATGTGTATAGAACTAATTTAATGTCAATTATGAACTAATTTTTTGGCCGAATTGCGAAAAAATTAACATTTTCACGACAGCAACCAGTTTCAAGGTGAAGGTCGTCGCTCTAACGGCTGAGTGAGACAACATACATATTTTTGGTTTATATATTTGTAACTTGGTTTATATATTTGTAACTTTAATGTGGCATTTACTTTGCGTGTATAAATATAAAATTGTTTAACAATAAATACACAGTTTTAGCTTTAATAGGACTCTCCTCTTTCCATCTCTCTTACATGCACATATGGTTTGTACATATGTATGCAAGTACATAATTATTAAAGTTATTAATACTATCTAGAAAATCACAGCAAATTGCCAAGGCACAAACTACAACTTTGTATTGACAATATCCTCACGCGACTCACAAGTCTCGACCTCATTCCACTTTTGAATTTTTCCTGATCCAAAGACCCAAAAGAATAGAGCAGGCAGGATGTACGCAGCTGCTCCAATAATGAAAATCCAGTGCCATTGCTCGATGGTGTTCTACAAAGAGGCGCAACGTATTATTAAAATAAAACGGTGAAATTAAAGACTTAAGTCTACCTTTTCCTTTGTAAATGCTGCCACAATTAGGGGCGAGAATATACCAGGCGTGGTTCCAACACAGTTAATAATACCATATAGTGTGCCTGCATAATTTGGTGCCAAATCCTGAGAATTAGCCAAATTGGAGGCAGTGGCGGCTCCATTGAAGCCCAATGAAATAGTCATGATGGCAACGCATACATAAGGATCGCGGCCAAAGAAAGCTAGTATAACAAGCATAATGCCTGGCAAGATGTGAGCTGCGAACAGAGAAAAAGTGTCAATTCATAAACTTTCCCACAGCATTTGCAACTTACAGGGCAAGCAGAAGGCCTTGCGCATGCGCGTCACCGTCAACCATTCTTTCCGGCGAATCCAATCTGCAACGGATCCGAATCCAAAAGCGCACAGCAAACGAGCTAAGTGGGGCAAACTCGAGAGGAAGCCGGCCGAAGACAAATTAAAGCCCAGTACCTCGCTCAAAAATTTGGGCGTGGCCGTTATAAGGAAGAAAAGACCCCACATGCTGCCATAGTGCAGTAGCATAAGCGACCAGAAAGGCATAGATATAAGGAGCTGCTTGTACGGCGGCCATTTCTGTAACGATCCCAGATGTAAATCACTCGGCAACTGTAAACTATCATGGTCAAATTTACCTTTTTGTTGCTCAGGGTGTCACCCAGACTGGTCTGGATGTATTCGCGCTCCTTTAGAGAAATTGAATTGTGTTGTCCTGGTGTATCGGCCACCAAGTAAAACCACAAGGCGACCACAACCAACACAAATATCGCCACTATGTAAAAGGCCCAATCCCAGCCTAGATTCTCAATGATTACCCCACTAATGGGCCATGTGATCACCGTACCAAATGTTCCGCCCATTAGCGAGGCCACAAATTTTCCCTTCTCATCTGGTGGCGACCATTTCGACACCAAATTATGGCAGGCCGGATATACAACGCCAGTCAGAAAACCAATTAGGAAGCGCACCGCAAACACCGCGTACTTGTCCCACGAGGCGGCCAGAGGCGTGAGTGCCGTCAGCACTCCTGCCAAAAGGCAGCTGTATCCGGCAACTGCACGGCCGCCATAATGTTCGGCCAGGGTGCCCGCGGGCAACGATGTGATCATATACCCATAGAAATACGCGCCCAGCAGCAGTGCCTGGTCCTGTTGTGTCCAATTGTAACGTGGCCCATACTGCACAATAAAGAGACCAAGAAAATGAGACAGTGAGTATTTACATATATTAGATTGGACCTTTAAATAGGGTATACGCACATCCGGCAGCGCCACCTCCGTTCCATTATCACTAGTATCCTCTACCATGGCAATGATGTTTATGGACAAATTAACACGCATCATGTAGCTGAGAAGGCAGGCCATAAACAACATTATGGCCACGTTAACACGTTTGGGTATGTAAACTGTGAACAAAAACAATTAATCAACAACAGTGCTGATGCGATGTAGTGAAAGTTAGCCTATATAATGCATTTCAGTTCCGCTATTAAATAGGTTTTATAAATCATGAATAGATTCTTCCTTTTGTTGGTATACTTGTAAGAAGTATATAAAACAGGCAAATTAAATAGCTTTGCATGCTTGTTCGTTCTAAAACACACGAAGAACGCCGCATGTGGAAATACGAAACTAACCGGAGCAAAAATTCAAAATTTGAAAATTTCATTCATCCGTCGACTCATCTCGTCTTCATATCAATTTACTTTCTATAAGTACGAGTATTTATGCAAATTCATCTTCATTTTATTTCCTGCAATACTCGCGCGTTTTCTTATACTTAACTTATTGAATTGCCTCATATGTATCTTGTTATACTTTTTGTTTTATGCCCATTGAGTTTGTCAAGTACAGCCGTCATAAGAGCGATGGTGCTAAGTCGTCGAACAAATATTGCTTACCTAATAGTGTTGAGTCGCTTTGTTATTTTGGCTATTCTATTGATAGAAATTTTGATGCTTTGACGGGCAATTAGCGGCACTTGGATTTCGCGCATTCGAGATTTGCGTAACAAATAAGCGTGTGCTCTTTAATGTACGGCACATGCGCGCACGCGTCTTAGTCTCAGGGCACTCAATAATAATATTTACGTTCATCATACTTCCAATAAATGCTTACAAATTTCGAATTCATCATCGCGGCCTTTTTTTGTCAATAAAATATAGCGGGATTTTTTCCTACTTTATAATTAGCATATATTAGTACTACTTATATGTATGTATGTATGTATGTATATACTTACAACTCGGCATAAAAGCCATTTTGGCAGATTTGGTATTGTTGTGCTGGCGCTTGCGATTCCCTTCAGTGTCGCTTTTGGTGCCGGTGCGGGTAGCGTTGCCGCTGCCGATGCCAATGCCACGTCAACTGCAATTGGCAACAGGAAGCAAGTTGAAAATGAGTTTATTAAGCATACGCCCCGCTCCGTGTGCGGTGGCAATGAAACACAATTTGCGACAAATGGCAAACTATGAATACTATGTTGAGAAAATAAATTTGTCAAAATTATATGAGCACGTTTTTTTGCTAGCCCTATTTCGGATTGTGATTTTTTTTGCCTAAATGCGCGTGAGCCGCATATGAAATCTAATTGAGTTCCACTCATTTCAATGGAAACTCAGCCGAGCCAAAGCTGCCGTGCAATGTTAAGTGTTTAGCTGACAATCATTGGCTGTCATTGTTGTTGCCGCCTCCGCTCCGCTATTGATAACGTAATTGCGCTGAAACATGCTACCTTATTTCAGGCTGTCCGAACCGAGCGCTTTTGTGCACCTCCAAGTGACCGTTTTGGGATGCCTCACTAAACTTTTTTCTAGCCTCGCCCTTGCCTCTCACTGCTGGTAATTGGCTTTCTGTTTTGACAGCTGTTCTGGGCACGCCCCGCCTGTAAATGCGCCCCTTATTTCTCGCTGAAACAAAAGAAATGTTTGCGGCCCACACAAAAACCAGTGTGAACTCTTCAGGCTATATGCAAGACTACGAAATACCCTCGTGGTTCATATAATGAAACATCTGCAATGTACCCAAGTCTAGTCTAGCATACTATGTATCTTCCGAGGTATACGAGTATGTATAACGGAGGAAAACTAAACAAAAAAAAACTAAATTATCCTGTGTGGCCAAGGGATTACAAGAGTCTTCAAATTTTCCAGACTTATCAAATGTCTGTTACAAACTTTGCACAAACCTAATAAGCCCTTTTTACAAACAAAAAATAATTCAATTGAGATATTCATATGACTTACTTAAAAAAGTAACTTTTTTGGCAATTACTAAACTAAAGAAAAGCCGCGTTGGCTCTCTTTTAGAAAATGTAAGGGATGCCACGATCCAGGACTGAAAAGATATTCGCCCTTATCTAAGCATTAAAACATTTCTAGAAATACTGGTATCTCGACTGCAGATTACAAATTCAGAATAAAGAAATATTCCTTTACCTCATTGTGTGTGCTACTTAGATGGACTTGCTATACAGCTGCATGTAAAATATTTACAGAAACCTTGCGTAAGCTTTTGCTCCATAATGCTCGTTAAAAACCGACTCAGCTTCGCAGAAATTGGTAATAATATTTTGTACACACTGACGAATCCCTGTAAGTAGTTACATAAACAGGTACATTGGAAAGTATATACCCGTATGCACAATTTTTCATTTAGGCAAACACTTGGGAGTTTATTGAGTAAATCCAATTAGTGGCTGAAAAAATATCACACATATCGACGTAAATACTATATAAACAAATCGCAAGTATCGCGAGTTTTCTGGCACGTAACTTTTGAAGGTTATGAGCCCCCCAAATCTGAAATGAATTAGTGAATTGCCCAAAATATTTGTAATGTATTTCCAAATTCTTGGTGAATTATCCAATTGTCTATCTGCCTGCATTACACATTATCCGTATTGCTGTCACTGTGGTTTTCCACAGACCGCTTAGCACTGTGGTCCGATCAACTAACCTTCAGAAATCTGGATTAAAGCGTCCCATATAATAAACCGGTTTAAAAGAGTGCCCGATAATTAAATACATATCATAAATAATCATAAAACACAGTTTTGTTGCCTCATGGCGAGATAAGCCACCGAATGAGATACCATTAGAACAGGAAAGACATATTTTATTGTTTTGGGCATATTTAGTAGAAAATACTGAATAATGCATTTTGAGCATAACGAGGCATTAGGTAAAAATATTAATAATTTGCAGTATTCGGTCTTTCCCGCAAAGTACGGAATACACGCAAATAAATTTGTAACTATGCTACTACAAGTATAATCTTAAACATGTCACTTTATCAACAGCATGGCTAGCGTTTAATTCATAAAATCAACTCGGCAATGAATTTCAGGTAACAAAATGATAAAAAATTTTATGGAGCTAGGCTGTAAATGGCAGGAACGAGATAAGGCCCTACTTATTGCTATTGTCCCCATTATAGCCTGGTAAATAGCCAATTAGACGCAATCAGAGTGGACCACATGCTTTTCCACTATGTCGTGGAAATCAGCTTTTGTTTTTTTGTTAACGTTTTATCACCCCTGCTGTTAAACACTCGATAAATACTGATTTGATTTACGATGTGGGTAACTAAAGTACGACAATGCGTCCAAAAGTTCATAGGCTGTTCACTTAATCACGACGTCGGAGTGTGAGGATCGGCATGTTCGCTGGCTGTCGAAACCCTTGAGACGTACGTACATTTGTACATCAATATCTTATGTACGAGTATGTATGTAGGTATGACATTATATAACATCGGCACGCGTGCTTCACATATATTTGCATAAAGCAAGACAAGCGTCCCATCAACATATTTTTGTTTTATTTTTTATTTTTTGACTAGCCCTAAGCTATTTTATTGTGTGTGTGTGCCTGGTTGCCTTCTGCAATATAATTCAATGCTAATGAACCGTATCTCACACTTATCTTTTTGAGAGATGTGTAATTCGCCAGCTATTAAGTAGTTGGCAGTACTGTTTTAATACCTAGGCACCCAGTCGTACTAATTCCTATTGTAATTACATTACCCTTGGCAAACTGCTTTTTGCATTTTTTCACGACATGAACATAACTTGTAAAAATCACGCATTTCAAACGTACAATTATTTGGAACAAAAGTAAATGCGCAATTTTTGCTTCTCTGCTGGTAATTATTTATATTTTAATTAGCCGTCCAATCAATACAATAATAACTGCCAAATTAACTTGCAAAATCACACGCTCGCTTCGCATACCTTCATAAGTATTGAGCTTTACGGGCATGAGACTGGAAAGGTTACAAAACTCTTCACTCACGTGCTTCAAATGATAAATCAACAAATTGGAGAATCGAACGGGATTGCACATTTTTAATGATATTCGGACTCTCTGCCTTTGTAGTTCATTGAATTGCGCCCACCCATTAAAAACATATGACAAATAAAAAACCTGTTATTATTTAAAATGCGGACACTTAAGTGAAATGTAAATTTCGCCCAAAATTAGCGCCGCACACGCACAGCCACCGCATTAAGTGCAAAAGAAAAAAAATGCTGAACCCGCGTCAAGGATCCGCCAAATACAGTTACATCTTGGACGCACAAGAGCTCTTTACGAATTCTTATTTGGCTCGTGTACACAAGTTATTTGGAATACAAAAATTTCACCAGATCTTAAACAGCCCGACCACACACCGAAAAATATCACGCGTAGCTTCGACGGTGGCTTTTGTTTTGTTTTCTTTAATATCTTTTGGCACACTTAATAACAAATTTGACTTTTTGAAACTTTTCCATGACAGTCAGGGCCAACCAATGGCCAACTACAACACACACTCACACTGAGCCAATTATGTACAATGCACAGATAGACCCAGACCTGAAGCCTATAAGCATGCAACTCTGCAGTTGCCGGAGTATTATCACACTCGATTACCAGGCGCTGATACCGAAAATGGCTCCAAATTACAAAACACTTACTACAACTTTGGGGGCCGGTGTGGACCACAGCTGAGATATTTGGTTTGGTTGATAGCGGTAGCGTTAACTGAGAACGTCGCGAAACGAATGAAACTAAATCGCAAACTGTCAATGGCATATATACTTATATACTTGTATATGTACACGAGACGCTCGAGCTGAACCTCGAGCAGTAGCTGCAGCAGCAGCAGCAGCAGCAACGGCCGCAGCGACGGAGCAGCACAAAAAACGGTTAAAAATTGTTTAAACGGCCGCTGACTGTTGTGGTCGCAACTTTTTTGATAGCGCGTGCGAAAATCGCATGCGATAAATGCTAAGAAATTTTTGAAAAACACAAATCGTGCTAAATTTTAAATAAATATAGCAGATAACTCAATGACTAATGCCAATAGCGCAACATACCCACAATTTTATTAATTAATAAAAATACTAACCCAAGATGTGTACATATTTATACATATACAGGCAAAACTCGCTTAACGCTCTTTTATCTGGACACTCCTCTTAGGCGGACACTTTTTCTAGAACATTCGTTTCGGTGTACTTGTTAGAGCAATTTCGCCTCATGTGAGCGAACACTCTCTTGACCGGACACGGACACTATTTTTCGAAAAACTCTAACTCTAACTAGCGTTTCAAATGCATGCCTAAGCGTGAAACAGTAAAAAATTAACAGTTATAGACAGAAATATACCGACGTCTTTCTAAGCAAAAATAAGATAATAATGTCCGATTTTGATTTAAATACGTAAATAAGCAAATGGGCGGTCCAGCCAAAAGAGGTTTCACTGTATATGTCTACACATGTACCACACAAAAATTAAGGTTTATTGTTTTCATGGATATTTGACCGTTCCACAAACATACGAGCTGTGTATAACGAATATCGGAGTTTAATTATACATATGCACTTGTATTGTGCTATTTAATAAACAAATTACGACGACGTCTGCTGGCTGCTAAAATACCGATACTTCGTTTTCGACCTTTTGGGATTCGCTTCATTAGCAAACTTAACAACTATTGAAGAAAAGTAACCACGTTTTAATACCCTGTACCCAAATAGTATAAGGGTATGCTAGTTTTGTACGTATGTATGTAACATACAGAGGGAGACGTGGCAGACCCCCAAAGAATATATATTCTTGATCAGCATGACAAGCCGAATCGATATAGCAATGTCCGGCTGTCCGTCTGTCCGTCTGTCTGTATGAACGCAAGGATCTCCGAAAGTATAAGAGCTAGAATAACCAAACTTGGTATACAGATTCTCCTGAGCCCGAAAAAGGACGAGTTTGTTCATTTTTTCTGATCCATCCCCCCCCCCCCACTCCCCCCCTATTAACGATTTTCTATAACTCCCGTAATTCTTGGAATTTTAAACTAATTTGGTAGACACATCCAGTTAGTAATTATATATCCGTATACCAAGTTTCATTATGATAGGTTGATCAGAAACAAAGTTATAGCCATATAACCAGGCCCAATGCACACATACATACATATGTACAAGTACACAAACACGCATAAGGCACGATTCTGATGTAAATGTATGTATGCTTGCATGGAATATTTAATTTAGTTAATTAATTAAATTAATTTAGTTAATTAATTAAATTGAATTAATTAATTAATTTAATTTCTTTTTTGTGGGGTGTTACAGGGTATTTGAGAGTTGAGCCTGCTCGACTTTAGCATTCCTTTCTTGTTTTTTCTTAAGATTAAGTCTCGGTACGGCTTTAATAAGCCAGTATCACATATGAAATATTATTCTTGAGTTCCTTAAAAATTGGCTTCGTTTTTCAACAACGCTAATGCTGTCGATATAATTGAGAAAACAGCAACAGAATGTGCTAGTCCTATACATACATACAAGTATATGCAAAGTTATGTATATTCAAACTGGTTGAGGATATGAAAAGACCAATTCGTTTGATGATAATTTTTTATTTAAAAACTTCCCTAAAAGACTCCTAAAAGATTTAAATACGCCCTCGACTATGTTTTATTTAATGTAATACTTACACTATAATTTAACTTGGTAATTATTGTTTAACAGAAAAGTGGAATGGTAGCCAAAGCAAACCCAACTATTAAATGCCAAGTACCCACTCCTCCAAAAAAAAACCCCGACAGTGAAATACCCTGTACCCAATCAAGCATACATCGCTGTTTCGAGTGAACGCACGCGTAGCAGGTTATGAAAACTTTAGTTTATGTAGACTAATTTATTTAAACTGCATACATACAAAAAATTGCATAGTAAAAACAAGAAAGGAATGCTAAAGTCGAGTGGGCTCAACTCTTAAATACCCTGTACCACCCCACAAAAAAAAATTAATTAAAATACATATGTATGTATGCAGCACAAAGTTGAACCAAAGCAGTCACAACAACAACAGCTGCGGGCAAGCTGCAGGTAGAGCTGCGGGTAGAGCATGGGCAGCGATTTTATTTATGGCTATGACCTCCTTCAACATTGATCATGGTGACATACAGGCATACGGACGCATAACCACTAACTGGATGTAACTACCAAATTTGATTTCGAAATTCCAAGAATTAAGAATTAAGAAAAAAAAAAATCACAATTAGCAGGGAGTTGGGGGGTGCATCAGAAAAAAATCACAAACTCGTCCTTTCTCGGACTTAGGATAATGTGGATACCAAGATTGGTTATTCTAGCTCTTGTACTTTCTGAGATCCTTGCGTCCATACAGACGGACATGGCTATAGCGACTCGTCTTGTCACCCTGATCAAGAATATATATACTGCCACGCCTTCTTCTGCCTGTTACATACATTCGCACAAAACTAGTATAGCCTTTTACCCTTTGGGTACAGGCTTTAACAAAAGTGGATTGCCAAGTTACTAGAAGAGGGCGACTTACGAAAAATACTGACTATTTTGACACCAAGCTGCTAACTAGCAGCACCAGCACATCTAGAATCAAATGAGCGAGCGTCGCTCACGCCATGGAAAACTTTATTCGGTTTTGTCTACATATCTCGTCATGATTACTCTTCGGAAATTTTTAACGGGTAATAATATATTGTTCACCACGCTAAACGTATTTGTGCTGTGATTTATTGATTTCCTCTCACTAGCAAGCGCAGGAGATACTATTCTATAAATATTCTTATCTTCAGATGTAATATGACAAGGAGCTTACATTGATTGTCATCTTACCAAGATATTTTTTTTTGCACACGCATACGTGTAATGTAACATTATCAGCTATCCCTTTAAGTCACAACAAACGAAATGAAATGTTTGAGACTGGACGCTTTTGTTATCTAAAAAATATTTTTATTGATGCTTATGAGAAAGATAAACAACGAGAATTATCATGAAAGACAGTTATCTTTTGCAACATCCACTCAGTGACAAGTCTGTACATACTAGTAATAATTTAATACTTTTGTTTTCAAGTTATTGAAGCAGCGTTATGCATGCTTTATATTCTCCTTTATATTCTCTCCGCAACTTAAATTTAATACAATCGCAACGACAAAACATAGGTCACGCGTTTAGACACGAACAAAATTACAGTTAGCCGGTATTCATGGTGTTCACATATAACATGCGTAGCGCACAAATCTTGCCAACCAGCTGGCTGTATTCCATAATATTATCTGCATCGGGGCATGTACCAGTAAGCTGTAGTTTTTGAGAAGAAAATAATTGCGTTAACTATCAAAGAATTAAATTTGTCGCTTTATTTATATTTAGTGTACCTGTACATAGTGTCCATAATTCGTGCAGTGATTAGCATCAATCAGCAGTTTTACACTTTTTAAGTGTTCCTGCAAAAATTCATTGGCATCCCTAGCAGTACTATCGTTGTTCAGACGCTGATATTTATGGGCATCAAGTTTTGAGCGTATTTCTAAAAATAATATAAAACAATAACTCAATTAAAAATGTTTATCTACCAACAATGTGTTAGCTACCATCTGTGAGCTCGAACCATTCGTAGGTTTCTGGGCACAGCAAATAAGAAGCAGACAGCTTGCCTTTGTAACGCATTTTGGGGCAAGAGTGTATATAGAAACCCATATAATAATATTTTAGATCGGGGAATTGCTTAGCCAGTGTCTGTACAAAATCAATTTCTCTATAATTAAAAAAAAAACATTAAAAACGCCAGCATTAACAAGAAATCAAGATGACCTCACCTCAGTGAGCCGTATGTGCCCAAAGATAAGAAGCTATAGTCCGGATCGTAGAAAAAATACACTGAACTAATTGAGCATGGCAATATGTCAATAACGCCGACAGCTATCAATTTATCATCCAGCCAGTATTGTTGATGAAACGACCCATATCCCATGGGTGGACCTACTTGTGACTTTTCATTCTGAGAGCAGAGGAAAAATTGTGAATACACCGCATATCGAAAAATTTTGTAAAATATTCAATTGGGCAACCTTCATTGGTGACACTTTCAAATGTTCCAAATAGGCATTCTTATTCTCGGGCGTGTCATTGTGTATCAGAATTTGGTACTTCTTATAAAGCGCATAGCTTTGCGGCAATGTGCATTTAAACTCCTCGCCATCGACGTGCACCAATCGCAACTGTGAGTAAATTATTGATTTGTACACATATTATGTAATTACCTTTAACGGCGAATTAACCAAAAACCGCTGCATACTAGCTGGAGTGAGGCGTGCAGGTTTATCGTTGTGTATAGCTAACTGATATTTACAATAAAGGGCGTGAACTACTTCAGCACAGGTACGCTGCGTATCAGAGCTAGCGACCAACACGATCTGCAAAAACACAAACGTCGAGGGTACATGGTACATAGAGGGGCGCAAGGTATAACCAACAACAAAAGGTTCCACGCCAGCTAAGTTGTGCAAACGGCTATGCGAAAGGATATACAATCACATACCTTTAACTTGTGCTTGTTATTGTCGCTGGGTTCAGCTAGAAAGTCGCGTAATGATTTTTCCTGTGTTAGGGCCTTAGATTTAGGATTTTCAGACTTCGGCGTTCCTGCTTCACCCAATTTAGCTTGCCTACGCTCTAAGCGCATTTGTTTCGCCTTCTTACGCGGTGGATTTGAAGCAGCTGGGGAAATGAACAAACCTTTAAAATACAATTGGGCAGGAAAAACACATTGTGTAGAACCTGTCGACAATGATAGGGATATTTTGGCAGATCCGCTAGTATTTGAAGATTCCTTTTTTAAAGTCTCAATCATTTCAGCTCGTCGATGCTGCTGCTGTGCTTTGGCTAGTGCAGCTACCTGGTCAACATCAATGTTGACGGGCGCCTTATTGGGCAATTGTATCAGTTCCTCACATTCATTGTCCCCAGTGGCACCGCCATCGCCTCCGCCATTTGCCGAGGTGCTCATTTGGTTGTCCTGTTCGTTAACTTCACGCTTTCCATCCCGTAAAAAGCGATTCATGCGCCTCATGACCCGCTTGTTTGATTTGCTGAGCCTAAATTCCAGAGCATCGCATTTTATGGTATAGCAGGGGCAGCAAGTCTCATTATTTTGTGGCTTATAACAGTACATCCCACAGCGACGCCAACCGCGATCTATAAGTTCCTGATAATCTTCGCAGGTCAATCGAAAAGCATGCATTCCTAAATAAAAATAATAAACATTCGGTTTATTATTGAACTATATAAATACATATATTTATACATACATATATACATATATGTATATGTATCTATGCTCATGTACATCTATGACGTAAAAACAAACATTCGTTGTATATATCCATATATATTGTATATACATATATTAAGAACGAATGTTCGTTTATATATACATATATACATAGTTACATAAATACATACATACATATGTAAATTTGGAATTGCAATGGCTCACCATGCGATCGGCCGCGGTTCAATTCTTTGCAGTAGCCGCATTTGTTGTTCTGCTTTCCAAAGTATTGGACGATGCTGACAGCCATTGTTTTGTAGAAACAAATATTATTTTAAAGGTTCTTATAAATGTTAACATGAAAACTAAACATCTTCGCCTGTTTGAGAATCAATCAGAATTTTTACGTATTGCTGTGAATAAGTTCATTAAAATGGTTCATGAAATGATTTGGTTCTTTTCCAACTGAACAACAGTTGCCAAGTCTAACTGGCCAAGTACAAAGACCACAGAATAGCCAAGGATGCCAACTCGACATTTTTTCCGTCAAATCTGATTGTTTTTATTTTTAAAATCCAATTGCGGGAAATATTTAGGGAAATTTTGCCTTTTTAAAAATATAAATATATTTTTTGAGGCGAAACGTAGGACCTCACTCACAACTAGGTCCCACTTTCCAGTATTTTCTCACCCTATGTGTTATTTTTCAAACAGACGCACGCAGGGTATAGTCAACATAAGAAAAATGGTTCCGATACTTAATGCAATGGTTTTTCAACAAATATATAATGGACGAAGATGGTCGCGGTGGGAACAAATAAAGCTCCACCATTCGCATTCGTTATTAGATATAATTGTTTTTGTAGGGTTTTTGAATTTGACTTTTTAAGCTCTCTGTTGCATTGCATTGAATACATTTAAGCAAAAAAACTTCATTTGCTCGGGCTCTTAAATAATGCCCATATAAAAGCCAACTTCCTCAGGCTTTCGAAGAATTAGAAAAGGCTTTGAAGGTTAACTCGAAATTTATAATTAATGTGCTGCAACCAGCTCCTTCTCCACGGACTTAAAGGAAACGATTTTGATAAATCGAATTTTATTAGTTTCTTGTGTAAAAGCCAGTTAAGTTTCGCAAAAATTTCAAAAGGGAAAACTGAAAGAAAAAAAATCAAAGCTATATTTACAGAGGGGGTTGTAAATCTTTTATTTTAAAAATTTACGGGCGTTGAATAAATATCGCAGCAGTGCCATCTCTTCCCAAAACTGCGATTGCATTCGATAGGTGATTAATTTTAATATCGAGAGCATCTGAAAGTAGTTCACAAAGGCAACGGCTTAATTATTTAATTAAAGGGGGGCCAAATAACTATGACTTAAATAAGGTCCATCTACAACAGGCGTTGTAGGTAAGCATAAATAAAATTTGAATTATGATGGAGTGTGCAAGTAAGTAGATGAAATTTCACGCAGGCTTACTAATGCGTAGTTTGGAAGTGAAAGTTGGTGCTGCAAGTTGAGATGAAAATACAGACGGTGATGTATGAATGGTTTTCAGTAGTTGTTTATCGATTTTAGTGCATACATTTAACGTATAATACTATAACAATTATATTCGTTTTCAGCAACTGAAATGATTGACGCAGCGGCAGCTGACACGCCAACAGCTGCGCTTGCTGGGCCTACAAAACTAAATACTCTCATTGATGACAATCTCAAGTTGGAAAACAAAGCCAACGGAAAGAATGGCCCATTAACTCCATCGTCATTATCCACCAACGTATCCGTACCCGCCGAATTGCAAGAACAACCCGATTACTATGGTCTATACGTTGAATGTATGGAACATGCTGCCTACTTTGCCAAGGATCACACAGAATTTGGTCAACGACTGCATGCCGCACATGTTGCATGGCAGGATTTCATAATCCTAGCCAATCATCTGACATTAGAAATAGCTTCTTTTGCCCACACATATGATTTTGACGACTTGACGCCAGGAAATGGCTATCGTAGCTTCATTTATGTCACTGATGCTTGCATTGCCCATGGCCGGAATATTTGCAAGCAATTGCTTCAGACCCGCGCCACCCTCTTCTTTCGAAAGAAGTTCTTCATGAAAGAGGTCGAATCTTGCTCACAATTGCTCTCATCACTTTGCACCTGCCTACACTATTTACTTATATTGCATGAATGGGCAGGAAACACAGGCGACTTGTTTGCCTCCGGCCGGCACACAGCCGAGCAGTTGTTTGAGCTCGGCGACACCATTAATCAATATTGCTTTTATGGACGTTGCCTTGGCTTTCAATACGGCGACTCAATACGCGGCGTATTGCGCTTCATAAGTATTGGCATGGCCAGCTATTCAGAGACCTACTATTCACAGGCTGATGACAGCACTATTTTGAAGACAACCCGTAGTCTTTGGACCAGCGGCAAATATTTAATAAACCCGGAACTGCGTGCTCGGCGAATCGTGAATATCTCACAGAATGCCAAAATTGACTTCTGCAAGTCGTTTTGGTTTCTTGCTGAATCGGAGCTAATGCATAAACTTCCCAGTATTGTAGGAAGCTCGATAAAGGTAAATCGTCTGATTGAATTACCCGCTGAGCCGCTTCAGTTGCCACTTCGTAGTTTCGGCGATTCAACCGCCCAGAAGAAACTGTTAGTAGAATCTGATGAGAATCAAAACAAAGATGACGATATTCATGCCGTACATGCCACAAATTTTGTGGATATACCTGTGCCGAGTGCTCACCTTGGACCCGGATTACCAGTCTCAGTGCGTCTGCTCAGCGCTAAACGGCGCGCTGGGATGCTGGGTGAGGGTAAATTCCGTGGATGGCACAAACCTATTCCAGCTAGTAGCTCTATTTTGCTCCACTGCCATGGTGGTGGCTTTGTAGCGCAATCGTCCAAGTCCCACGAATTGTATCTACGCGACTGGGCAGTTGAGTTGGACGTGCCAATACTATCGGTGGACTATAGCCTGGCTCCCGAAGCGCCTTTTCCGCGCGCACTTCAGGAAGTTTTCTACGCCTACTGCTGGTTGCTGCGCAATGCCGAGCATTTGGGCACAACCGCCGAACGTGTTATTTGTGCTGGTGACTCTGCGGGGGCCAATCTCTCCATTGGCTTAGCACTCATGTGCATCGAGCAGGGAGTTCGAGTTCCAGATGGCCTTTTTCTGGCCTACTGTCCCACTTTGGTAAGTTTTGTGCCTAGCCCGGCGCGGCTGCTATGCCTTATGGACCCTCTATTGCCATTTGGTTTTATGATGCGCTGCTTGCGCGCATATGCCTCACCGGCCAGCGAAACACTGCAGCAAAATGCCAAACATGTTGAAGAACTGGCTGAAATACGCAATGTGACGCAGAAAGCCCAGAAGGATATGTTGCAGCCCAGCGCTAGCTCCAGCCGCCGTACATCAGCTGCCAAGAGTCATCCCTCGTCGTTAGAACTGCAGAACTCAGAGGTGGAGGCGCCTGAAACTGCTGAAGAGTACCTGGACCGAGAGGACAGCAGCGATACCTTTGCCAGCGCCTCGTACCACAGCCAAACTGTCGAGCGGACCGACTTATTCTCCAGTCAGGGCGACAACAGTTCGTGCGTGTCTTTCGAAGACGACTCGCAGCCTATTGTACATTATCCTATTGAGGTCTCAGCGGAGCCAACCAAGGATTCGGCTTCAGCGGCGTATATTGATAAATTTCTTGACAAGTATCTTATTGATACAGCAACAATGGAAGCCACCGAGGAAATCTCCAGCACAGTTCCGACGAAATTAAACGGTAGCATGGCGCAGCATGACAGAAGCAGTTCCGAAGAGAACATACTGATTGAAACGGGCCGGGATTTGGCCGTAGATACGTTGCAAGGTCGCCTTCAGGATGCCGTTAACAACATTACCAGTACACTGAATCGATGCACCCAATCCTATGAGATACACGGATCCCATATTCAGGGTACAGGTGGTTGCCAGCAAGACGTACGGAATATGGACGCCTTGATTGCACGCAGTCCAAGTGAAGAGTTTGCGTTTGATGTTCCAAAGGATCCATTTTTATCGCCTTATTGGGCCTGCGACGAGTGGTTATCACAGCTACCGGAAACAAAAATACTTGTATGTATTACTAAAGTGGGTTACTACTGATATTATTATAGTTAAATATCACTAATGCACAGACACTCAATATGGATCCCTGCCTTGATGACTGCGTCATGTTTGCCAAAAAGTTAAAACGCTTGGGCCGCACAGTTAGCTTAGAAATCCTCAAGGGCCTACCACATGGATTTCTCAATTTTACAATGGTAAAAAAAAATGTTCCCAAACTTATTGAAATTGTTACTTACCCATTCATTCACACACTCCCAGCTATCAAATGAGGCAATGGACGGTTCAAAACACTGTATTAAATTACTAAAAGAATTGCTTCAAGGCACGCCCTCCTCCACGCCCACGCACAACAACGATGACGACAGTAGTAGTAGCAGCCATGCAGAGGTAGGTGACGATCAGTCGTCCAGCCGAAGTGCCTGTATTGAAGCGTTGTCGACAACAGCGCCGTAGTGCTGACTCGCATTTAATGTTGAGCTATGTATATGGATTAGACAAATACCTATATCCAGATTTATACATACATTTACACACAAATTGATACATGTACTAGAATCTACTCTCCTTGTTCACGTTTCTTGCTTTTGGGTGCTACAATTTTATAGATACACTCAGTTTTGTACGAATTTCACGACAGCTCAATACGCTTTGCATATAATTTATTGTTTACAACGTATAAAATGTACATTGGTATAACATAGTGTACACTATGTAATCAGGTCAAGTTATTAAATACTCACGTACATAGGTACAAAGTAGAGTTGGGAAAATTTCATAATGCAGATTACTAATCTGCTACCCACGTTAAATTTTATTCCCGGAGCACAAAATATCAGCTACAGCGAAAAATAGCAGTACGGAGTTCTGATCGGGCAAAAAAAAAAGCAAAGTGAAGGGAACTCTCCTGTGTGCCTGCAATTTATGTACTTACTAATATTAATAAACGCTAGCCTAACCTTTAATCTGAATTGTGTATTTATTATACATAAACATATACGCACGTTTTTGTACAACCAGTGTCATGCGAATAAAATATACAACCGTTTGCATTGTGATTTGTTTTATTAACCATGGAAATGCTATCGCAAAACCCCAGAAATAGTTACATGTTTGCAAGTTTTTGAGGAAGTTAGTAGTACGACATAAATATGTGAGTATGCAGCTTTATATGTATGTTTATGATTAAAGGCAATGGATAAAGATAAATGCAGACTTCTATGTTTCGTTATCTTCGATTTTAGGGGCCAGGTAATAACGTATGTGGCCCAGCTCGTTGATGCGGTATTCGACCACCAGAGGCACATCCGCACACATCGACAGCTGAACTTGTGTGGATAATGGGGTGGCCTTGGTAAAGGCATTTAGGTAGCGGCAGGCAAACGTCAATGTAACTGGCTCTTGCATTTCAATGATGACCGCCTCTTCTTCTTTGTCAACGTTGCCGGTCTGCGCAAGTTTAATATTTGCGGTACCCACGTCGCCAGAAGCCGAGAACTTAACACCCTCTTTAGTGCAACAAATTACAACAGACTCGCTGAACTGGGCCAAATCACGACAGATGCGAGCGAATTCCATGGCTGGCATGCGGACGACACATGAGTAGTCCGTTTCCGGGATACCCAGGTGCTCCTGATCGAGATTCATCAGCTTCATTCCATAGTCAGAGACTTTCTCTTGGTTTGCTGACTCAAACATTATTGTTACAGTATCGGCGTTGTCCTGTGCTTTTATTGTTACATTATCTTCGTTGTTGGCGCATTTCAGTATCTTGGCCATGCTTCCCAAATTCATACCCATAGATAGATTACGATCGCAGCGAAATTTATCAAAGCCATCTGACCGCAGCGTCAATGAGACCAAAGAAACGTGGGAGTTGTCCATGGCTTGAAGCTGTAAAAGTTGTTTAATATTAGTTGGTGTCTATAAGCTAGCTCCCATACCCATCATGTGAGTGTGGAAATCGTTGTCATTAATCGTAATCCCATTCTCACCTGTATTCCCGAATCACTGCAATCGAATGTGCCTTCATTGAGCAAATCTTTAATAGCATCAAGTATTTTCTTGAGAATGGTGGCTTGACCTAAGCGTGCCTCGAACATGATTACTATTTATGCGATCTTAAACCCTTTATGGAATGATAGTTACACGATTCGCGTAAACGCGCTGCTTGCTTCACTTAGTTGCGTACTGCAAATGAAGCAACAACGGCGGTAAAAACGGCGTTTTGGCGCGAACCAGTTGTCATTAGTAAAAACAAGAGCGGCGCTGCCACCCTTTTTAAAAAAGTATTGCAAATGTCGCACTTTTAGTCAATGGTCTTATAATACACATGCATAGAATAGACGAATAATTATTACAAAAATCACTTTAAACTAATCTTGTGGAGACTAAAATTAACAGAAACGTTTTTGTTTCTGGGTTTGTGTCTTTGCCTTTCGCACCATGTGTCGCATATCCTTAACGCCCAACCCTGTTAAAACAAGGCGCAAAATTAGTTTTAAGCTAAATTGTACATTCATCAGAAGTCAATCGCTTACCATGCACTGTCTGCAATTCCATTGTGCCTTCAGAATCAAGCCGTGTTAAAAAGTTTATTATTTCATAATGCTGGCGCATGACCGCAACGCAAACAGCGGGAATAAGCGAGGATAAATTGAAATCCTGATAAGTACGATAGCGAAGAAGCTCGACCACTAGTTGGAAATGGCCAGCGTATGTGGCAAGTGTGAGTGCGTTCTGACCAAAATAATTAATGGCATAGATGTTTGCTCTAAATTCCAGTAGCGTACGTGCACACTCAAAGCGGCCCAGATAGCAGGCATATAATAAAGGAGTATTTCCGAATCGGTCCAGCGCTTCAATATTGTACCGACTATTTCCTACCAATGTGCAAATTATGCGAAGTGACACTATGTCGTCTTGGTCAACACAAGAAAATGCTGAGAAGTGAAAAATCCCATAAATATATTGAAAATAGAGCCTCATTTTAATAAAACTTACCATCGCAGTCATTCATTTTTCCAAATTCTCGTTCACCCATTTCGTAAATTGCTTGCATCGCGTTAACGGCACTTTTGTCAGGGCTCCGAAACTACACTTCCCGCAAACATGCAACTCTCTCCAAATTCGTTTTCCACACTAGAAATTTAAAACTTAACAACACTGATTTTCGAAATGTCAAACTCGAGAAGAAGAAGCGCATCCGCTTTCTTTTCCGACTGAATTTTGTCGCTTCAAAATCGCAAAATGGTGCGTCTGCCGAAAATCGTCATAAATCCAGTGCATCCAACTGCAAATGTGCAAAATATGCATGCTAAATCTTCATTCGTGTGAATGGAAGTGCAATGCTGCATTTAAAGAGCAATAATATTGCAATTGCAAGCTATTGGATTCATTGTTATTATGCTTTAATAGAGTCGACTGTCAATAAAAATCTGTGTTTTCCTCTCTACAGTCGCTCGTCATCCCGGAGAAGTTCCAGCACATTCTTCGTATCATGAATACGAACATTGATGGTAAACGCAAAGTAGGCATTGCCATGACTGCCATCAAGGGTGTGGGTCGCCGCTACTCCAACATTGTGCTGAAGAAGGCCGATGTCGATTTGACCAAGCGTGCCGGCGAATGCACTGAAGAGGAGGTACATAGGAATTTAAATTAATTATTTGTCAATGGCAAGTTATTATTATGTTTCGCTTTTGTTTACGTTGCAGGTCGACAAAATTGTCACCATTATTTCAAATCCGCTGCAGTACAAAGTACCCAACTGGTTCCTCAACAGACAAAAGGATATCATCGATGGCAAGTACTCGCAGCTGACTTCATCCAACTTAGACTCGAAGTTGCGTGATGATTTGGAGCGTTTGAAGAAGATTCGCTCACATCGTGGTCTACGTCACTACTGGGGCTTGCGTGTGCGTGGTCAGCACACCAAAACAACAGGTCGCCGTGGTCGCACCGTTGGTGTATCCAAGAAGAAGTAAGCAGCCTACGGTGATCTGTTTTGCGGTGTTTTTTACATATAATTCTAACAACAACCATAAAAACAGAAATACATGAAAAATTAAAAAACAAACTTGGAGCCAATATTCTAATGAAAAATGTGAAACTGTGTGTAGTTTACCTCTCACCTAAAGCTGCGTATGTTAATGCTACGATGGTTGGCCAGGCGCTGTTGGCTGTAAAAATATTTTACTTAACTAGTGCATAATTTATTTTGAGACTCGTTTGCATCGCAACATAAAACTACTTTGTAGACCCTGCGCCCGAAGGGTAACACGAGTTTATTGGTAAATTACTATTCACTGTTCCAAAGCCACATAGATGCATCTTTGCATACGCAAATAATGTCAATCTCTACATTTGTTTGTGTTTTAACGATCAAGATTGTAACTAAAACTATCGACTTAACCGCTACAAACTATAGATTTTTTATAAGTACTATGGCTTGCACAACATCATGCGAAATTTGTGTGTTTCACGGTTATATGGAGAGTATACGAGTATAAGGATTAACAGAGGGAGTCGTTTGTTTTTCGACTATAATCTGGTTTTTGAAGCAACTAACTTGTATTTCCGTGGTCTCGATAATATAGTATAATACCAGCATTTAAAGTACTCTTCCAAGAATTGCAACAGCGCCCGAGTCTGGGCAAGAGTGCTAACGCTAGTCTGGCTACACAGATTCTTTGCGTGGATTTAAATTCTAGTCTGTTGGCTTTTGTACTCCATATTATTAGCTATGGACGTTTTCAATACCCATACAATGTATTAGAGCAGGAGCGGTATGGGTAAGAATGGTTTTTTGGTTCCGTGTTACTATTACCCTTTCTGAAAATTGCATTTGCCCATGATTGAAAGCACTAAAAGGACGAAAAGATTCCTGCTCGTGGAAAACATTATATTGAGTCGGTAAGTAATTATTATTTTTATACCCTGTACCCAAAGGGTACAAGGGAATATTAGTTTTGTGCGAGTGCACATGGAACACACAGAAGGAGGCTTGGTAGACCCCACAAAGTATATATATTCTTGATCAGCATGACAAGCCGAGTCGATATAGCCATGTCCGTCTGTCTGTCTGTCTGTATGAACGCAAGGATCTCCGAAAGTATAAGAGCTAAAATAACCAAACTTGGTATACAGATTCTCCTGAGACCGAGAAAGGACGAGTTTGTTCATTTTTTCTGATCCACCCCCCCACTCCCCCCCTATTACTGATTTTCTATAACTCCCGTAATTCTTGGAATTATGAACTAAAATTTGGTAGTCACATTAGGTTCGTAATTATATATCCGTATACCAAGTTTCATTATGATAGAATGATCGGAAAGAAAGTTATAGCCATATAACCAGGCCCAATGCACACATACATACATATGTACAAGTACACAAACACGCATAAGGCACGATTCTGATGTAAATGTAAATGTATGTATGCATGCATGGAATATTTTATATTTAATTTAGTTACTTAATTAAATTAATTTAGTTAATTAATTAAATTAAATTAATTAATTAATTTAATTACTTTTTTGTGGGGTGGTACAGGGTATTTAAGAGTTGAGCCTGCTCGACTTTAGCATTCCTTTCTTGTTATTAATAAAAAGAGAACGTTACAGTCGAGCAAGCCCGACAGTGAAATACCCTATACCCAGGTAAACTTCCGTCACTGAGTTATATGCGCCCATAGCAGCAGCAAAAAGAGGAAGAAGAAGAGCGAACTTGTTGCTGCAGTTTGGGGAGGTTGTACTGGAGAGAATTTGTTTCGCGAATAACTTTTCTTAGAATTGATCAAATTGGATAAAATTTTAAACAACAGTAGATATTTATTTATTAATTATGTGTGCAAAGTTTGGTTTAGGTAGCATTTGAAATGTGGACGCTATTGACAAAATTCTGTAGCGGGGGAAGGGGGGGAAAATTAAAAAAAAAAAAAAAAAACTCGTCCTTACTCGGATCTAGGAGAATCTGGATGCCAACTTTGGTTATTCTAGCTTTTATAGTTTCTGAGATCCTTGCGTTCATCCAGACGGACGGACATGTCTAGATCGATTTCTCTCGTCATGCTGCTTCAGTATATATATACTTTATGGGGTCGGAGATTTTTCCTTCTGCATGTTACATACTTTGCACAAACCTAATATACCCTTTTTACCCTACGGGTACAGGGTATAAAAGAAACTAATTTTGCCAAATAACAAATATGTGATTTTGGGAATGACCTTATAAATAAAGATGCAAATGGGGAAAATAAATCCTAGCAAAGTTTGCGTCAACGTTTCGAAAGATACATTAGTGGTATTTCTACATCAGATTTTGGTTAATTTATTACAAATATAAATCAGTTGAAAGAATACCAAATCAAAGAAATAAAACGAGCTACAATCGAACGAACCCGACGTGGAGATACCCTGTACCCAGGCAACCCTGAAGCACTGAGTTATATGCACCCATAGGAGAACAAAAAGAAGTAGAACGAATTTTATCCTGCAGTTTGTGGGAGTAGTAGATTACGTATAACAAGAAAGGAATGCTAAAGTCGAGCAGGCTCAACTCTTAAATACCCTGTACCACCCCACAAAAAATTATTTAAATTAATTTTATTAAATTAATTAATTAATTTAATTTATTTAATTAATTAATTTAATTTAATTAATTAACTAAATTAATTTAATTAATTAACTAAATTAAATATAAAATATTCTATGCATGCATAGATACATTTACATTTACATCAGAATCGTGCCTTATGCGTGTTTGTGTACTTGTACATATGTATGTATGTGTGCATTGGGCCTGGTTATATGGCTATAACTTTCTTTCCGAGCATTCTATCATAATGAAACTTGGTATACGGATATATAATTACTAACCTATTGTGACTACCAAATTTTAGTTCAAAATTCCAAGAATTACGGGAGTTATAGAAAATCAGTAATAGGGGGGGAGTGGGGGGACGGATCAGAAAAAATTAACAAACTCGTCCTTTCTCGGTCTCAGGAGAATCTGTATACCAAGTTTGGTTATTCTAGCTCTTATACTTTCGGAGATCCTTGCGTTCATACAGACAGACGGACATGGCTATATCGACTCGGCTTGTCATGCTGATCAAGAATATATATACTTTGTGGGGTCTACCAAGCCTCCTTCTGTGTGTTCCATGTGCACTCGCACAAAACTAATATACCCTTGTACCCTTTGGGTACAGGGTATAAAAATCAAGCTTATCAATTTCCCCTAAAAAAATAATTGAGCCATCTTATTAGTTTATTTTCATAATGTCGCTTTTGTCTTGGGACAAGTCCATTGGGAGTTAATGGGCTGAATATACATACATATGTATATGAATGTACACGTATACGTGTGTATACTCTATTCTTTATATCTTCACAGAAACCTAGGTGATCAATTAAGCGTGAAACGAATTTTTATTGTGTCAACGGGTTCAACTCAAAATTAGTCCTATAATTGATGCTAAGTTGCATTTTGGCCAACTCTTCGTATCAAGATTATTCCAAAGACCCAAGGCATTCGCACAGGACAAACTCAAAAGTTATTTTCGCGGGCACCAGTTCAAACTGCGATTTCATCGAAACCTGAGGAAATAAGTATCAATGTGACTAGTTGTGAAAAGTTGTGCATTGATATCTCTTAAAAATGGTTTTGATTTTACCCAAAAAGTATTTATACATTTTTATACGCTGTACCCAAAGGGTATACTAGTTTTGTGCGAATGTATGTAACAGGCAGAAGATGGCGTGGCAGACCCCACAAAGTGCATATATTCTTGATCAGGGTAACAAGCCGATAGATAGGTTAATTATGACGAAAGTTATAGCCATAAATATTTTCTGTCTTCCCGCAGCTGTTGTTGCTGCTGCTTTGACAAAATTATGTACTGCATATAAACACGCATAGACACGATTATGTGAATGTATGCTGTTCACACTGTACTTAAAGATGTCTTCACTTTTGTATGTACATATGTATGTATTGAATATTTTTTATTTAATTAATTTAATTCTTTTAATTTTCTTTTTTTGTGGAGAGTACAGGGTGTAGCGTTCTCTCTTGTTTGAAATTAAATGTCTTAGAATATTCAGCCCTAAGATTTTTCCCTCCACCATTTGCACGCTCCGTTATTTTTTTCGACGCCGTTTTTGTTCATATAGTTTTCAATAATTATAGCCTGTACCTAAAGGGTGAAAGGCTATACTAGTTTTGTGCGCATGTATGTAACACACAGAAGGAGGCGCGGTAGACCCCACAAGGCATATATATTATTGATCAGAATGACAAGACGAGTCGATATAGCCATGTCTGTCTGAATGAACGCAAGGATCTCAGAAAGTATAAGAGGTAGAATAACCAAACTTGGTATCCAGATTCTCCTGAGCCCGAGAAAGGACGAGTTTGTTCATTTTTTCTGATGCACCCCCCCCCCCCCCCACTCCCCTCCTATTCGCGTTTTTCCCATAACTCCCGTAATTTTAGGAATTTTGAACTCTAGTTAGTGATTATGTGTCCGTATACCAAGTTTCATTATGATAGGTCAATTATGAAGAAAGTTATAGCCATAAATAAAGTCGCTGCCCATGCTTTGCCTGCAGCTCTGCCCGTAGCTGTTGTTGTTACTGCTGTGACTATTTTATATTTAATTTAATTAATTAATTAACTTCTTTTAAAATTTTTTTTTAACTTTCCTTTTTTTGTGGAGAGTACAGGGTATTTTACTGTTTGCTCGACTGTAGCGTTCTATCTTGTTTTAATATGTTTTCAGTCTAGTGCGAATAATTTGCCAAAACAATCTTGGCCCTCTGAATTAAATCCTGGCTACGCCCATGCATCTTCTTAACTGTGAGGTAAAAGTTATTTGTAATATCATTATGAAATGTAATTGTCAAATTTGAGTAGAAAATATTGGAGTCTAAAAAATAAGCCACTTAATCCCTCTCGGGCTAAGGGGAAGCTAGATACGAACTTTGGTTATTCTAGTTCTTGTACTTGCTGAGATCATACATGACTATATCGACTCCTTTGGGGGTCTCATACACCTCCTTCTGTGTGTTACATACATTCTGCTAAACCCTTTGGACACAGGTTATATGTATCTGTAGGTATGTACATCATATACTTGTGTATAGTCTCTATTCTACTTCTTTTTTTCACCTCATGCGCGTTGGCTTCATTTCGTCCATTAGTCAAAACGAAAGAGCAAACAACAGGTGGAAAAACTTTCCACTTGTATGCAAATAAAACAGAAAGAAGCACACAAAGAAGTGTTTCTCGTCGACTTGACCAATTAATGCTTTGTTGTCAGCCCAGCAGATATTTGTATAAAATTTAAGCGCTTCCAGCACAAATCGACACGCTGTTATAGACAATGTGCCAATTGAACTTTGTGCCGACGCCATGACGCAACGGACCCTTGGAATATTCTTCGTGGTTATGAAATATTATTCATATTTTATTTGCTTATCGAGCAACGGCAAGAAGTTAGTTTTCGTGTATGTATAGTATGTATGTATGTAATACACACATACATGCATACACACGTATTCATATGAATAGTTGATGGTGTACGAGACCGTTCGTTTATACGAAAAAGCATTTCTAAGCCAATTTTCGTTTTCCCATCAGTAAACATTTGGTTTTGTTTTTAATGGCCAGCACATTTAATTTTGTTACTAATTACATGTGTTCGTTACATTTGGTGTTTCACTTAATATTATTATTGAGTTATTGTTCAATGCACATATAAATAAGTAATAAATTCAGCAGAAAGCAGCTGTAGTTACTTGTATAATTTGTATCTACGTATAGTAAGTGCATATGAACATATATGTACTTGTATACACAAGGAGGTAAATGAGTTCTGCTATAAAATTGTGGCTATCTATGGCTAAAATGTATGCCCTCCTACATTTTTTTTTGCAGATTGCAAATTGGAAGACTCCTTTACGCTGGTTCGTAGTTAACAATGTAAAAATTGCATACAGGTATACAAATACATAGGTCACATTGGTATGCAATTTTAGGTACGATGAACAGTTTCAAATTCTACATTTACATCTATTTTGTATATCCTCCATAATATATTGTGTTCACGTTAATAAGTTACTTTAGGTAGCGCTTGTGCCATGGCTGTGGCTAACAAATCACTACGTATGAATGTGTTTTTGTACATTATTTAACAATGACGAAATGAAAAATATAAGTACGTTGTCTTACAATGTATCCCTAAGCTTGACCAGCATTTCATCTTGAACGCCTTGCTGCTGCAGTTGTTGTTTCCGATGTATATTTTGGAAACGACGCGATAGTGGCGGCGCAAATAAATCGTAGTCCAGCAGTTTCTGTTGCCTATCTAAGTAAATTTGAGAATTGTCCGCGCATTTGAAGTATGCCAAGAGAATGCTGAAGCAGTAGCCGCAGGAACTTGTGATTAGAAATCCCAGAACACAGGACCACATATAGGAGAGGCGATATAGCCAAAAGAAGTGCGGCTCTGGAACCAATGGCGGACTCTCTGTAAATCCGCGAAGTACCTCGATAAATGGTTCGCTGCTGCTACCAGTTGAATTGTTTAAGCTGCAACCCGCTGTGCTTAAGTCGAGGATGGGCGGCTTTGGTTTGGGACCGCCAAAGCCGATCCAGAAGGAGAAGAGCAAGCCCAACATAAATCCCAGCAGCACACCGCGTTGATTAGTGCGTGTGGTAAAGATCCCCATGGTAAAAATACCCAATAGGGGACCTCCGACCACGCCGAAAATTGTAAGTGATGCCTGTAGAACGCCACCTAAAGAGCCGGCCCCAAAGGCCAAGGCTATACACAGAAGGCCATAAATACAAGCCACGATTTTGGTTGGAAACGTTGACTTTGAGTCCACCAAAGCGCTTTTAAAAAAAGTTTTGTACAGCGGCTTCAGATAGTCCTCCAGTGTGACAGCCGAGAGCGAGGTAACAGCTGAGGAAATTGTCGAAAGACTGGCCGAGAATATTCCCGAAACGAACAGGCCACACAAACCGGGATATTGGCCTAAATTACATGGTTAGATAAATGTGCAGATAAATATCACAGTCAGATAATCAACTATATGTTATACCCACCCATGGTATCAACTGCAAAAAGAGGCATTAACTGATCTCCTGACTTAATGCGACCCTCCAGCATGGGATCACAATTTCGATAGTAATGGAACATTGCCAGGCCACTAAAGATTGTACTAAAGCTCAAGGTGCAAAGTATTGGCAGATTCCACCAAAGCGCCGATTGAGCGCCTTTTAAATTGCGCACACTTAAAAGTCGCTGAACTTGCGTCTGATTGACACCATAGAGTGAAAGGTAGGTGACCATACCGCCGATAATTAGACTCCACCATGTATGCCGTACCGTGGGATCTATTGAGAAGTCCCAGAGCTCCACACGACCGCGCTCAAGGGCCACCTGCCAAATAGCACCGAGGCCTCCCGCCTTTATAGCCGACACCGTAATCACAGCATAGATGCCCGCGAACATTAAAAACGATTGAAAGACGTCCGTGATGAGAACAGCTTTAAGGCCGCCCAGGGTGGAGTAGAATGTGCAGACAAGTCCTATTACTAGTATGGCAGTAGTCTTGTTGATGCCTGTGACCGCTTCTAGCGCCAAGGCGGGTGCATATAGAGCGATAGCCATGTATAGCACCATTTGAAGGGTGAACGCTATTGAGGCTGCCAATCGTGTTGCATGGCCAAAACGTCGCTCCAGATACTCGTATACGCTGGTTGTCCGCATACGATAAAATACGGGCAGAAACATATAAGCGGCGATTGGTGTACTCAGCAAATAGGATATGTTGATAACGCAAAACATCGTACCAAATTGATAAGCCTCGCTGGAAACACCCATTAGTGTTATGGCTGACATGAAGCTGGCCATCAGGCTAAATGATACCGGAAAGGTGGTCATACTCTGATCGGCCATCAAATATTCCTTCGTTGTCTTCTGCTTGCCGCCAGTATATCGGTAGTATATTCCTATCAGCGCTGATATGATCAGTATGCTTGCTAAAACCACGGCATCCCAGCCGTCAAAAGAGCCGACGGCCATACTGGACGAGTGTTATGCTTTTGTTGCAATTAATTGATTTTTCCACACAAACAAATCACTGTAAATACACGCGTGCATGTGAACATCTATGACGCTTTTGAGCGGCTACTCGTTCGATCGGAACACCGCTCGTGATGACCTTTTTACTGTCAGCGTTCTTCAATTGAACCCGAAGTACACGGCACACGAATAAAGTAACGTGATTCGGTGCTCGGCACAAATCCCGTCCGCCACCCAACAACCGTAAAGCTCAGCCGTTAAATAACAACTGTTCTGTGCTATTCCACAATCAGCTGTTTTACGCGTCGATTTGTACTAAAAAGGAGGGCTGCCCTACACAAGCTATTACAGTTTTAAAAGCATTGAGGCGTCTGGGCATAACGGAAAATAAAATATCTAAAAAGCAAGAAAAATTGTGTAATTGAAGAATTGTGTTATCATATATGTAGATAATAAACATTCAGTAATTCTTCACTTCGTTGTCAATTACTGTACATATTCTCATGGCATTTCTTTAAAACCTGCCTCTCATCGCTTTCTATTAAGATTTTATTTAATGTATTTCAGCTCAGTGTATTTAGCACAGTGACTGAACTAAACGTTGAGAAGTCTTGGGCATTTTTTAAAACTAACATTAAAAAAACACAAAATATGTTTAAAATAAAAAATCACTTTTTAAATACATACTGCATGAAATCAGCTGCAATTTAAATAAGCAGATCTTTTGTTTTTTGAAATTTATGAATTTATTTAGTATTTGAGCCAGTAAAATCAAACCTCAAACACAAGTCAGAACTCTTTTCTGCTTCAGTTAAATCAAAATCACATCTTAGTAGTCTTAATCAGCAGTCAGGCATACCTTTATTATTACGATTTTAATCAAATATTTCTATCTCAAGCATCTATTTTGGGAGATCAAAAATATGGCTTTCAATGAAATTAAATTGAAGAGCTAATTACCAATTGAATGTATTTACCTATTTATATCAAACTTATCGTGAAGTAATTAAATCATGTTAATATTTGGGTCCTTTATATTTTATGAACAAAAATTTACAATCACAGACAAAAATATAGTTATTTCTAATGACCCATTATGAAATGTGGCCAAAATTATTTATTTATCACCGTCAATTGGTAATCGCATGTAAAAGCACAGCACGACTTGTTCAGTAGTATGTTTGTATGTATATATGTGTATATATATATACTATGTATTTTTATATGTATGTAGATATACAGCAATTTATACTATGTATATTTATATGTATGTAGGTATAGAGCAAGAGATTACATATACAAATATTTAAATATGTACATATGCTTAAAACTCACAAGAGCCATTTTTAAAATGTTGCTCATGAAAAGAAAGGGATAATGAATAATATTGGGATCTTCGCTTTTTACGCAAACAGTTTCTAACACGTATCAGGACTGCTCTGCTGTGCAAACCGGTTGGTGTCGGCGTCCATCACGGCGTTGGCATTCCATGGTGCAATATGAAGCCGCAAAACAGCAGTCGAATTTGGCCTCCTGCAGACAGTAGTGGCACCAACGCTTACGTTTAACCTCATTTATGAGATTCTGCATGGTGGCCAAATCAGCCTGACATTTTGATAATTCATCATTGACCACTAAGCGGGTTTCCACAGAACACAATTTGTCATATGTTGTTTTCTTGGCTTTTTTCGGTAGCGATGGCGTTGCCGAACGCATACGCTTTGTCGTTCTTAATTCGTCTGCCTCAATATAATGTCTAAGTACGTTATTTACAAAACTGGCCGTCCTATTGAGATCGGCATTAAAACCAAAAAAGGAGGCGGGAAAATGCGACAGTGCCTTAAAATATCCCAGTTCCCTCATTGATAAGTTCCATGCGCGAGAAGTTTTAGTTTCGTAAAGCGAGATATCCGTGTCGATGGACAAAATATGATGTGCAGGGACCAATGCGCGCGAATGGGAGCCACCAAAAAACCTCACGTCGTATTTGCTGAGTTTGGTCAGAACTCGTATGACCTAATGGTAAAAACAATATTTATAAATATTATTATGTGTTAAAAAACTAACAGCAATATTAGTAGCGGCCAACAGTAAGTATTTGCATTGTAATGACATGCAGCATGCCAAATTTTATATGCAGACTCTCTTAGTTCATAGGCAACATTTTGTGATTTTTGTTCCCCATTTTATCTTGTTTATATTGGCAGATTTAAAAAAAAAAACAATTGTAATAATCTTGTACCATATAAAGGATAAAATGGGTACAATAATCAAGCTAGAGGTGTGGGGTTTTGTGGGAGTACAGAGTATTTAAGAGTTGGGCCCGCTTTACTCTAGCATTATGTTGGTGTTTGTTTAATCAAAACTCATACTTTGGTAAACGTGGTAATAGATTAAATAAAAGGTGCAAAAAATAATAAAAATAAGCTCACCTTGGCGGGCCAATAGGGATACGCACCGTGCTTGGCATATACAAGCTCATGTCTTTGCAGGCAAGGCTTTGCGAACCAAAACGGCGACTTGTTAGGCTCAATCGAGTATCTAAAGCAGTCTGAACAACTTCGAATTTCGCGAATGTCGTGTGTTACGTCACGCAACAGCCACTTTGTAGCCTCGTATTCCTTACACTGTGCGCCGAAAAATACACCTATATTGTGCTGCAAGTCTAACAGATCGACCAGAAATTCCATTAAATAATTGTATTTTTTTGCGGCTATGTTATCGCTTATTTTCGAAACGCCGAGTATTTCGTTGTGAAAGAGCAGGCGCTTTATTAGTGCAATATCACAGGCCTTTAGGTTTTTAGCCATATATCTTTGGACATCTGTATCCAACCAACTGCGATGGACGGCAAAAGAGGCGGAAAGCAGGAAACATAGTTCTTCTCTGGTCATATGTGGTGGATTGTGCAGCTGTCGCAATTCGAGCAGCCGACATGCAGTACACATTTGTTGTTCTAGCTCCCCACTGCTCAATGAAGAAGAATCCTGAAGATCAGGCTCTTTTTTAATTTTTTCTACATGCTTGCGCATCCGTTCCGGCGCTAGCTTTTCGCAAACAAATAGTACTTCGTCATCGTTGTACTCACATTTGAAGGGCGTGATTACACCACAATCGAACTCGTAGGTGTTATTGTTAGTTTCAATAAGAGGAGCTGGTGTTTCCAAAGTGTGTCCCTCATCTATTTCTTCACCCATTAATTCGTCCTCCAGGTCCGATTCATTGAGTGGAAAACGATGAGGCTGCCCTTGATTCGATGGCACCTCATAGTTGGGTTTTTGTGGATTTCTGCGTTGACAAGTTCCATGGAAAGAACGTTGACAAGCGGAGCAGCGTATCAACAACTCTGATCCAGAATCGGGTAAATGACACTCGTAGCAATAAGGGTCGCTCTTTGAAGTTGGTAAGCTGCTTAATTTTTGACAGAACCCTACTTTGATACGCCGATGTTTTCCCATGGCCGCTGGTACTAGAATTCCCGCCTTTAGCGCAATATTTACGGCATTTCGAGATTCGTCTAAAGGATGCAAATGAAAAGCATTGATGATTCTCGAATTTCTAATACACAACAGTATGTACATGTGTGACATTACCAAGTGGCAAAGAGTGCAGCAAACCTGCTATTGCATTTATGGACAGGGTGGCTCCATTTTGTAGTTTCAGCATCCAAATGCGTATTGCACATGGTGGGAAATCCTGCATCATGCATATGTACGTATTGTTATTTTCAGGAAATATTTCACATTAAAAGGGCTTGCGTTATAGGAAGAAGAAGCACTGTTGCCATAACTAACCCATTCATCGTGAATGTGCAATTAGTAAGAAGAAAATACTAGCGCGCATAAAATGTGGGACTATGTATCTTAACAATGGAATTTATAAAGAAAGTGCACGCGTCTATTTAAAGCAAGCCGACTGCCTTCAAGTAATGATAAAATGTTGTCTCTGCAACGCAGATGCATTCACAAAATGGCCCTCATATACCAAGCACTTAGAACTTCACAAGCAACAAAATTCGAACATTTTAAATGCTATGGACGATGACAACGACGAAATACAGGCTGAAGTTGAAGTTGAATTATCCAATCTTAGAGCAGCTGGTGAGCCTATTGGGGTGGAACTGCTCCCCACAGATTGTTTTGAAGATGAGGAAACTATTGGTTTTGGCTTGGATGACGATGATAAGCGTGAAGACATGATCAGAGGAAGTGGAGGGGAATCCAAGCTCCAGGATATACCCGTGGTAACCTTTGAATACATACTTTCCAACAATTAAATGTGAATATTTTTATTCATACCATTTTGCAGTATAACGTCCGCAACACCCCCAATCGCCCTTTCTTTAGCCTCTCTCGCACAAATCCTGAACTAATGCATGACTTTATTGCACTTATGCACGCACATGAATCCTACTGGCATGCTAATTACAAGGGTGCTGAGTACGTTGCGAACCGGCGGGAGAGTGCAGAGCGGATAAGCCAAAGCCTGGCTCAACGCTGGCGGGTGTCATTTTTGCCAGATGTCGTCAACACTAGCATACGTTGGCTGCAACGATGGTTCGCGGAGCAGTATTTTTCATTCTTACGGTTCGCCGATTACAAGTGTCCTTATCCAATATATTATGAAAAATTATTGGAGTTCTTGCCCACAAGTCACTTGTGTGTGCTAATTTGTGAAATATGCTCACGGCGTTTCCCAACCGAAACCCTCCTGCAGATCCATAAGAAGAGATCCCATCGTGCAACCATATCTCATGTGTGTAGGATATGCAACATAAGTTTCTTATATGCCTCGAAACTGCGAATCCATCAGTTGCGCGAGCACATTAAATCAAACAAATGGCAGTGTCAACAGTGCAACTACAAAGCCTCGTGCAAGTGGGACTATAAAGCACACTTTACTACCCACAGCGAAGCGCGGAACTACGTATGCGAACTGTGCGGAAACACGTATAAGTCTAGCACAGCTCTGAGTGTGCACCGTCGTAGTCATCAGGAACCTACGATGCAGTGCAGCTACTGTAACCGAATGTTTCATCAAAAGCACCGTTTGAAAAAGCACATTGAACGAATGCACGAGTGCGAAAATGCTAGAAATTTTCCCTGTGGCATATGCAAGCGAAGATTTATTACTGCCGAAGTTTTGGAGCTGCATAAATTAATACATGCCACAAAAGATTCAGAGTAATCAACGAATGGTCTGGGAATACAAACGAAACCTTCAGAATAATTATTGTTATGGGTGCCCAATTCTTAAAAGACATTTACGTTCTCGAAAAAAAGCTAAAAAGTTGCTGAAATGTATTTTTTAAATAAATAATATATTACACCTACGTTGCTATGTACATTTTATTTATATTTACTGATATTGCCCGTTGGTTGAAATTCGAAATTGAATAGTTACTTATGTCTAAACTTATGTATGAATGTATTAAGTCATTATTAAATTTATTTATTTTTTTTAGAATACATTTTTGAAATATAGTTTTTCACTTTTTTTCTTTTTATTGTATGTTTTGTGTAAATATGATATTGTTATGATACTTTTTAACGCAATTCAAAAAACAAATATTTTGAGAATGTATCTACATATGTATGTATGTTATACATATTATGTATGAACATACATACATTGGTTCATCAATGTTTGTGAACGCTTAAATGCTTAAAAGTGTACCACAAAAATAGTATAAGCTGATTTTAAATTTAGGGCTAAAATTTGTGTGCTGTATACATACTTCAAAAACCAGAAGCACAAATAATTATCAATATACATATGTATGTACATGCATAAATTTGGATATTGTATAATTGAAACACATTAAACTAAATTTTACATTAAAACATAACTAGTGGTACAACTGCGAATTTGAAATTAGCGCGATTTGCCATTCACACGGAATCGGAAAAATACAACCCTGGACCCAAACGTTTAGCAGACAAACAATCGCGTGCTTGTTACTGTATTTTTTCCGAATTAAAAATCGCAATAAATTGACATTACTTTGTTTCCAAACCAAACCCATGCCGTCAAGAGTTTGTTTTTGAGTCATGGCTAATAAAGATGTAAAAACGGCGGGTATAGTCGACTACAATATAATATGTCGTTGCTGCCTGAAACCCGACGCCGAGCTCTACAAACTAGACTCTCTTATGGTGGCGCGAGACCTGACGCGGCAAGCAGAAGATGGTGGCAATGGTGAAAAAATAACTCTATTGCGATGTTTGCTATTCTGCATACGCACTGAAAATATTCCGGAGCTACCACTGTTCATATGCACCGGCTGCAGCAAAAGTTTGCAGATTGCGTATCATTTCATACAGAACGCTTTGCGTGCCCATGAGTTTCTGTGTCATAAGCTCAGCCCAGACAGAGAATGTTCAAAGACGCAAGCATCGGCGAAGCGCGCGGTGCGTTTTAACGGACAGCAAAATCGCTGCTTGGATGGCAGTAAAGAGAAGGCGCCAATAAGGGGCATTAAGTGCTTGGAGCAAGAGGTATGTATATATACATATATTATGTTCATATACATATGTGTGTATAGATGTGGCATTTGTTTGTGTACTAATGGAGTTTCGTGATTCGTAGGCGTTCAACAAAAAAGATGGCACTGACACAACAAAGGACAAGCGACAGACTCAGACCCAGCTGAAAGACCAACCACGCAAAAACGTACGTCATGAATGCAAGGTATGCGGCGCTGTAATATACAACAAACTAGAGCTAAAGCAGCATATACGGTTGCATTCTGGTAAATACTATAGCGTGCTTACAAAAGGGTCATATAATTATTATTCATCGCGACCTCTCTATTGCAGACGTAATTTCACACAGTTGTAGGCTGTGTCCCTTTATTACTCTAAAGCAGCGCCAATTGAGCGATCATTATCGCATGAAGCATGACTTAACGCTAACACAAGTAGCAAGATTAAACGCGCCTGCACCCTCGAAAAAGATTGGCCCAGAGCCACCTTGTTCCTCACCAACCAGAACAAGTACAGTCGCCTGTAGTTTGAGCGCTACAAAGCCCGCAGAGGACTCAGTTGTTAAAGTGTGCACCCTGGAAGACATGGAACTTTTGATACCAACAGTTTTGAGACCGGAGGATTATACAACTCCACATATTGATTCCGAGCAATTGTGCGAAATGGAGCAGTTGAGTACTAACATGCATACAGAAGCCGAGATTGCGCCGATGACTGATTCCGCACTCAACGCGACGGCTAAATCATACGCTGAAAATTCCACTTCGGGCGAAACTTCTGACATGCAGTCAGGGAGGCACGTGAGCATAGGGACCGAGTATCTCGTTCTTCCAGATGGATCACTACAACAGTTAAACGGAAGCGGTAGGTTTAAAAGTGGCAACAAAAAACTTCATGGTTGAAAGGGAGCAAACATTAAATTCGCGCAAACGCGGCTTATGCAATCCGTGTTTCCACCTCACTCACCCTGCCGTAGAATTTCGACTATGTAGGCTGCTTTTTTTAATCTTATAAATAGTTAATTTGTTGTGTGTATAGTACCGAATTGACCCAAAGCAATAACAACAACAGTTACGGGCTTTTTTTTTTTTTTTTTTTTTTTTTGAAAAATTCCAAGAGTTACGGAAGTTATGGAAAATCACTAATAGCAGGAGAGTGGAGGTATCAGAAAATAAAACTTGTCCTTTCTTGGACTTAAAAAGAGAAGAAGAGATTGGTTATTCTAGCTTTTATACTTTCCGAGATCTTTGCGTTTATGGAGACAGATGTACATATGTAGCTCGATTCATCTTATACTGATTAGGAATTTATATACCACGCCTATTTATTCTATGTATGTGTTACACACACTCACATACCCTTTGGGTACAGAATAAAAACACTTTTATATATTTTATATGGATTATCTGATTAAACATTTTTTTGTTTGCACAGGTGTTGTCATAGAATACATCAATGCATCCGTCGCCGATACTAAAAATAATAACGATGTCAGGGCCCCTAACCTAACGCTCCAGAACTTGTTAGGCACAGCAGCGGATAATGAAGCAGCGATGGATATTGATGAGCTTATTGTTGAGGAAGTGCAGCCCCAAATAAAAAGTATTGTCTAGAAAGGATTTCAGCATTTAAAACTAAATTAAAACTGTTGTTCTTTTAGTCAAGGCAGCAATTGGATCTTCGCGCATGTCGACGTTCTTAAAACATAAATGCAGCCAATGCCCCAAGACATTTGCTACCTTGGCACGCTTGAAATCTCATCAATTGACTCACACCAGTTAGTTTAAAAGATTTGCCAAATTCTTTTGCGGCATGCAAACTAACCAACGTCTCACCTCCCGTTCAACCGTAGATCTGCCAAAATTCTACTGTGATCAGTGCACTTTCTATTCGCTGCGCAGTACCGAGCTAATGGATCATTACAAGACACTGCACAACATCCAGCCAACTGTCGCCCAGGGCTTGTTTCGTAACGTAAAGGCTACAGCAGCTCCTTCAGATGTAAATAAAACTTACTCGTGTGATATGTGCCTCTTTGAAACCCAGAGCCGTGGACAACTACGCGTGCATTACAACAAGAAGCACTTGGTGGAACCGTCGGAGATCCAACTTAGACCTAGTTGGTGTAAGTGAAGCAAAAAATATTGATTAATTAATGCAGTAACTTTCGTGTGTTTAGCAGGTGCGGATAATGGCAACGTAGTTAAATGTGATGGAGTCCCGGGCAAACAAGTCAAGCAAACGCAACTCCCAATAGGAATTACATGTAAGTATTCTCAACTTTAAGCTTCATGAGTTGGATGTTTGCAACCTTTGAAGTCTCCTATAGTCTTATAGTCTCTGAGATCTAGGTGTTCATACTGATTAAAAATACTTCCTTATATAGGGAGTCTATCAAGGCTCCTTCTGTGTATTCAATATGTTTGTACTGGACTAGTAAACATTTTCATCCAAATTCTAGGGGTCTATCAAGGCTCCTCCTGTGTGTTCAATATATTTGTACTGACCTAGTATACATTTTTACCCAAATTCTTGTTGAAAATTACATTTACAGATGCTCCAACACCGAACCCGCCCGAACAACTTACCTTGCTAACCGCAACATCAAGTAATACCAACGAGATTATCACTACGCCGATATTAGAGTATACCACTAACTCAGATGTAGTCACAGCTACGGCGAATAGCCCACCTCAAATAATCACAGACTCAGAATTTCCATCTACAGCGGACAATTCCTTTGCAATTTTTCCGGAAAGCTCAACGGCAGCAGAACCCAAAAAGGCATTGCCTTTGGTGAGCACACAGGCTCCTATAATTGGTGATATGCAGGAATTTATTGATAATACCGATGTTGCTGCTATTTGCACGATACCAGCCGATGGAATGCCTGTGGCTGATGGGGAAGATCTTGTCATAGATAACAACAATATAAGTTTAGATTTTGATGCTGAAAATCTTTTTGAAGATTTTGAAGATGAAGATGAACCAGACGAAGAGGTTGAAGAAGAGGAAGAAGAGGAGGATGAGAGCAATATTGATGATGAGAATGACAACAATGGTTCGGCCATTAATCAGAATTTGGTGCACACCAGCGACGATGACGATGTAGATGATTTTGATGATGAGCAATCAAAACACTTACAAAAACCATATTGTGTATACTGCAACAAGAAATTTACGAGTCAGTACAAGTTTGAAAACCACATGTTTGTGCATAGAGGTAAATATAAAGAGAAAAACGCGTTGATTGAAACGATTGTTGTAAACGGCCTTTGTTACAGGATTGGCACCTTACCGTTGCGAGCTATGTACGAACATCTATAATCGTAAACGTGCCCTTATTCGACACTACAGGGCCGTACACAAGCGCATACCAACTCGCGATATGGTGCAGGCTAAAGGCGACAAGGTGTCGGTGGATCGCACTAACATTGAAAAGCTGCACATCGTACCGCCCAAGTGTAAGTGAGTGCGGAGCTGTACAATTGAGCTCTGCTGTTATAATCAAGTCTCACAATAGGTTCTAGAGTTTGTGCAGAAAGCAAAAAGTTTGCTATCGAACTAAGTACATATGTATATATCTCGGATCAGCACCATTACAATTTTGGTTTTAATTTTTTCCCAAGTGCGTGTTTTAGTATGAATTATGTTTATAGTATAAATATGTATTTATAAGTGCAATGATAAAAACATACAAAAAAAGGGCTATTTATAAAAAAAAGTTGGTGGAAATTGTTGTGAAATTGCATTTATCTATTAATGAAATAGTACAATTTGAATATGTAATCTTAATCTTGTCTTTCATATTAAAGATCCTGCGCTTATGTGCGCAAAATGTCCATTCGAATGTGAGCAGGATTCGGAGATGCGTAGCCATTTAAATGCACACCATGGAATCAATGATGGTGGTAAGATATTGACGATATTTTATAATTATTTTCATTAATCATTCATTAATTTAATTATATGCCCCTCTTCAGCTTCATGTCATGCTGGCGACGTATTCATTATACGCAGTAAGTGTAGCGAACTCAAAACACCCAATTGTTTCATATTAACTTTATAATTTTTGCAGAATTGCCCTATGAGTGTCCACGATGTATTCGCACTTTTGCGGCCAAGCACATATTAACGCGCCATCTACAGCGGAGCCATCTTGTAGATACAATCATTGAGCTGCAATCGGTGTCGAATCCCCAAACGACAAGTTCGGCTACCACAAGAACCACTTCCACAACGACCACCACTTTGCCGAACGCTGGCGAGCAAAAGGCCGCTGCCGTTGGTAAGAGCGACGTCGCAAATAGCCTGTCCACAATCCACTCAAACTCAAATTCCAATCATGTCCAAAACATGCCGTCACACGTTCCAAATTTAAAACTAAATATGTTATTTGCTGATGATGAACAATGATCGTTGATCGTCGTTGGGCCTAGTAGAGCAGCTAAACCAAGGACAGGAAAATAAAGAAGCAGCAGATAAATATGATCAAAACTTGAATGACACAACTGAAAGCATAATTACAACTGCAGCGGATCTCCACACCAGTATCGGCAACATCAGTGTATCCTGTTACACACCCCTCCCTACCCCGACACCGAATGATTCCTATGACTACGAATATAATTTCATTGGTCATGCACACGCCACAACAAGAGCAAGCATAGAGCACGAAAACGACAATCAGCCATCCACTTCCAGCTACCAAAGGCAGGGGTTGACTGCAGACAAGACTATGACATTTGGTATGGCGCATCAGGAGGCACAACAAAATAACAGCATGCATAATGGCTTGCCCAACACGCCTATATATGTTTGTAAGCAATGCAACCATACTTGCACTGAACTAAGCGAGTTGCAGCAGCATCAAGCGGAGCAGCATACCATAAGCGATCATCTGTCATCGCCCCGTCGCAATTATGACTTCAAGTGCCACATATGCAACAGTACTTATCGTACAAAAACACTGTTATTGTATCACATGAAACGTCATGCGAACAGAAACTATCAGTGTGACCAATGTCCAAAGACCTTTGTGATAAAGCCAGAGCTGACAAAACATCGTGTAACCCACACAAACGAAATGCCATTTAAATGTAACATTGAAATAGATGATGGGAAAGCAGTTTGTGCGAAGACTTTCCGCTATAAGCATCACTTAAAGCGCCATCAAAATGCAAGCCATCATTTAAAGCGTTTTGCATGCCAATTTCCGAATTGCGGGCGAGAACTTGTCACAAAATCGCAGCTCAATCAACATATGCGTATGCATAAAGGTATTTTTGCATACAGGTGCCCGAAGTGCGGGCATGCTTTTTCACGACGCAGGCCGTAAGTATTTAAAGTATAATTGATTCCGACTAGTTTAACCTGCTCGATCATTTTATTTCCATAGTTTGTGGCTACATGCACTGCGTGCACATCAGCTAAAAATGACAGAGGACGATTTGGCAGAAGTCTATCGCGCCAATGTGGGCTACACCAATCCGCATGACTTGAAGGTATTCACGCGCAGTGGAGAACTGTTGCGGCGTCAGGATTTTGAGGCTGCTGTTGCGCAAGAGCAGCTCGTCGAGGTGGAGAATGCCGTTGTAAATATTATAACATAATTGAGATCACGCAATGCAGCTGCATTTTGTACAAAGTTGTATGTAGGGTAAACATTATTCATCTATTTAAGCACATGTCATAAATATTGTTATTGTATGTTAAGACTATGTATAAGTTTAAAGGAATTGCAAATTTTCATAATTAATGAATAAATAAAAGTTGGACAGAAACGGGTTGATATTGTCGATGGAACAATAAATGCCAAAACTTCTTTTGTGTGAATGATAACATTGCGAAAAAATGTATGCCATTTCATTTAAGTGAAAGACGAAATGGCCGGAAGGAACATATGTACATAGATATTAATAATAACGATTTCAAATGAGATACCAGAAGTACATTATTCACATTAAAATCAATGGATACCATCATCCAGAAAGAGAATACGTCACATGGACAATCTTTAGAAATGTGCGGTATAAACTTGGAAAATCAAATTTTCCTACATCGCCAGATCTACTTTACAAGTTTCGGAGCTGGAGCGATGATAAAAACCAAGAATGTTTTTTATCTAAAAGCATTGCATCTTTCACTAAATTGAAAGAATGATATATTCATACTAAAAATCACTTCATTTAAAATATATCTTTTGCATAGGTATTTATAATGTGAATGGGCAACTATATGCAGTCAGATATTGATATGCGTAAACAATTGAAACATAGCAGGTTTCCTTTCTTGTTTGTATGCAATTCACAACCGGTCCTAAAATATAAATATCGTGATTGCCTATTTAGGAATACCTTGCTCCCAATTCATACCGTACTAACAAGATGCCAAACAGGCGTTCATGGAAGAGGAGTGCTGGTCTTATGCAGTATGAAATTGTTTCGCTAATAACTTTTTACTCGAGATGCCTGGATATTAAGAGAGTCTACGTACTAATTTTTATTTACATACATATGTATGTATGTATGTATGACATATCTACATCGATTTCTCTCTCGATACCCCTTACTTAACATGGGAGTTGCGTTCCTAGAAATCGTGTTAAATAAGACAACTTTGAGTTAGCGTAATATGCTTCTTTTTCTAGCCTGTACCACAGGATATACTAGTTTTGTAACACACAGAAGGAGGCGTGGCAGACCTCAAAAAGTATATATTTACAGACATACATACATATATTCTTGATCATGATGACAAGTCGATATAACCATGTCCGTCTGTCTGTATGCAAGGATCTCAGAAGGTATAAGGGCTAAAATAACCAAACTTGGTATCCAGATTCTCTTAAGTACAAGTTTGAGTCTAGGAGAATCTGGATACCAAGTTTGGTTATTCTAGTTCTTATATTTTGCTCTCGGCGCTTTTGTTTTTATTTGGCTTGCTTGCGATCGTATCTGCACAATTTACGCGTACTTTTGAGACAAAGATGGTAGTTTAGTTGAAACTAATGTTGTTTTTGCGTCTGTTTTTACACGGTCTTTTTTACACGATTTTGATATAACACGGTTTAAAAATTAAAAGTTTCATATATATTTCTTTGGAAAGGAGGAACCAAACACATATCTCTATGTATAAACAAGACAGAACGCTACAGTCGAGCAAGCCCGACAGTGTAATACCCTGTACCCATGTAAACTTCCGTCACTGAGTTATATGCGCCCATAGGAGCAGCAAAAAGAGGAAGAAGAAGAGCGAACTTGTTGCTGCAGTTTGTGGGGGTTGTACTGGCGAGAATTTGTTTTGCTAATAACCTTTCTTAGAATTGACCGAATTGAATAAAATTTTAAACAACAGTAGACAATTATATATAAATTATGTGTGCAAAGTTTGGTTTAGGTAGCATTTGAAATGTGGACGCTATTGACGAAATTCTGTAGCGGGGGAAGGGGGGGGAAATTCCCAAAAATAAAATAAACTCGTCCTTACTCGGACCTAGGAGAATCTGGATCTGTAACTAAATCTACAACTTTGCATGCAAAGATTTTCAAAATATGCATTTTACAAATGCAGGCAGAACAAAGAATACAACAGTTGGGGACAACTAAATATACATACACACACACACACACACATACACGTGTAGTTGCGTGCAAACGATTGAAATATGTAGCCAATGCAAAATGTGAGACACTAATGTGTGAATATATGTATTTACATACATAGTATGTACATTAGTTTTGCACTGACAGGGCAAGAAATGTAAATTAATTATTATTATTGAACATTTTTAAAAGTAATTTGTTCTTTTGTACATTTGGCATTACGTTATTCATTAACAATTTTTATTTGCGTCATTTTTTTTCGAAAGATATTTTGTGTTATATGTAATTGTTTTTTCGACGGACTCCAAATATGGAGCACATACTCAATATCACTAAATCTAACCCTTGGCATAAAACAACATTCAAAATAAATACATATATAAAAAAAAAACAAGTAAAAAAGCTAAAGTCGGGTGTCCCGACTTTGAAATACTCTGTACATATGCTTACAAAAACAAGTAAAAAAGCTAAAGTCGGGTGTCCCGACTTTGAAATACTCTGTACATATGTTAACAATAATTATAGAAAATAAAAAAAAATTAAGAAAATAAAAAAAAATTCAATGATCGATTTTACCTTTCTCGGTATTCGAACTCACGTAAAGGGTGTATAATTGCACATTTATATAGCAATTGCGTCTGTGTGAGTGTATATATGCCTATGCGCATCTATTCGTGTCTGTGTAAGCATTTTCGCAACAACAGCCGCGGGCAGCGCTTGAGCAGCGCTGCAGCAGCAAATATATTTATGGCTATAACTTCTTGGTAAATCGGTCTATCATAGTGAAACTTGGCATACGGACACATAATTACTAACTGGGGGTATTTGCAAAATTTTAGTTCGAAATTCCAAGAATTACGGGAGTTAGAGAAAATCGTAATTGCGGGTGAGAGGGGGGAGGGAGGGAAATTCCAAAATATACATTTTCTGCGTAGTCACACAAGGCACCTTGGACTAAAATTTTGTGTTCCTAGGTCTTATTGTCTCCGAGATATAGGCGATTATACGAATGGAAAATCGGGAAAACCCCCATAGGGGGGAAGTGGGGGGAAAAATCAAAAAAATAAAACAAACTCGTATAGAATACACACATAACGCATCTTTGTGCAAAATTTGGTGTCTGTATCTCTTATAGTCTCTGAGATCCAGGTGTTCATACGGACGGACAGACAGACAGGGCTATATACTTTGTGGGGTCTGCCACGCCTCCTTCTGCCTGTTACATTTTTCAGCTCCCGCAAACCTAATATACTCTTGTACATTTCATGTACAGAGTATAATTATAAAATAAACAAGAGAGAACGCTACAGTCGAGCAAGCCCGACAGTGTAATACCCTGTACCCAGGTAAACTTCCGTCACTGAGTTATATGCGCCCAAAGCAGCAGCAAAAAGAGGAAGAAGAAGAGCGAACTTGTTGCTGCAGTTTGTGGGGGTTGTACTGGCGAGAATTTGTTTCGCTAATAACTTTTCTTAGAATTGACCGAATTGAATAAAACAGCAGTAGACAATTATATATATATTATGTGTGCAAAGTTTGGTTTAGGTAGCATTTGAAATGTGGACGCTATTGACGAAATTCTGTAGCGGGGGAAGGGGGGGAAAATTAAAAAAAAATAAAATAAACCAACTTTGGGTATTCCAGCTTCTATAGTTTCTGAGATTATTGCGTTCATCCAGACAGATAGACGGACATGTCTAGATCGATTTCTCTCGTCATGCTGATTCAGAATTTATATACATATATACTTCTGCATGTTACATACTTTGCAAAACCTAATATACCCTTTTTACCCTACGGGTACAGGGTATAACAATGTAACATACTAACTGATCAATTTTTTGTCAAGAACAGAAAATGATCATTTAAATACCTTATATGCCTTCAAACTCGAAGGTAAGTCATGCACACACAAAATAAATACAATTTGAAACATTATATTGAGCCGGGCTAATACGGGCAATAATTTCGCATATAATCAATGTGTATTTTTTACACGGTTGTTTCTGGAACCAGTCTTGTAAAAACAGAATTAGGTGTATTACAATAAGGGCAAAAAATCGGATTTCGGAAGCAACCACATTTAAAATAAAAGAGCCAATACGGCATCCCTGAGACACAGTGTTGCCAATTTTTGCCTTTTTTCCCGGGTTGTTTTTGAAATGAGATTGTGGGAAAATAATCAAAATTGCGGGAAGTGAGAATTCTGGCTTTTTAAAAATACATTTAGCTTTTTTCCGCTTTTTGTAAATTTGCCAACATTTATGTAAAAAAATGGAAATGAAGCAGCTTTTTCATTTTTTTTTTTTTTATCAATATTTGCCTATGTATGATTAATTATGGTAATGGTTTATTGAGTTATTTTTATGCAAAAAGTGACTTACAATTACTATTATGTATATAATGCCGCTCGTTTATGACAATAGCGGCGCTCGCTTGTGAAAGTAGACCCTACGTATTGAGAAACAGACTGCTGTGGTTATACTAAACATGACATTAAAGTTAAATACGCTTAATTTGTAAAGGTGCGAATGAATTCATGCTGAAAGAATAAGAAAAAATCTCTTACAAAGAAACACGGACGTTTTATGGGGGAAAACAAAATTGATTTTGAGAAGCTACCGAAGCAAGAAGCCGCGCTGTGCCTAATTGTTGCTCAGCATACAGCAGTAGCGCAGATTGACCGTTTTTAAAGGTGTATACGACAATACAAAACAAAATGCGTAAATAGCATTTAAAATGTTCACCAAGATGATAAAAAATGCTTTGAAAACACATTTTTCTAAACAATTCTTGTAAAAATAAATTTAGCTTTTTATTACGCTTTTTTGCCAAACATTTTAGCTTTATTTCATTTTCCTTTCCGTCAAAAACTGCTTTTTTTCCTTCTAAAAAGTTGGCAACACTATTGGGCAGCACCTACACTGGGAAAGTTGATGAAAAGCAGTAGTGCACTCAGGGTATTTAACCAGTATTTTAAAGAAATATACCAATAATCGAATGTGTAACTACAATGATACAAAACGTATCACATGCGATAATTCAATCACCTTTGCAGTGTTTCCCAACACTAGTGGAACTCGGTAAAAAATATTGCGAACATTTAATTTTATTATTGAGTTGGTGTAAAGTTTAATTATAATTTAAGAAAATAACAGCCTTGCATTAAAGACACTAGAGTGTGATTTTTCTGCAAAACTCAGAATATAACTGTGTAAAAGTAGTGGTAGCCTAAGCGAGCGCGCGCTTTTTGCTCTTGTTTTGGTCACCATGGAAGCTGTTGCGATTTCGCGGTTTTCATCGACGCCGCCTTCGCCGACGTTGCTCGCTAATATGAACAAAGCTAACAAAGCGAAGTGTCGAGCTTGCCTCTCTATGAATCGTGATACCGTCAAGTTAGACACCAATGTGCCAGACCTGCAAAGCGCCCGTAGTTATGGCGAAAGTTTTCGTCATTGCACCGGTTTAGAATTAAATGTGTGCAGCGCCGGCGGCTACAAATGGCCCATGCAAATGTGCGTGCGGTGCTGCCGTGCGCTTGAAGTAGCTATGCACTTTGTGGAACTTGCTTTGGAGTCGGACCGTGTGTTGCACAGTGAGGCGCAGAGCGTAAAGCCTGCAGTGAAGCAAGAGCCGGAGCTGAAACGCAAGGCGAGTCACGAACTGCTCCGGTGGAATCAGTTCGGCCAGGAGTTTGAGCAGTTTGTCGAGAGCTACGACGAAGCATCGGCACCCATTGAGGAGAACGTCTTGTACATGCGTGGTGCAAAGATGCCGCGTCTTGATGCTGACACCACAGTCCAAAATAAGTCGTCCAAAGAGGATGAAGGTGCGGGTGTTACGAATAATTTGCTTTCGGATTTAAATAATATCCTTATTTGCAGTTATATTATTTGATGTCAAATACGATACCAACAACATCGATGAAGATGACGATAATGACGGCTCTGATGCTAAAAACAATGAAACATTTTTTGAGAACAGCAAGACGCCTGTTGATATCGACCGCAGTGAAAATAATAACAATTATAATTTCAACAATAAGAATGGTGATTTGTCAGGCTTACCAGACGTCGAGTGCGATCTTATACAACGCGCACTCTTCATGACTTTGAATGATGACGCTAGCGGAGAACAGTCCCCAGAAGAGTGCGAAATAATAGAGTCTATCAAGGCTAAGCTGCTTCAGTGTAAGTTTAGAACAATTTTTTTTTATTTATCTCTATTAATCTATCTGAACAGCTTCGGAAATATTGACAACAGCTAATACCTGTCTGATAGAGCCTGAAACCGCTCCCGACAAGAGGCTGGTTAAGCAACGGCATAATTCACCAAGCGGTAAGCTTAACTAATATTTGATTTTCTTAAAAACCGGCATACTGTTTTTAGGCAATACCAACGACAATCTCAACATACCTGTCCTTGGGTGCAACATGTGTAACTTTACACAAACGGAGGCAAAACAGATGCGAAGTCATTACAAACGAGAGCACAGCCTGGAAGTATCCGAAGATGAGATCACTGGTCTGGCGAATAGTAAGTGTCACCTAAAGGCTTTGGACATTGAGCCTTTCAACTCTACTCTTACAGATCTAACATTTAAATGCCGATGTTGTAACAATTATACTACTAAGGATAAAGGTGAAATGCAGACCCATCTAATTGAGAACCACAGAATTGAGAAGGATTTTGGTAAGTGATTGGGCCAAATTAGTGTTGAAATTAGCTCGATCTATTGTCGCTGTCGGTTTCCTGGAACCGACCCCATACATATGTGGCTATAACTAATTCTTTTGTGTGACCATGTATGCAGTACAGCGCTGAGCCAAAGCAGCAACAACAGCAAGAAAAACACTGTTGGTTGTATATGTACAAGTATGTTGGGTTTTGTATAAGGTTACAACATATAATTTCATTTGGGCTGTATTATATAGGAATGGTCATGCTTTAAAAAGATATGTTTTCTTATGTAATTTAAAAGCGAAGTACATTTACATTGAAAGGTATGCAAAATGTAAATATATGTATGTATATCTTTTTGTCATTTTCTATCCGTATTGTACAGAAAATAACTGGTACGAACAGCAAAATTGCCCGGCCTGCGCGCGAGTTTTTAAAGATCAGCGCTCGGCGCGTACTCACTACACGCGTGTCCACACGGCACCCTCCAGCAGTCCATCCCATTTGTTTACTGTTCGTGATTCCAAAGAGCAGCACATTTGCAATGCCTGCGGAAAGGTCTTTAATCAGCGTGCCAGTCTGCAAAACCATCAGCGCTTCTGCCAGGTAGCTCAACCAGTCCATTGCACGTTTTGTGAAAAGCAGTTCAGCAGCATACGGAAGTACGAATTGCATTTGCAGCAACAACATGCCGTGGACACTGTACATGAGTGCGAGATTTGCCACAAGAATTTCAAGAATGCGGACTCGCTGGCCTTACATCGAAAGCGTCACATGGAGCGGCACTTTCAGTGCGTTAAGTGCTCCCTAAACTATGTGAATGCTACGGAGCTGAAGGTACATTACGAGAGAGCCCATGTGCAGGAGGAACAGCAGGTTAGCTGTAGTAGTTGCGGCATTAAATTTCAGAATTTTGCTCTGTTACGCGAGCATGAGCAACGTAGTCATCAGCAGAAAACGTGGCGTTGCGAGACATGCTCATTCGAGGCATCTTCACGCGCTCGTTTACGTCAGCATCAGTACGAGCATACAGGTTATCCATACAAATGCATGCAGTGCGAGGAGGAATTTATTGATCGCAGCAAGTGAGTGTACAATATTAACTAAAAAATTCGAATATATTGATCATTAGAGTTAGGATCTACAAAGAGTTTCAAATATAAAAGGTCCTACAAATATGTCTTGAATGTCTATGATTTTATCTATATATGCCAAATAACAATATACTGTAGTCGCTTCAAACACCTAAACAAACCCTAATTTATATTTACAGAATACGCCAACATTCCAAGAAGGCGCACGGCGTGGAGCTAACTGACGATCAATTGGCCGATATGTTTCGAGAACGCATTGGATACACAAATCGCCACGATGCCTTTTCTAAAAGCAACAACCTGCTGGAAGTGCCTGGTTTCAGCGACGATTGCTATAGCGAACTAAAGAGCTTAGGAGTTGATTATGATGATATTACACACGATCTCTTTTCTAATTCGTCAAATGCGCTGGATAATCTGCTAGATTTGATACCATGAACAGGAAATGTGTACAAAACATGTGTACCACTGACTGTATAATGTTTAAGCAAGGATGACGACTGTTTCCAAATAATATAGCTACTGAGAGCTAGAAGACTGCCCTTTACTTTACCAACCAGCAAAAATATAATAACACACTACCTTCACCGTTTGATTTTAAAATATTTTACATAGAACAAACCAACAAATATTTATAGTTTGTATATTTTCATACAAAACACTTTTAATTTTGAGGTTTGTATGTATGTAAACTAATAACAAAGTTAATAATAAAACCAAGCTAAGCGCTTGAGAAGCGCACCCAATTACGTCATTTCTTTTCAAATATAATTGGATGTATTTATACTATTGTAAATTTTATGAGCATTTAGAACTTTGGATAAACCTAAACGCCCTGAATAAACTTTGAGAGGAAGTCTGTAGGTTTGGGATCCTGCGACTCTTTCCAGTAGCGCATTATGTGGCCCTTTTGCTTCCATATCTCAACTGACTCTTTAAGCTCCATTTGGCCCTGTGAAATTGGAAAAAGAAATTCTTAGATTTGACATAAAAATCGCTGCTGTCCTCTCACCTTTATGACCAGCATATCAATGACACGTATATCTGTCACATGGCGCTGCTTCACAAATTCTTCGCGCAGCTTGGCGCGGCACTGCTCCACGCTCATGGGTATGTCATAGTCCATAACTGGGGTGGGTAAATAGAATTGTTTATAGATTTTAATGTTCGATGACATAACAATTATCAGGCTCCTACCTATGTAAGGTATTTGACGATACCAGGCCTTGTAAAGGTTCAGGGCACGCTTGCGCGCCTCTTCGCGATCCACGGACAGAATAGGGCGCACCTGCTGAACGGCGCGCTTGATAGCTTCACGTCCGGCCATGTTTCTGCTTCGAATTTCTGTTTTATTTTTCGCCAAATATTTCGTTGCAAACTGCTTCTTTCCAAACGGCTGGGCTACAGCTGTTCGATAAGAGTGTTGCAGAGCAAAATAATTGGGAGAGTTTTATCGATAGCGATAGTTTTGTAATATTTCATGGCGGCTTCAGATTTTAAAATATTTCGACTACATTCATTTTCTTTCGCGGGTGCTAAATATTTGAAGTGCACAGAAAGCAGTACTAATGCCCATATCACGTTCTCATTCATGAAAAGTGGACAGCATTTGACCTATACTTGTGTTTGTTGACAACACCCATCACCGTTTACTGATTCCGAAAACGACGCTGATGGTGCTCAGTTGAAAACACGTTACGGTCTTGTGCAGAGTGGTTTGCTGCGCCAGATTAAGCAAAGCCAGTCTCGTTGTCGCTGCTGTGTTTCGAAAGTTTAGTTCGCATACTCTTACGCCTATAAAACTTGGACAATTTGCTTGTTTTGTTTGTGTTTAAATTTTAATTAATTATGCAAATGCAGTAAGCATTCGAATATTGTGGTCAATACAATACAATTTCGTTTTAGTTGGCAGACCTTACAATTTCCATAAAAGAAAAGAAAGCTTAGTGGGCTTTTGCAAAAAGTAGATGAGTATGTATTTTTTTATGTATGCATAATTAAGTCAATTGTGATTTGTTGCTGTCGGTATTTGTGTTTGATAAGTGACTACAGCAGACGCTAAAAATGTGTGGCACACTAAGTGTGCTAAATAATGGCGAGTTTTTCTTTTGATTCTTCGAAATTCATCTAATTTCTTCAGAGCGGGCAGTTATAACTGATAAATAAACAGCATTAAATATATGTACTTACATATGTACATACATATTCGTACATAACTGCCACTGACATCGGACAATCAAGTTTCTATAGTGAGTGGAGGCTTTCACGCCACTGTTGCAATCTTCGTCTGGTATTTTAATTTGCAAGCAAAATGTCGGTCGGTAATTGGAATTTTCGTTTTCAAGGTTGCAAACTTTATTGCACACTTGCCGGCTTCTCTACGCCTGTTTATAAAACTGTAATATTCTATTGTAGACAAATACATACATACATACACATAACCGTACCTCATAAAAAATATAAACAAAGAGTTAAGTGCACAACGGATGCCATAATTGTAAAGATCTGCAAATATTGGACTGGTGGCAATTTACAGCCCTTTACGACTTGAGTTTTCACACAAACTTAAATACATATGTACATATATATGTATGTATGTATAAAGTGAGACCTACATACAATATATGTACATACATACATACATAGGTGCAGCAAACGTTGCCTCCAACTGAAACCCCAAAAACAGCCTCGCGGCCAATTTTTAAAGCCGCATACAAGTCAAACGGCTTTCTTCAATGAAACGCTTTTCATGGCCAACAAAAATGATGAATATTGGTAGAGTGCGCAATATGTGCCAAAAGGAACAGAAATAACTTACATTAATTTACATTGTAAATAATACAATGTACAAGACGTAATCAGTACAGGGTATGCCTGATTATTGTTTAGATTTGATTTTGATTTGCCCAACAACCTGTTCTAATTTATACAATATTAGCAATGTGCCAAACAAAACTGCGAGAAATACAAATTGTTGAATAAAATCCGGGCTCACCTGAGTCCTACACAGATCAAGTTTGTTTTTTCTCTTCTGTTACCCTCAAACCCCTCCGCTATTATTTTTTTCATAATTCTTGGCATTTTTCAAGCAGTTTTTGCAGTGATCATGTGTCCCTCTGAAAAGTTTTATTATGATAGGTCAATTTGAAAGGAAGTTATTGAAATTGGTGCTATGCACAGGCACACACAAATACGCATAGATACGTATAGAATCACAAAGACACAATTGCTATGTAAATTTGCAGTTATACACCCTTTATGTGATATCGAATACCCAAAAAGGCCTAATCAATCAAAAGCTTTTTTTGTAATATTACAATTTGGTTTTTTTTTTCAATTTGTTTCATTTTTAAAAACTTATTTAACTATCCTACATTTACAAGGATTTCAAAGCCGGGACACCCAATTTAGCTTCTACACTTGTTATAGCCTGTACCCAAAGGTAAAAAGGGTATATTTGGTTTGGGCAAACTATGTAACAGGCAGAAACAGGCTTCTCCGACCCCATAAAGTATATACAAGTATGTACAGATATTCTTGATCAGTATGAGAAAGCGAATCGATAGAGCCATGCCCGTCTGTCCGTCGCCTGGATGAACGTCTGGATTTCGGATACGGTTGAACCCACATTCACCAAATTTGATATGAAGACTCCAGGCAACATGAGCTTATTTATTTTTTGCATTCTCACAAACTACCGCGCCAAGATCTCTATTCTTCTTCTTTTAGCTTCTGCTATCGGCGCTTATAGCTCAGTGCCGGAAGTTTGTCTGGGCGTAGGGTATTTTACTGTCGGGCTGGCTCGATTGTAGGGTTCTCTCTTGTTTTAATCTAATTTATTCAATACAATTTTTAAAATTAAATTATAAAATATTTAAATAGTTTTTTTTTGTGAGACTGGGTACAGCGTACAGCTGAGCCAGCACAACTCTACCATTTCTTTCTTGTTTTACTTTGAATTAGTCTGTACTATGACGCACACTTGAAAGCTTACAGGTTTTCCTTCAAAAAATTCTTATAATTCAAGAAATGATAAGAAACGGTTTAGTTTAGTTGAAGCAAACAGTCACAATATGAGTCAACATTACCTGTATGAACAATTCTAATAGTTGAAGTCGGGTGTCCCGACTTTGAAATACTCTGTACCTATGTGGATAATAATTATGTATGTATGTACATTTCAAAAATTTAAAATATTGAAAAAAAAAAACACACACACACAATGTAGTAAACAAAAATTTTGATCGATTATACCTCTTCGGGATTTGAACTAACGGATGTATGATCGCACAGTTGCATCGGGATATATAACTTACTTCCGAAGAAGCTTGATATACAAGCACATAAGCACTAACTAACAATATTCCAACCATTTTGGGTGCTATGCGAAATCATGAAAATAATGCACTTCTACTGTATGCATACATACATACATATAAGGAATCTGTGTGTAAAATTAGGTGCCCAGCTCTTATAGTCCCTAAAAACTAGGTGTTTGTGCAAACAGAGTTCCATAATTCACTGATAGCGGAGAAGTGGGGGTGGATCAAAAAAATAAAATAAGCTCGACTTGTTTCGGACCTAGGGGAATCTGGATACCAACTTTGGTTTTTCCAGACGGACGGACAAACGAACGGAAATGTTTAGACCGATTTCTCTCATCATGTTGATTAAGAATACATACACTTCATGGGGCCGGAGTGCTGTCTTCTGCCTGTTACATACTTTGAACAAACCTAAAATACCCTTTTTACCTTTCGGGTACAGGGTATAAAAAAACTTGCACTGCGTACACATACGTGTATGAGGTATTTGAGTGCAAAATTTGGTGTCTCTAGCTCTTATTAGGTACAGAGTATAAAAACTTGCGTCAATTTGTGCTGATTGCTAACTTTATGATGAACAAATAAAATTAGAGCACAACAAATCAGTTCTGATTATTTATTTTAATAGTAATGGGCGCTACGATCTTAAGTGTCGGAAGTGCCATTTATCTTAATGACTTTGCGTAACTGATTAAAAAGCCTAGGCATGTTCCTGTCTAAATCAGGAGCTATCAAACAGGGCGGTGGTTTATTTAGCCACCTTTCACCTCCGATAACGCATTTTCTAGTTCGTGTGTGTGTAAGTGTTTAGTTATTAAAGACGTTACGTTTCATTTTCCCATTTAGCTTTTGCTGCTCAGATACTTTATAGGTATTTATTATTTTTATTTTTGCCAGCTCACACGACTGGCTTCGTGCGCACATTCGTCGCTGCGATAACTTGGCAGTGGCATTGTCGACTTTAGTCGCGTTGTTGCCAGTGAAGTTGGCTCAGTTACGTTTTGGCGTTTTACGGTAACGCTTTTTACTCAGCGGACAAAAGAGGCGACTACAGTTAGCCAGCTAGGTGCGTGTGTATTCATATATTTATATACATTCGTGTATGTGTGAGTTCTAATGCTACTAAGACTGCCAACGTATAAATATTGGGACGTGTACTCGATGCGATTATGAATAATGCGCATACAACGTGTTGGCCGATACCGAATTACAAGCCGCTTAATGGCCGTGACTTTGAAATTTCTTATTTATTTGTGCCGTTAAATTGCTTAAGTGTTGCAAATTAGCGTGTATCTGTGAACTTATTCGGCCTTCTGTATACTCTTAAAGATATTTCGGATTCCTTGCACTTTGCTTGTTGGCGAAGGGTGTGTGACTCACAGTTATAAGTACTACTTATGTACACGTAGAAAGAAGTGATAACAAAATGTTTCAAGTTCATTGTTTTCCGTGGCGCTTTCATAAGTATAGTACAATATGTACCTATGTATCTGCATTTAAATTATTAAGTAAAAGTCTTGAGTATGCTGACATTTAAAGATGTTGTGGTTAACCTCGCAACGGAAACACTTTCCAGCAATGGCCAAGCTTCCACAGCGCTATTTTACCTAAACAATAAAAGCAAGTCTGCATTAATAGGCAAAAGCTGTAATAATAAATTAATGAACATATTTACAACTATGCATATGCTTGGCGCAAAACTCCGCACCCATAGTTCGGTTCGCACTCTCGCCTGGGATCTTTGGGTACTTTGAACTTTCAGCGTCTACGATGCGCACTGCACACATGTGTTTCAAGTTTCCATGTACGCGTAGATTTCACTTTCTGCCATGGTCTGCGTTTGAACAGCTCCAGCTCGGTAATCACATGATTGGGTAATATTTTGTCTATATTCTGGCATATCGTTTTTTCACTTATTTCTTTTGTTGTTGTTGTTGGATTGTGCCTGATTATCACTGGGGTTTGTTGTTTTGCCAAATGCGATGGGTGCTTGGGTGTGCGTTTTATTGGACCCATTCACGATAAGATTAGTAACTCATTTTGAGAATTTGTATTAAGCACCCGAACTATTATACTATATGCAGTCTCTTAGGCCGCCGCCAAGTCAGTTTAGTTGAAGAAATTAAAAACATATTGGCAAAGCACAAAAAAAAACCGTTCCATTGAGACTACAATTTCAATTCAAGAAATACATATGCAATAATTTTATGTGTATGTAGATACTTTGGGGAAGAAATCGCAAGGTCAATTTTGTTTCTAGGAAGCTTACAGCAAATCAACGGTTTAATTATATAAATATTTGAACATAAATATAAATATTTGAATATCAGTCTTTCTAGGTGAAGGATACTCCAACCAACTCTGTTTAAACGCGCAGAAAGCATAATTGTCGTGGAAAACCCTGCTGGGCCCTGGCGGCAAAATTAAATTGCTTGCGTATTTTAACAGTTGGTAAGATACACACATACTCGTAGTTTGTGAATAGTTTTTATTATCAGTTGACGCTGCAAACATTATTTAATTATTTGTCATGGGTTTCAGTTAAGTAGTTAAGAAACAAAGACGGAGTGGACGGCACGTTCTCGCGCTAAGTGTTTCTTGAATAACTAAGTCACTGTGGCAATTATGTATGAATATATACATGTACTTTATGTATGTATGTACTGACTGCGATATGGAACGGGTACCTGTACAAATACTCGTTCATTGCTGCCAATTGCGACGCAATTGCTTGATGAATACTCAGCTAGACGCCGTAAAACAAACAGAAATAGCAACAACAACAACTACCGGGCAATCACAATAAAAAGCCAAACAAACCTGGTGTGACCTTTTCGCTAAGCAATTGAATGCAGTCTGAATTTATGATTTGTTGCACTGCGACAGCCTATAAATTGCACTGTTTAATTAAATTACTAGTGCGGATATTTGGCTCCCACAGTGGGGAAAACGGGCTGGCAATGAAAGTGACCGTCGCCGCCGGCTTTCTCATATCAGCGTGATCATGTACGTGTTGGGTTGGCTGATAAAGTTGGCCGGGTGAGCATTCTGATGGTCACTTGGTCACATGCCTTTGATCGATATGGGCGATTGATTGCTGGATGACTGTCTGAATGTCAGTCTACCTGGCTATTTGACTAAGCACTCAATTCATTTGCTTTGCCGGTGTATGCATGTATTATGTACTATATGTATGTATACATATGTATGTACTATATCCAGACACCAGTTGATACACTCAATCATAGTGATTGATATTTGAGCGTGGCTCTAAAAGCAATCTGTGGCATTTATTTGGTAGAAATTTGAATGCCTTTTGTGAAAAACTGAAAATTGGCAGCCAATGGTCTTGGACTTGCTTTGTGGGGACTGTGTTACGTAATTCAGCAAACATCATGTGAATTTACGTAACATTTTTAGGACAATTTACATATGTACCTATGTATGTACTCTACCTGCTAGATAAACAGGATTAACAGAATTATATGTGTTATTTGGCAATGATTAAATTAGTCAAATGGCTGCCCCACATTTTATTATATTATAGGTAACGAATCTATAATCGCATAATACCAAATAGACTGAGACACAAATTAAAGAAAAGGTGCTGAGAATAATGCGAATAAAAAAATACAGATTTCTGGGTCATAAAAATAATATTTAATCAATGTGTGAAACTTTTTCTAATAAACAAAAAGTACTAATGGGAACTCAATTGCATAAATCCGATTTTGGACCTTTTCAGTTGTGTGGGATTTTGGGTGTCTTATACATACTATATATTACTCAAGTATAACTGACCTTATAAGATAGAAATTGGTAAATAAATTAGCTAATTATGACCATATATAGGATTGATTGTTGCTTCACATACATACGTGTGCATACAAGAAGAAATGTTCTGAGAAGGGGCCGAATTGCTCCGTGTACATTTATTTTAAAGTTAATTCTACGAAAGTATGTTTCTGAACAAATATTGATTGTGACTCTTTAAAATCCCGTTCTCTGTCATACTAAACCAAATCGCTTAAGGCGCAAGACCTAATTGCGTTGGACCAACTCGGACAGATTGCATGGCCGGCGGTGAACATAATTCGATTTCATTTTATTTAGCTTTTTCCAAATTTTATGTTGTTTTCACCACAAATTACCATTCGTTATTATAACCAAATTTGCATACGTATTGTTGGTTGGCTACATTTTAGCATTCAAAATTTCGCATCTTTTTTTTACAGCTTAACAAAAAGTGAGCGCCGTTAGACGACAGCGACGAGCAACTACGTTCCGCGATTGCCACCGAAGAAAAGTAAAAGCGCCAGCGCAAACCGCCACACACCGCCACACACAAACCAAACATGGCCGAGACAATCAACAGCAAGCCCAGCTTACAGATACGCGTCTTGAGTAATGGCAACGGGATAGCAACGGACAAGAGTCCATCCTCATCGCCGGCACTAGCACCAGCACAGTCGTCATCGCCATCGCCATCTCCAACGGCAAAACTGCTGATCAGTCATGGCAAGCCCAACTTTACTATCCCGCGCTCGCCCAAAGTGCAAGACAATGGAAGTTCGGTGTCACCGCAGCCGAGTGTCAATACCAATTATAATGCCTTCAAAAGTGCGAATAGCAATGCCAAAAGCAACGGTAAAAATGACATAGTTATTGGAACCAAATTCAACGGTGTCTTTAAACCCTCTAATTTGGGCAACTGGACAAGCAACGGCGCAGGTGGAGAGGAGAATGAAGCCGCCAAAGTGGTACTACGGCGCCCAAAATTTTCAGAGCCGTCGACACTAGCGGAAGGTGAGGATGAGAATGTGCCAGAGTTTATACGTCGTCAGCGCAGAATACAGGAGCGCTTGGCCAAAGAAAATGTGTTGGATTTCGAGAATCGCCGCAGCGGTTACTTTACGCATGTCATGATATCGCCTGATTCACCAAATCGTACTTCATTCGTGGAGACCATGGCCAGTCCTGCTATAGTGCCTGCATTGGAATTGCCTGCGCCCTTGCCGGCAAAGATTGTGGAGGAGGAGGTGGTCGCGTCTGAATCAGAGCGAGAGCCCACTCACAACGGCCAGGGTCTGGAATTTGACGCTTCAGCTGAGCCTATCAGCACGAGTCACGCCGATGATGTGGCACCCGAGGATGTGGCTCAAGCCATTGAGGAGGTAAACAAAGCAGTAGCTGGTGAAGAGGACGACAAGGGTTTAGATGCTGAGCCCGAGTTGGAGGCAGAGGAGGTGCAACCAGTTGCCGTTGAAGTCACATCGACTCATATCAAAACAGAGCCGGCATCCCCCACACCGGCTCCTATAGAGGCCAAAGTGGAGGTGGTTACGCCTGTCGCCGACTCGGCGGCAACACCACCTGTTGATCAAGTTCATGAAGGTTCCTTGAATGGCCACGATGATGCTATTACCATTTCCCATACAAATGGTCATGCTGAGGGTCCTAGCATACCAACGCCTGATCCTAGCGGCACTTTGGGCGTAAACTATGAACCCAAAACAGTGGTTTCCTTCTCCCAAGAACTGGGTGGTGGTGAAAACAACTATCCGGACACGGTTAAGGTGCTGAAGGATGCCACGCCCACCACGCCGGCAGAGGCAGAGCTTCAAGAGATGAGCAAGCTGAAGTTCGACATTAAGAGCGACGAGCACAACGAGGTGCAGGTCACTCCGGTGCTACGCGCGGAGCCGTGAGCGAGCGATTTGGTGATGTTCGCGTTCATAGTGCAATTTATTATTAAAGATAATATTTACGCAATGTTTATTTTGTACATTTTTTGTTAGCGCTTAAGTTAATTACGAGAAATGTTGCCAAATTTAATTTTATTCCATATCAGTCATCATTATAACCAATTAGTACTTGTTGTAGCCTCCGGCTCTTAAACGCAGTAGGTTCTGTATGTTTCATTCAGAAAATCAATACATTATTTTTGTATCCTGTACCCAAGGGTAAAAGGGTATACTAATTTAGCGTAAATGTATGTTACACGCAAAAGGAGCGTGGCAGACTCCGCAAAGTATATAATTATATTTTCGATCACCATGGCAAAACGATTCGATATAGGCATGTCCGTTGGTCCGTCTTTCTGTCCGTTATCATGAACGCCAGGATCTCGGAAAGTAAACAGATAGAATTACCCAACTTAGAATTACGTCCTTTAATTGATTTTGCCATCCGCAATTATTGGAACTGTTTACTCTAATTTGAACAATTTACTCCCGGTTACTGCTCATCGAAATAGGTCAACTGCAAAGGAAGTTATAGCCATAAGTGTATTATCTGCCCATGCTCTGCCAGTAGCTGTTGTTTTTGTTGTTGCTGCCTGGTTAAACTATGCACATGCAGTCCCAATGTTAATGTACTACTTTATGCAATTGTACATAAACATACTATGCCTTTACGGACGTGTTATGTATTTTTATTTTATTACTTTCTTTAAATTAATTTAATTAAACAAATGTAATTAAAAAAGGATTTATTTATTGCTGGAGTTGGTGGGAACATTTACGAGTTAGGCTCTTCTTAGGATTCCATACTTGCTAGAAATTACAATGTTTATGAGTTAATCATGATTCGAAACGTTGCAGCCGGTTTCAGCCAGGCACGTAGGAATTAGAGATGCATTAGCAGTACGGTCCGCCGGGTTTCTTTTAAGTTTGCGAAACAATTCAACTGCAGAAATACGCCTACCAACTGCAGGAGGAAGTTTGTCCTTCTGCTTCGTTTTGCTTCTGCTATGGGTGCATATGAGCACAAGGTTTGTTGGATACAGGGTTAACGTTTAGTGCTTATGTAACACAAAGTAAATATGTTCTTCATCGGAAAGACAACACGAGTTGAATCATATCTCACTTCGAGCTAAGAACCCGTCTTAGGGCACAATAAAGATTTTGCCTAAATTTAATTTTGAGTTACACACACTGTGCATGGTATGCATGGATGCAACTTCAAAGATAAGAGACCCAACTACTTTTAAATAATATATTGTAACTTTGTTTATGGGGTTATATTTTCAAAACTTTTGTTTTGAATGTATAGTAATGATAGTAAAATTTTTACACAGACACCTCTCTAGATAGATAGATAGGTTAACAAATATTTAAGATAAAAAAATATTGCGGTACAAGAACCCTATAAAATGATATGTAGCAGCTGATAGTTCGAGGATTCCACCTGCTCTTTGCCACCTGTGCTGGGGTGTCGTTGGACAGTTGTTTCAGCAAAAGTTGTGGCATTATGGTAGTCATGCCAACGCAAAAGTCCAAGAAATGTACAGGGGTTTTTCGGGGTTGCAATTGCATTGTATATAGCTGACCAACATTACCAGACTACTGAGCATATGTTTGACCCTTACCATACGTTTAATCAATATTAAGGACAGGGTGGTTGTGCCTTAACTGTCAAGTGAATGGTAGATGCCTTTTGACTAAACAGTTGGCTTTGGCCTTTCTGTCAGAACGATCTCGCTGATTATTTTTGAACAAGTTTTCCAATGCACATAGATGCAGCTAAAACTGCTTGCTACGGGTCTTCTATAGCTTCCTTCGTGCTATTATGGATTTATGTCTTAAGGGTTCACAGGTGGTACATTGGACCTTATTTGGGGTCCGTCCTACAACTACTTATAAACGTTCCTTTTATGAAAATAAAGATTAACCTTGCTACACGAGAGCAAACGAAGCCAAAATACACGAGCCGCTCCCTAACTACGCTGCATCAACCGGCGCCGCACTTTCGTCCACGTTCCGCAAACTTTTTGCACCAACGCAACCGCTCGTCGCTATTTCTCGGCCGACCTCAGTCCGCGGACCCGAAATTCGGACGACTAAGCGTTTACTTTAGCGAGAAAGAGCTAAGGCAATCAAAACAGGTGAGTTGCATGCAACGTATTGTGACTGAAAAAAAAAACATGCAATCTTAAATATCAACAAATGTTTTGAAATCAATAGTAAAATTCGTCTACGTCGAAAATATGTACATATATACTCTCTATACTCTATACATGCATGGTCATGGCCCTGCAGTAGAATATATTCTACTGTGTCCGTACTATCTAATTTTTCATTAGAAAGTATTTTCTACTTGTTTTCTCTATGACAGCCCTATTAAAAAGTCGTTTAAAATGGTCGTTCACGATACAGTAAAGTTCTTGTGCGATTTAATATTGTTAAAGGATTGTGAGGATTGATCTTCATGCTTCATGCTGATAATACCATCTGAGAGTTGCAAACCAATTGATAAGCCAATTGTCTTATATTGGCGCCATAAATCTTCATTACCTCTATTTTCAGCGGAATCAGTCCTCAACAGACTTACTGAAGAGCTTGCTGGAACAGCCCATCAAGCGGAACTGGTTGTGCCGTAGTGCGGGCAACTCATCCACAGACGAGCAGTCGGATTTCTCCCAGAAAACGTCCTACTCAAGTTTTAAAAAGCCCACACCCGAGTCGGGCAACAGTAACGAGGGTGAGGAACAGCAACGCCTTTTCGTCACTATGGCTAGCGATTCTGCGCCTACGGCTAAGTGCAATGGCTATGCTGGTCAGGGCTGGGCCGTCATGGGCTCTAATCTGGCTCTGTCGCAAAAAAGTGTGAATCCCGATTTGCCAGGTCGTGTTTCCTTTAGCAAGGCTAATTTGGCTAATGAAGTAGATTCGAGCGATTGTGAGAATGACAAACAAGGGAACCTGCGATCGAGCAGCAATAGTATTTCTGCTCCTGGTCCCCTTACTTTTCCAAGTTTTGTATATAGCAACAACAACTGCAAGAGTAGTAACAACAACAGTAATAAAGGAGATATCTCAGATCAAAGTCCCCAGAAGAAATCGGTGCACTTTCGTGCACCCGCTGCTGGCAGCAGCGAGGTGCTGGCTGAGACCTATGAGTATCCCAAGTGTCCATCAGAGATTTGCACATGCAGCACACGCTCTTCATCCACGACCAGCACCCACGAGGCGGCCGATGTTAAGTGCGCCTGTGACTCGCACACTTGTCGGTACACGGAATCCAGTAATTTGGAGCACTCCACGATTACTCCGGAACTAAAAGTGATCCAAGAATATAAGAGGGTAGTGGATAGTAGCCATATACCAGAGCAACATACTACCCCTAACAACCATAGGAAGCTTGAGCTGCCCAACTATTTAGAGAAATATGCGGCGCCAACAGAGGAAAAGCAGAATAATCTATCGGAACCCAAAAACATAGCTGGCAACAAAGTCAGTGACGATGGTAGAGCCACTTTGTCTTCCAAAGCCGACAACAAAGTTGTACCCATATTTCAGGTGAATGAAGGCCACTATGGAAAAAGCAGCGCTGATGCGGTTATTAGCAATTATATGAGGGTATCTTCATCGCCACCATTTTCGGGTAAAAAGAAGGAGGATGTGGGCTCGGCTGCTACTGCACTGAGTAAAGGTAGGCTGGCGTCTGGGAAACTTAAAAAGGCCGTGACCATGGGCGGATTGCGTGAGGAGCGTAGCCTTAGCGAATACAATCTTGACAAGGTAGACAGTTGGATGAGCATACAGGAGGTACAGAAGCAAGTGCACCTGGAGAAATTGCAGAAAATTCCAAAGCACCAATTGGAGGATCTTGACGAGGGCAACGATAGTGCTTCGCAATTGTCGATGAAATCGAATGATGACTCTCGTGACTCCACCTACGAAGAAATTGTGTCGGTCATCAAAGAAATTGAGGAAGACAAAAAGCAAGGTAGGTAGTAGATGAATTCAATAGATCCATATAGCGGCACGGTGTACTTTTTCGATAGACAACTTTGCGGAGCAAGTGACAAATGAGCTAAATCTTAAGCTGGAATCATGTTCTGAAGCAGCTGAGATGACGAGTCAAAACGGGGGAGGCGTAGCAGGAACTGGTGATAAGTACAAGTATGTGATATGTATAGCTGTTGCTCTCGATAGTCAATTTCCCGAATTTTACAAGTTTAGGGAGTGATTGGTCTGAGGCTACTTCAATATAACAGAAGTTGAGTGACCGTAGGTTTTAAATAATATCAATGTATTTACTTACAGGGATATTTTAACGTATTTGAACAACGTGGAAAGTAGTTGTGACAAGACATTGATGGAAACCCGTCGCTCATTGCCGAACTCAAGTCGCTCAGAAGTGGAATTTGTGATCGAACCGGATGTGACAGATGAAGTACCAAAGTAAGTTTTTAAGTCGCTCACGTGCCGCTAATTCGAAGCTACTTAATAAGTAGAAGTTTTATTAGTTTCCGAGATGTTTGAACTGAATGAATATTGAATATTTGATGATTGTTTCCCAGACTGTCCGAGCTGCTAATGCTTCCAAACCATCAATTGGCACGTCGTGTCATTGGGCTCAGCTTGCGTGCTAATGAGCTAACTAATGCTATACATCTCTCTAAGGAGCATGTGGTTCTGCTGCGAAGCGAGAAGCAGAAGTTGCTACGGGCTGAAAAATCGACGAGTGCAAGCAAATTACGTGAGCAAAAGAAGCATTACGAGGAGGTGGTGAAGCGCCATCAAGGCTTTATTGAACAGCTCCTTAAGGATAAAGGATCACTTTGTGAGAAGGTGGCCGCGTTGACAAGACGTCTGGAGAGCCAGAATCAGGCATGGGAACATCGTCTGGAAACAGAATTGGCGCGGGCTAAGGAGACGACACTGGCCGGAGAGAAAATTCGACGCGAGCGTTGGGTACGAGAAAATACGAAAAAGATTAAGGTGAGTGCTATCACATACCAAATGGGTAATGTCCATTTATGCAAATTTTCATTAGGAACTCACTGTTAAAGGGCTCGAGGTGGAGATTAACAAAATGAATTGTGACCATCAGCGCGAATTGACCGAGCTTAAGCGGGCTCATCAAATGCAGTTGTTGGACGCACTAGAGGAGGCAAGGCTGAAGCACGAGCAAATAGAGCTCGGCATACGCGAGAGCTGCACCCAAGATCGAGAGTCCATCATAGAGAAAGAACGCACTGCCATACGTGAGCGATTTGAGCGCCAGCTTGAGGAGGAGCAGAAAACGCAGGCGGAAAATAGGCAAAAACTGTGTGACGAATTCGCAGCAGAGCGTGAGCGCTTACAGGCGGAGCTTCGCCAAAAGGACTGCGACTATCAAACACGACGTCAAGAGGCGCAAATGGAACAGGAAAATGAGCTCGAGCAAGTCAAGTTTGAGATGCAAGAGAAGCTGGCCAAGCAAGAAGAGAAATATCAAAATCGCATTAATACGATCGAGAAACAATATCTGGCCGACTTTGAGTTGTGGAAGAATGAGTACGAAAACAATTGTAAGTTGGCGCAGGCAGAAAAGGAGAATTCCATACGACAACACTATCGAGCTGAACGGGACAGACAACTTGATGAGTTGGTGGTACGCATGGAGGCCGATGCACTACAAATTGACGAGGAGCACGAACAAAAGTTGCTGTAAGTGTTCATTTAGTTAAGAAGAGATTTTTTAAATTCTTATTTTGAACTCTTTGCAGTCGTCTGAAGGAGAAGTATGAAAAGGACCTTAATGTGGCTGAGAGCGTGGAAAAATCTTTACGTGAAAAGTATGCCGAAATTCGAGGCAAGCTGGCGGAAGCGGAAGCTGAAGTGCGAAACTGCCAAGCAGAGGTCAAGCAATTGCAACTAGAGTTGGGACACAGCAAAAAGATGTGTGGCGATATATTGAGCGATCGGGACAAACTACGTGAAAATCTTAGCACAGACATACAAAATGAGTTGGGAGCGGTTAATGAGCGTCACAAGCAGGAAATGGAACAACTGCAGAAGCGGTGGGTGATCATTCATCTAATTTGTAAACATATAAAATCTACATCTCTACATACGTTTTCAAACATACAGAGTGCATCAGACAATAGAGCGACAAGAAGAAACCATTGAAGTCCTTAAGAGCGACAATGACACATTGCGGCAGCAATGTCTTAAATTAAACGCAGTCATTAGACAACAGCGTAAGGATTACTGCGTTAAGTAGATTTGAGCGCAACTTAAATAAAGCAGACAACTGAAATTATTTCAACTGAAATTATTGTCTATTTACTACATCAGAGCAATATTCCTTTAGCTAATACACTCACAGAAAGGACATTATGAATTCTTGTCGTAAGAAAGACAGATTTGGTATGGCTGGAGTTCATATAGTGTTATGTTATGATTGTATTAATTATGTTCATTTAGTTTACGCATCAGCTAAGAGTGGTTTTCGCCAACTAGAAAAGAGACTATTACCATACCCATATGACAATCAAGTCACATATCGCCAAACTCAAAATCTCTCTTAAGATTTCTGTGCAGTTTGTGCTTTAACTTATACAGTCTTTGAGCCACAGGAGAAATCGAATAAATACTTAATACTCTGTATCTCCCACCAAAAAGGAAAAAATGAAAAAAAACTTTATTAAATTAATTTTAAACAAGAGAGAACGCTACAGTCGAGCAAGCCCGACAGTGTAATACCCTGTACCCAGGTAAACTTCCGTCACTGAGTTATATGCGCCCAAAGCAGCAGCAAAAAGAGGAAGAAGAAGAGCGAACTTGTTGCTGCAGTTTGTGGGGGTTGTACTGGCGAGAATTTGTTTTGCTTATAACTTTTCTTAGAATCGACCGAATTGAATAAAATTTAGAACAACAGTAGACAATTATATATAAATTATGTGTGAAAAGTTTGGTTTAGGTAGCATTTGAAATGTGGACGCTATTGACGAAATTCTGTAGCGGGGGAAGGGGGGGAAAATTACATGTTCATGTACAGTTTCAACAGCATACATTTACATCAGAATCGTGTCGCTGCGTGCTTATATGCGTGTATGTATGCAGCACAAAGTTGAACCAAAGCAGCAACAACAACAACAGCTGCGGGCAGAGCTGCAGGCAGAGCACAGGTAGCGATTTTATGTATGGCTGTAACTTTCTTCAGAATTGACCTATTATGATGAAACTTGGCATACGGACAGATAACCACAAACTGGATGTAATTGCCAAATTTGGGTACGAAATTCCAAGGAGGCTTGACAGACCCCACATAGTATATAAATACATATATTCTTGATCTGTATGACAAGACGAGTCGATCTATATCTGTCTGTCTGTCCGTCCGTATGAACACCTGGATCCCAGAGACTATAAGAGCTAGAGACACCAAATTTTACACAAAGATGACTTATGACAGTAGGCTGTGCAGTTTGTTTTATTTTTTGATTTTCCCCCACTTCCCCTCTATGGAGGATTTCCCTTTTATGTACATAAATACGCAGACAATGTGTATTTTGGAATTTCCCTCCCTCCCCCCTCTTCATCACAATTAGTGATTTTTCATAACTCCCGTATTTCTTGGAATTTTTCATTGAAATTCGGAAAGTACCTCCAATTAGTGATTATGAGTCCGTGTGCTAAGTTTCATAATGAAAGGTTAAAAGGTTAGTTATAGCCATATATGTATATATGACCAAGCTGTGCCCGCAGCTGTTGTTGTTGTTACTGCTTTGCACAGGCACACGAGACATACACAGCCACACACAAACACACACATACACACACATACACGCATAATTATTCTCCACATACAAGTATGTACAGAGTATTTCAAAGTCGGGACACCCGACACCCTTCAGCTTCTCTACTTGTTTAATTTTTAAAAAGCGAGTGCATGGTACATAAAACGTGTGTTCCAAAGTAAACAGGACTTTTTTTTTAAATAAACAGAACAAATGGTTTTTTCGGCAAAATCATTTTATTTTATTCAAAATAGTCTCCTTCTGCTTCAATACAGCTTTTTGCATGATCCAAAAGCATGTCGAACGAGTGTTTTAGCTCGTTGGCCGGTATGGCCGCCAGTGAGCCAGTGCACGCCTTTTGAATGGCCTCTACGGCTGCATAACGTTTTCCTTTCATGGGCAAATGCATTTTACCGGAAAGGTAGAAGTCGCACGGTGCCATATCAGGTGAATACGGCGAGTGGTTAATGGTTAAAATGTGATTTTTGGTCAAATAATCGGTCACAAGCGTCGATCGTCCGAGCAATTTTTGGTCGTCAGTCAATTTGTGCGGAACAAACCGAGCATACACCTTTCGTAAGCCCAAATGTTCGGTCAAAATGCGATAAATCGATGTTTTGGAGATGTTCAGTTCCATTTCCATCCATTTTCAATGATGATTTCGGCTGATTTTTGATAAATTCACGCACAGTTTCGATGGAATTTTCGGTGATCACGAATTTTGATTGGCCCACATGTTGATCGTCATTTATGTCCTCACGACCACTTTGAAAACGTTGAAACCACTCATGCACTCTGCTACGGGATAGGCAATCATCGCCATAAACTTGTTCCATCAATTGAAACGTTTCGGTAAAAGTTTTTCCAATTTTAAAACAAAATTTAATGTTGGCTCTTTGTTCGAAGCTCATTTTCGCACCGATAACACAAACATGCAGACACTTAAAACGCAATAACTTCACTTCCAATCGATGAAATGTCATGAAATTCTCGCTGGACAATCGATAAAGATAGCAGATTCTAACGCACCAATCGACATATAGATAGCGCCACCTAGATTCAAAAAGTCCTGTATACTTTGGAACGCACCATGTATAAGAGTTGGCCCTGCTTAACTGTACCTTTCAATTCTTGTTATAACCTGTACCCGTAGGGTAAGAAAAATATACATATTAGGTTTGTGCAAAGTATGTAACAGGCAGAAGAAGGCATCTCCGACCCCAAAAGTATACATGTATATTCTTAATCAGCATGATGAGACGAATCAATCTAAATACATACGTCCAAGCTTTTAATCTGTCAAAAACAAACTAAGTATGTACTTGAAACTGTGAACATATGTTCGGGACATGTGTACTAACATAACAACAAATTGATAATCGAATGTACGATATATTCATTCTCATCTGTCTGTATAACAAGTAAAAAAGCTAAAGTCGGCTGTCCCGGTTTTGAAATACTCTGTACAAATGTTTAGAATAATTATAGAAATTAAAAAAATGTAGAGAATAAAGGGTGTATAATTGCACATTTACATAGCAATTGCGTCTATGTGAGTGTATGATTGTCTATGCGCGTCTATTCGTGTCTGTGTGAACATGTTTGCGGTCAACCAAACAGCAACATCAACAGCTGCGGGCAGCAAATATATTTATGGCTATAACGTCCTGCTAAATTGGTCTATCATGATGAAACTTGGCACATAAGCACTAACTGTATTTGCAAAATTTCAGTTCGAAATTCCAAGAATTACGGGAGTTACAAGGGAGGGAAATTCCAAAATACACATTTTCTGCGTATTCACATAAGGCATCTTGGACTAAAATTTTGTGTTCCTAGGTCTTATAGTCTCCGATATATAGGCGATTATACGAATGGAAAATCGGGAAAACGCCCATAGGGGGAAGTGGGGCGAAAATGAAAAAAAAAAAAAAAACAAACTTGCACAGCGTACACAAATAACGCATCTTTGTATAAAGTTTGGTGTCTCCCCTTTAGCTTCTTTACTTGTTATTTATAAGTCTCTTTAATAATTGACTTCAGAGTAACAGAACAAGAAGAAACCTGGTAAGAAACCTGTTCACCCAATACCCTACATATTTACACTTGGCGAGCTAATATGCACGGCTGATACGTCCGGACACTCGTTCGCAAATCGAATGTGATTTTCAAGCTTTAAATATTTTCTTCTGTGTACAATTTGTACATTGAAATTATAAATTTGTCTGTATTTTCTATGAAATCAAATACAACTTATAATGCAACTTCTACGCACGCTTTCTAGTCTGGGGCTGATTTCCTTTTTCATCATCAATATTGATGAGGCCGAATCAGTTGGCTCTTGTCACTATTTTAGTGAGTACAAGGTATTCAATTCAGATTAAGATGTATGAGTTACTGTAATATAAAATTATCATATCATTATAGGTGGATTGGTTTGATGCATTATTCGCGTGCCAGTTAATGAAACTTTGCCTGGCTGATCTGAGAACGAAAACCGCTTTTGATATGGTAGAGCAGGAATTACTACCCGATGAAGATAAAAATGCGGATTATTGGATTGGATTGAATGGTTACGAGAAGCATAAATATACCTATGTTTCAGATAATTCAGCATTGGAATATATGCCACCGAACACAAAATTAACGCTCAACAAACCCTGTGGTTATATAAAAAAAAATGGAAAATCCGAAACCGGCTCATACACGTTGGCAACTGATAATTGCGGCATGAAGAAACAATTCATATGCTCCGACTCCGAATGGTGCAACGGTAATCCCACTAACAGTTCGTTTGTTTTGGGTTGGATAATAGAGCCACCTTGCTACATAGAAGATGACATTTTGGATTTGCTTGGTCTCAAAGGGTTGGTACCAAAATCTAATAAAATTCACAAGGGGTAAAAATGTTATCATAAATAAAGAAAAGTATTGGCACGTGCTAATGCCGTGCAAGTGCTAATGCTCTTGAATTGTCTTCTATATGTACAAATGAATTTGTTAATGTGGCGAATTTATTTCTTTTCATTTTAATGGCATTCGGTCTTTATTTTACCCTATCATCATAATTTCGAGAATTTGACTATTCCAAATCTAAGGTGTTCGTCACTTGTGTAACCTGGTAAAATCTACAGGGCATACATGTAAGTGTTGGGCCTGATCAACTCTAGCTTTCCATTCTTGTTTTTATTTTCTTAATTTTATTTAACTAATTTAACTTAAAGAAAAAATTAATTATAATTTTTGTAATTTTGTTTTTTTAAGGAGAGAGGTAGCTCAACACTACCTTTAAATTATTGTTTTTATTTCATTAATTTCATTTATATTAAATAATTTAAAGAAAAATTTATTATAATTTTGTATGATTTGTGTATATTTAAGATTTGGCCCCACTCGATTCCTAGCACTTCTTCCTCATTTAAATTAATTTGCTTAGCCTGTACCTAATGGGTAAAAGGGTAGTTCAGTGCGAATGGACATTTGAAGCAAACAGAAGGAGGCGTGGCAGATCCCACACATATTTTTGATCCGTATGACATGCCGAGTCCATATATTCATGCTCGTCTGTCTGTATGAAAAGTATATGAGATAGAATCGATAAGTGAACCAATCACCGCTAATTGGCGATTTGGTGATGATGGTATTACAAAAAACCATATCTTTGTAGACAAAGGGTGATCTTTTGAACTGACAGTTATTTTGGAAGTAAGTGATATACTTGTAATACACCGATTTGGGGTAAATATCATAAGTCCATAGCAGAGAAATATTGATATTCCTTTGTACTTTTAGGTCTAATATGGATTTTTATTATTTATCAATTTTGTTGTTGTTATTTATAAGTCTTTTTAACGATTGACCTCAGAGCAACAGAACAACAACTGGTAAGAAACCTGTTAACCCAATACCCTACATATTTACACTTGGCGAGCTAATATGCACGGCTGATACCTCCGAACACCTGTTCGCAAATCGAATGTGATTTTCAAGCTTTAAATATTTTCTTCTGTGTACAATTTGTACATTTAAAATATAAATTTGTCTGTATTTTCTATGAAATCAAATACAACTTATAATGCAACTACGCACGTTTTATAGTTTGGGGTTGATTTGCTTTTTCATCATCAATATTGAGGCCCAATTAAGTGGCTCTTGTCACTATTTTAGTGAGCATGAGGTAATTATTCCGATAAGTAGATGTGTGTGTTGTTGAATCGTAAAATTACTCTACCATTATAGGTGGATTGGTTTAATGCCTTAATCTCGTGTCAGTTAATGAAACTTTGCCTGGCTGATCTGAGAACGAAAACCGCTTTTGATATGGTAGAGCAGGAATTACTACCAAATGAAACAAAAAATAAGGATTATTGGATTGGATTGAATGGTTACGAGAAGTATAGATATACCTATATTTCCGATCATTCAGCATTGGAATATATGCCACCGAACACCTCATTATCGCTCAGAAAACCCTGTGGTTATATAAAAAAAAATGGAAAATCCGAAACCGGCTCATACACATTGGCAACTGATAATTGCGGCATGAAGAAACGATTCATATGCTCCCAAGCCAGAAGGTGCAATGGCAATCCCACTGGCAGTTCGTTTATTCCGGGTTGGAAAACGGATCCTTGCATTATAGAAGATGACATTTTGGATTTGCTTGGTCTCAAAGGGTTGGTACCAAAATCTAATAAAATTCACAAGGGATAAAAATGTTAGCATAAATAAAGGAAGGTATTAATATCGAGGGCATACGCTACTTTTTCAAAAGGCCGGGGGAAAATTATGATTAAATAATGCACAGTGCTTTAAAATAGTATTAAAATAATAATTTATGCATAGGGTCAATAGAAAAACTCTAAAAAATCGAACTCAGTTGCTTGTTAAGGTGAAATAGTGTGCCATGAATGGCAAAATGACAGCTCAGTCGCATCGTTAAAATGGATGCGGACAAAAACACGGTCATCGCTTTGAATGAAGAAAATGAGTACATCTTCCTCTGTTTTATTGAGCAAATTTGTATTTTCATCTTCGGGCAACACTGTCATTCACTTTCGAACATGTTGACACGAACAGTCGCAAGATAGAAACATTTCTATTCTTTAGGAGCAAAACACTCAAACAAACTCAAACACTCAAACTCAAACACTCAAATTTAACACGAAAACCTCCACTAACAAATTCGGGCAACATGCGCCTGGATGGCCTGCTTTAGGGAGAGGGGATTACATGCTTAAAATTCCTAAATACACATTTTCTGCGTATTTACATAAGGCATCTTGGTGGCCCGAGGTCTTATAGTCTCCGAGATGGTGATTATACGAACCGCATTACGGAAAACCCCCTATTATCGTGGAAGTGGGGAGAAAATCAAAAAATAAAACAAACTTGCGCAGCGTACACACATAAGGCATCTTTGTGCAACATTTTGTGTCTCTGTAGTCTCTGAGATCCAGGACGGACAGACAGACAGGGCTAAGTCGACGCGGTAGACACATCCAGTTAGTGATTATATATCCGTACACCAAGTTTCATTATGATAGGTTGATCAGAAAGAAAGTTATAGCCATATAACGAGGGCCAATACACACATACATACATAAACACGCATAGGCACGTTTCTGATGTAAATGTATGTATGCATGTATAGAATATTTTATATTTAATTTAGTTAATTAATTAAATTAATTTAATTTATTTTTTTGTGGGCTGGTACAGGGTATTTAAGAGTTGAGCCCGCTCGATTTTAGCATTGCTTTCTTGTTCAGCTCTAGCAATCCTAATATGCTCTTGTACATTTTATGTAGAGAGTACAATAAGTCTGTGCCGGTCGGAAACCCAGGGTGAAGACGAAGTGTGCTTGCATGTCCTCTTGTCGTGCTTTTCCAAGCAGAGATTTCCCTTAGTCTTAAGGCTGAGCTTGTGGCTAGTTCCTTCCCGACTATGTCTAGTGGGAGGAGATGGAAGAATATGTTAAGGGCTTCCGTCAGTGTTGTGCGAAGCGACCCGCTTATGTGTAATTCTTCCGATCTCTGCACCGTACTGAGTATGTGGAGAACGGTCGAATGATAGCCGTATATATCCAATGTATTACTATATGCTATAAAATTCCAAAATTGCGGGAGGTATAGAAAATTACTAATTACCATGGGGGTAAGGACGAAAATTCTGAGGTTCACATTTTATGCGAATTCACATAAGACATATTGGACTAAAATTTGGTGTCCTTAGGTCTTATAGTCTCTGAGATATAGGTGATTATACGAACGACATTTCCGAAAAAAAAGTGGGGGGTTTGCTGTGTTTATCTCTTATAGTCTCTAAGATCCATGTGCTTATACGGACGGACGGTCAGACAGACAGGGCTAGATCGACTCGTCTTGTCGTGCTGATCAAGAATACATATGTATGTATATATGTATACTTTGTGGCTGTTAAATTTTTCACCTCCCGCAAATCTAATTTCATGTGCAGAGTGTAAAAATTTGACTGATTTTACCTCAGGATTTGAACTCACATAAAATGCATATGACAGCAAATTTGCGTCAGGACAGCAAATTTGGCCAAGCAACAACAGCAGCAGCTGCCGGCATAGCTTGGTCAGATATTACATTTATGGCTCTAACTTCTTAAAAAATTAAACTAAGTATGACGATGAAACTTTACATACATTCGCATTAAACAAGTATACCCTTTTTCCCGTTATTTTGCGGAAGTTGGTATATAATTTTAAAGACTTAAACCCACTCATCTGTAGATTAATGTGGTTAACTTCATTTTGTAATGAACTCCATTGAATTCGCTTCATTTTTGACTGTCTGGCAGCGCCTCAACAATGCGCTTTTTATATGTACGTATACGTTTTGTATACATACATATGTACTATACATACATGTGTGCATGAATGTGTTGGAAAAACAAGTTCCACAAGAGAAGCAGCAGAACTGAAAACAGCAGCAATAGCAGCAACAACATTTCTAAACTCAAACAAAAAATGCCGCAACGTGTTCGTTGTATGTAGCTGCTGCTGGCGGCGCTTTCATTTTGTCTTTATACGATTTTGTGCTCTCGACGTTGGCGCACGTTTAAAAATAATCGCGCTGTAGGCAGAAAAAAGTCAATTTACATACATATATCGGGACTTGCTTCAATTCAAATTGAAAGTAAAACATAAACACAAACCCCCCTAAAAATTTGGTGAACCTTAGTGAAAAATTCAAAACATTCAACATGTTTAGCTCGTTTACAGGTAAAGTGCATGAATTTGATTGTGAAAGTTTCAAATTCGAATACTCTGTTATGTGTATTTTGTGTGAATTTAGAGACATACATACATACATATGTACATAAATTACGCAGTATACATATGTATGTAGATATGTACGTATTTATATACATATGTATTTATGTATGTACATAAGTATATGCGGTATACCAATACGAATGCATTTGAAAATGACGCATTCAGAGAATAGAGTATAGTTAGTTAGTATCCCATATTACATCATCAACAACAACTTGGGGATAGTGGAAGGACAGCTAATACCATCATCTATATACATACATACTATATGTATGAATGTATGTAGCAATATGCGCAGTACTTCAATGCTATAAGCTACATGTATTAATTGTTACTTACTACTTGATGAGACTTGGCAAGATATGCCAACGTAGGCCAATTAAGGCGTATATACGTAGTATGCATATAAATATATACATATGGATTCGTACATCCAAACAGATGAACTATAAGTAGCTTCGTACGCCCACGCCCAATTTGATGCATATATGTACATACATACGTATGTATGTATGTCGATAGATCTACATACATATGTATATACAAATGTATTTTCGTATTATGTGATTATGGCTGCCTGTATTCGCATAATTTTGTGTCTAGGGAGCATACAAATTATAGCTGTCCATGTTACTAGATATTGCGTATCAAACTGTGATATACTTATGTGTGTTCTATAATGTGTTATATTTGCCACGCAAAAATCGGAATCTAACATGTTTAATAAATAATTTATAACTTTGTTCACACAAGATACACATTACTGTAGATACATACATATATATACAAGTATACATACGTATATGTACGTATGATGCTGAGATCACCTTTAATCATAGTTTGTAAGCATATTGAAAGGAATAACTATCGATTTTTAGGTTTATAAGTATGCCTATATGTATGAATGTATGTACGTTTCCTTCGTATTAAAACTAAAATTTCTATTTCTAAACATTGCGTACAGACGCTTCAAAATGTAAGTAATTTCATTGTTTACCTTTTTTATTCCTCACTCAACAACATCGCACACATTTTTTCGTCACTTACTTATAAACATACTAGTTAGTATATACATATGTACCCCTATTTAGAAAAGGGGCTTGACTTGGCTTTAAAATACCTTTTTGCATTCACAAAAGCATCTACGGACTGTTCTTATCAGTGGATCATAGACAAAACATTTTCCAGAGTTCATAAATATTGTACACACACTATGGCAGCACTATTCACATTGGGAGATAATTGAAATTCCGATGCTAGATTGTTTAAATAGTGCGCTTGGATACACATTTTAATTTATTTTGGGCCCACAGAGCTTCCTTACAAAGAAACATACATTGTTGATTCAGGGTGTTTATACAATTTCTTACTCTTCATAGGGCAAGGTTCTTCGTTCCGCCGACACTGGCATATCTGGAGTTATGGAATCGACTGGGTTTTCCGCTGCTTTCAGGGATTCTAATACTTTGTTTTTATCGGATATTAGAGCTTTGGGCGAGGAAGCTTCTGGTATAGCCCTGACCGCTGGTTGGTCTGGCTGAGCTGTTTCCTTGGGTTCTCCAGTCGGTATCTCATCATTGACTTTCGTTACGTCCCCCTCCAATGTCGTTGGTTGATCCGATATTTGTGTCTCAGTCTCCGTTGCTGTTGCTGTCGCATCTGCTGCTGCCGATTCTGATGTCGCCGATTCTGCTGTTGTCGCTTCTGCGGCTGTCGATTCTGGTGGTGCCGTTTCTGCTCCTGGTTCAACAGAGCCTGGCGCTGCTCCTGAAGGTTGCTCAGTAATAGGTGGAGGTTCTTCTGTTGCAAGGTTAGCTTCAGTGGTTTCTTCAGTCTCTGACGTCGGTTCCGTATTTTCTCCAGTATCTGGACTTTCTGTTTGTGTCTCTTCTTGATCTTTTTCCGGCGATTCCCCAACTTCCGCTGTATGCGGATTATCAACCGGCCTCGAATCGCTTTCCACACCCGCCTGATTGCTCCCACCTTTTGCCGCATCGTGATGGAAGTGATGCAAATGTTCGTGGCTGTGATGTTTCTCGCCTTCCCTGTCATTTGTGGGCTGTGCACACTTCAGATCGGATTTTTCGCACACAAAGAACTGCTTTTCTTGGCAATTATCGTCGGTGACCAGGGTGTTGTTTTCCCTCAAACGAACTTCTAAGCAATCGTCAAGATTGGAGCGATGGGTGGGCTCTACCACAGAACTATCGCCCAAATATCGGACAACGCGCCCATTGCTGATATAGGTAAATCGACCCTCGGACTGCAGGTCATTACCACCAAACCAATAGTCCTCCATGTTGCCACGAGTGCGAAGGAAATTTGTAATCGCCTTAAATTCTTCTGACGTAGACAAGTCGGCAAGATTGAGACCCTTGCGCAAGCAATTGTTCTGCGCTCCAAACCAGTTCATCTTTTTATAAAGGATTAAGAAGTTTAGTAGTAACTTTATTTACTGGGAGTCTATCTACACACCTTTTTCATGGCAAAGTAGTAACATTTACCATTGATTTGGCGCAGGTACCGTTTGCCACAGGGACCATTAAGATTTTCTTTCTTCTCTTTTTTGCTTCCGCGCTTAACATTGCGCTCCAGAAATACCTCATCGGGATATGCTATGATGAAGGCCAGTATGACAATATGAAGGAACCTCATGACTGCAGGCGCCTATACAAACTGTGCGCATTCTGGTTGTTTCTTCTATTTATACACTCTTGGAGGCTCGAAAACCTCATTTTATATGCCGATCATTGCATGAAGTGCATGGGTACTTTCAATTGCCGCTGAAAGGGAAGGCGAATTGATTAATTAAAATTAAAGTTAATAGTGTTGCAATTGCATAGGTGTGCGGTTCATATGGTCCATATTATAATTTTAACAGTTGCGTTTGAATGGTGCTGATTTACTATACTTGTATATGGGCTGTGCAGTCAATTCTAATAAATGATTGCAACAAAATCTAATATTGTATACTACTATACATATTTTGTTTCGAGAATATGCCAAAATCTAGTCAATATCAGTTGTATAGTTGTATGATACAGATAATCGATAATCGATATCATACAGCTTCTTTACGCCAATATGAATTTGTAGAATAGGATAAAGAAGTCTGGTTTTAAAATATATTGGATTTGAATAACAATACAAAAGCATCGCAATATAGAAGCTCGTTGACTTCACTGATGTTGTGGAATTATTTGTACTATAAGTCGCGGGTTTTGACCATGGGTAAGCCAACAAGATATACTTGGCAGTATATAATATGGTATTTGGTGCTGCAAAACACACGGAATACCATTGTAATTCATATTAATTGCAAGTATACTATATAGTTTCAGCACAATAAAAAGTTTTCAATGAATCATAACAATGTAAAATGTATTAAGTTTGTCCCAAGCCTTCAAAATATTTATATAAAATGATTGAACTAACTACTTCATGCAATTGCTTGAAAACGAAACTATACTTAGATGTCTTTAAAATTCGAAAACCTCCTCGAATTAATTCGAACCACATTGATTTCGAATTGGTTGATTTATTTTTATAAATAACACATTCAAATAGTTTTGCTTATTTTAGCTATATCATATCTTTTTCAATTGGCCGGCGTGATTACGATGCTGGTGGCGCCGCTTCAGTGGCGGCATCGTTTGTTTCAGCTGTTGTGGCTGCCGCATCTGCCTCTGGTGCTGGTGCTGCTCCTCCTGCGTCTGTTTCTCCTGCTACTGGTGCTGCTTCTGTTACTTCTCCTTCTCCTGCTGTTACTGCTGCTTCTGTTGCTACCACATCGGTTGATACTTGCTCCGGTTGTCCGCTTTCCGCACCTGTCGTTTCTACAGATGGAGTGGAAACTTCTTCGAGTACTTCGGTTCCTTCAGATAATTCGCCGTTGTTGTCAGATGGCTCAGAAAGGCTTTCAGTGGTTGAGGTAGGCTCGTCAGTTGATTGTTCTTCGTCTGGTAGCTGACTTGGTTGATTTGTACCACCTCCGACAACCTCTTCTGAGGCACTTCCACTACCAGTTACTTCGCCTGTGCCGCTGCCAATTGGTGGCTCAGTTTGGTCATCAAATCCATCTTCGCTGCCCTCCCCAATATCGTGGTGGAAATGATGCAAGTGCTCGTGACTGTGATGACGTGGTTTCTTGCTTCCTTCGGAGTCGTCGCAGTAGCGCTCTGAGCATATAAAATACTGGCGTTCCATGCAGTTGTCGTCGGCCACAACTGTCATGTTGGCACGTATGCGCACCTCGAGGCAATCGTCACACTCCGAGTGCTCTGCCGGCCATACAATACTATAGTTACTGTAGAAGCGCACAAGTCGCCCATTGCTTATGTATTGAAAGCGGCCCTCATGCTGCAGGTCGTTGCCGCCAAACCAGAAGTCCTCCGTGTTTCCCTTCGAGCTGAGGAAGCCAATGGCACCGTAAAAATCTCTTTGATTACTAAGATCGGCCAGTGTGAGTCCCTTCCGAAGACAATTGTTTAGTGCACCAAACCAGTTCATCTGAATCAATTGCAATAGTAGTGGAGGATAGTGGGTAATGAGACTGCGTATGCTCCACCCTGCCCCAAATATTTACCTTTTTCACAGAGAAGTAATAGCACTTGCCATTGATGCGACGTAAATAACGACGCGTGCAGCCGGTAGCTGATCCCAGGAGCTGGTCCTTGGGTAGGGCGCTCAGCACGGCAAGGAGCCCAATTAGTAAATGCTTCATGTCTCGTGACCTATGCACCGAACTGTGTGCTCTGCCGTCACCCGCTCTTGTATTTATATCCTCTCCTACCGTGCAATCAAAACAGCATTACAGGTGTGCCCAATTAATTTTTGCGTTCGCTCGGGGAGCGTTATCTGGCTCTATGCATTTCAAAAGACCGAATCATTCAATTATCATAACCGTTTCAATAGGCTTGCATGTGGTGCATACAGTAGGGGATGGCAATGATTTGTAATGCATTGGGAATGATCTTGTTTATAAATTAATTGATTGAGTTCATTTACTTTACTACCTATCTACGAGTATTGTAAACAATTGCCGTTTTAGATGAAGTTTCGTTATGTGTTGACAAGTTTGTGTGCTTAAAACCATCCCACCTGACTGATAGATTCAATAACTTAATCCTTTCTACACAACATTTATATCAGAAACATTCTATTCAATTACAACATAATTGAAAACAAGAGAGAATGCTACAGTCGAGCAAGCCTGACTGTACCAAGTACGGGTTTGGTTATGCAAGCTCTTACTTGCTGAGTTCCTTGCGCTCATACAGACAAGATGGCTAATCGACTCGTCATCCTGATATACGAGTATACTTATTGGGGTCTGCTACACCTTCTTCTACATACATTCCCACTAAACTAGTATTTACCATTTACCCATTTACCCTTTGGATACAAGGTATGAAAAGAAACACCGAATACCATTTTAAATCTAGTAACTTCTTGATCACAACGAATGTTTCCAACTGTCTCTTACATAGATTGCATTTATTTGCACATTGTACTATCTAATTTTGTACCATCGGAAAAAGCCAATGTCGCTGCAGAGTTGCCAGCGATAAAACTCTGCTTATATAGCATAATACGTCATATAGAAAATGTTTGCTGGGTTTGTACATGTTTCTAGTTTACTAGTGTAGTACATACATATGTACATACATTTAAAGTAGGTGTGGTGCTATATCTTTGATATTGGCTGAGGCACGAGTGTGTCTGGTTAGTCTGTTTAAGGTTCGGTTCAATTATTTAATTGACCCTCCCGATAGCTTGCCTCATGCCATAACTTGTAAAAGTCTGTGGCACGTTACTCATGCAGCCAACACTATACAAGTATACTACCATACTATACATCTCTTACACAAATCTTGATGGCTTGTGCTGCTCAGTTATTGATTTACCTTTGGCATGACATCACGGCAACCGAACTTTTCCGACCTTCGGCTCGTTGACGAGTTGACCTTAGACAATAAGTTGACCCGCCGGCACGACGTACTTACTCTGAAAGCCACTCTCCATTTCTTTTTAAATAGGCGTGCGACATTTTTGTCTGCTCGCTCTGACGCTGCAATGACATCATCATCAGTCTATATACATACATAAGTGTGCACATACATACATATATACGTTTGTATATGTACATACATATATGTGTTATATTTGTAGCTCTAGCAACACAGTATACATACGTATCGATTCGGAAGCTATTTCTATCTCTCTAAAATTGTGCTCAATAGCTTAGTCGGTTTTTTGTCTTCCGAACTGAACTGGTGTGAAGTTTATTTGTGAAACCGAGTGAAATCGCAGCTTGCTTACCCATACACATGTACTTAAATACACTGACACACAATTTGGCTCAACTTTTACATTCAGCGATGTTTATGTCGCGCTTGAGTTCAGAATACAGATAGAGATGGGCATTCGCCGTTTTTAAAAATCATTTTTTTTTGAAAAACAAGGCACTTTATTTAGAAAATGAATGTTGTTTGAAATACACGTACTGGCGAAAATCGTTGAAAATACAATTAAAAAAAAAAAAAATATAAGAAATTTAATTTTGTACCCATCTCACACAAATTTTATAAAATTGTTCCATTTCAAACAATCGATTTTCAAATATGTAGTTAAGCAAGGTTTGGTTGACGTTTCTGCGCATTATCTGCGGCCGCAACAATAACGCCAAAAACAAAAAACCTCAGCTGTGATTCTTCGTATTTACTCTTTGCCTTTTGTTCATAAATCCATTTTACTTACATACATAATACATACATATAGCTGACCAGCTTCCAAGCCGGTTTTGTTGACGTATCTAGTCTTGAGCCCACATTGTTTTCATCTTTCTAGCTTTATTATGTTAACCACAATCACAGAATTTTAACGTGTTTATGTTTTATACTCGTATAAGCGTTTGCTTCTTTATGTCTCAGTATGTGCCTTTATTAAATTAATCTGCGTTGTAGAAAAGAATTACGTTGCATAAGGCCCCATTCCCTAGAGCGAGTATAGAGTATAGAGGCAGCGAAAATCGTAACTCTTGAGAAGTTTCGTTGGACCAGTCTGAAGCTATGGCTAACAGAAATTTAAAGAAATATACAAGTATGAAAACAGGGCTAGCTAACATTTTCGAATCGCAAACATTTTGTGAATAGCTCGCAGTCGCAAAAGGCAAAAGCTGTGTAAATAATATGTTGACGAATTCTTTTGCGATTTGAGAAATATGTACACATATTTCATTACATGTGCAAACTGTAAATAGTATGTGCATGGAATATACATATATATGTATACGCTGTATCCGAAGGGTTACTATAAAGTCTAGAAAACGCCAAACGCTTTAGCCAGCGAAAGGAGGTGTTACAGACCCTACTATGTTACCGATACAACTAATAATGAATTATCTTCGACATTCTTATGGAACCAAAGTAACATAAGTATATTATTTTGTAAGATTATTTTGTAATCAGTATAGCATCTGGGTAAATGCATTAGAATACCTGTATTCTATGGGTAAATGGTATGCATACATATACTTATACATACATATTGTACATGCTAGAGTAAGATGAAAATTCGTTTTCTTTTCTGAAAAGCTCTCCGCAATCACTTTGGTCTCGCTATATCGATCGCTACTCATATGAAAGCGGTTTCAACATGCAAAAGTGCGCCGTTAATAAAAACAAATACCGAAGGGGCCCATATGACATCACATACTATAAATTATTCAAATATTTTCGCTTTGTTTATTCTATATGCATATGTACGTGTATGTATGTATGTACATTGAGAAATGTATGTATATGTACATACACAGCATGCCATCTAGAAAAGCTTGAATGCTTAGCTGTTTGGATGTTTGTCTGTTTGGCTGTTAAGCCACTTGGCTGCTCAACCGTTCTGGTTGTTCGGGCACAATGTTTCTATTCGAGTGAGCGGTGCGCAGCGCACACGTCACTTTTTGTGAACACAATGCTGGTTGAGGTAGGAAGACGGAGCTAATTTATAATAGTTATAATTGCTTTATGATGCTGCTGTCCACAGCTGATGTCATGAATGTACAAATAAATCAAAATAAGTTTCTACGCCCTCTGAGGCAATAGTATCAAACACGATGCAAAAATGTCGCCCTGCAATTGAATGGAATGTAATCAGTAATGCCCTCTGAAATCCTAGCGTATTATTTGTTTATGTTTTGGCAATTAAGAACAGCAGCATTGCCATTAAGTGTGATGCATGAAATTATTAATAAGTCAACAATATTGATCGATATGATTACGCATGCTTGGTCATATAAAAGCTTGACTTTGAATGCAAAAGGTGCAGTCTATGCTTGAACGTTTTTTAAAATGAATCCTAGCAGGCACCACGAAAAAAGTTAAATCAATTCCCCTACTATAAAGGTATGATCTATAAATACTAAAACGCTCAATTACCTTACAGCTTCCCTAAAAAATTTGGGCGACAAGACCGCCAACCTGTTCAGCAGAAAGAAGGACGAGGCCGAAAAGTTGGCTAACGATAAAGCTACCGAAGCCCAGAAGTTAGCCGAGGAGCAGGCCCGAAAGGTTGGCCAATCGGTGCAGCAAACTAAAAGCGAAGCCGAAAATTTGGCCACAAGCACCGGTAAGTTTTTAATTCATTAAAACAATCATAATGCCTAATCCTAATTTTAAACACATCAACAGCCAAAGAAGCCGCCGCCCTGGCCAATGCTGAAGCCCAAAAAGCTGGTCAGGCCATCGACCAAGGCGTGAATCGCGCTTCGGCCGCCGTCAATCAAGGCAAGCAGGCTATCGACAATACTTTGCAACAGGCGAACACTGCGGCTCAGAACTCGAAGCAGGTGGCAGCCAATATTGCGGATGCCTCGCAACGGGCGGCTGTCAATGCCGTTGACCAGACGAAAAAGGCCGCGAATGAGGCGATTAACAAGAGTGTGAAGGCCGCCGAGAACGTGGCCGATCAGAAGCTAAAGCAGGCCGAGGGTGCCATCGACAGCACACTCAAGAATACAAGCCAGGCAGTAGACCAGAAGCTGAACGAAGCCAATAAGTACGTGGATCAGAAGCGAGAGGGTCTAGAAAAGAACTTGCACGATGCTGCCTCCAGCGCACAGGAGAACGCTGGCCAGCAGGCCACAAATCTGTTGGGCAAGTTGCACTTGGGCCAGAAGTAGAGAGGTTTAAGAAGAGCGACGATTTAAACAATGTCATTAAATGTAATTAAAATGCTTTAAAAATTGAACACAAAAAACTGCTTCAACGTAACAAGTGCCAGCATTGTGATTGTTAAATGTTGATTGATATATTTTTTGAGTAAGGAAATTTTGTTTAACAGCAGAGCAGCTTAAATTATCGATAATTCACATCGTTTGCCAGATATAGTACATATAAGCGCAAAAAGGTAAAGAAATATGAAACTTTAATAAAACTGTTTGTTACTTTGGAGCATTTGCTTAATGAAATCTCTTGTATGTAGAATGTACTATAAACTATATATATTTTTAACTTTTGCACAATAAAGTGAATCGTATTTTTAATCATTATTTCGGATTTTTTTATTACTGCCTTTTGTAAGGATTTCAGACTCGAGTGCCACCAACGCAGCCCTCCCCCCATCCCTCTCCACTACAGAATGTGTTCAATACTGTCCACATTTCAAAGGTTACATAGACCAAATCGGTAAATTCTTACTCCAGAACTACGCCTACAAACTGCAGCATCAAGTTCGCTACAAAATTAAATTTGAATTTTTTTTATATCGAAAAACTTGCACTACGTAAATCGACTCGTCTTGTCATGCTGATCAAATATATGTGTACTTTGTGGGGTCCTTCGTCTGTCTTTTATATTTTTTACTTTGCACAACCCCCAATCTTCAATAATATCAATATACTAACATGCATCTTTACCCATCATTGTTTATTTTTCTAGGAATACAACTAAACTCATATTGTGGGTGAAATGATTCATTCTACCGTTAAATATGGGCCTAACAACGATTGGGCATCATTTGTTTATAGAAAGCATAAACTGGTTTTTGTCTAAGCTAAGATGAAAGCTTTAAAGCTTTCCGCCCGTTACAACGAATTGGTTCTACTGTGTTGAGTTTAGAATGGCTTCACAATTAAGATATTCTTGCACTTTTGTAGTAGAATTCCAACCTGAAGGATTACATATATGCATAATAGGCAACTGCATGCAGAATGTGCATAAAGTAAATCATTTATCCTATGTGTAGGAGCGAGCAAGAAGTCGCACTTGTCAGAAATACGAATCCACATTATCTATATTTTTCAACCGATCGACTTCAACATTGATTTGATTGAATACAGAATAAACTGCATTCAACGATTTTATGCTCTAAAGCTAAAAGGTACAAGAGTATATTAGGTATATTAGGTAAGCCGTGACAGAGTCTACAAAGTACTATAATTGTATATATTCTATCTTCTATAAAAGCTAGAGACACTAAACTTAAGAACAAGATGCATAATATGAATATGAAGAACATGTGTTTTTCAAAGTTTTTCCTCTATCCCCCACTTCCCCACTATTAGTAATTTTCCATAGCTCCCGTAATTCTTAGAACTTTTTAATAAAATTTGGCAAACACTTTAAGTTAGTGATTGAGTCCGTATGCGAAGTTTTAGTATGATGGGTCAATTTGAAATGTAATCTATACCCAAGCTCTGTCCACAGGTGTTGTTGTTGTTGTTGCGGCATTGGATCAACTCATGCGCACATGATCACACACAGGCACGCATAGACATGCATAGACATAGGTACAGAGTATTTCAAAGTCGCTGCACCCGACTTTAGCTTTTCTACTTATTTTATTCGGGGGTTGATTAATTAAAGCTATAACATTTTGTAAATTGTTCAAAGGAAAAGTTTGTGTTATTCAAAAATGTTAAGAATATAGAAAAGCATCTCGGACAGTTATGACCTAGAATTATATACCTTCGAGTTCATATTATCCTTGGCCATAAACAGTACAAGTATCTGTCTTACCCTGATAGACTAAAGCAGCAATAAAAACAACAGTTGCTTACAGATTATGCACACATTACATTTACTGGTATAGCTTCATTTAAAATTCTCTCAATGAGTCTTAAGATGAAGGTACATACTTGTAAGACACACATCTCTTATACTTTCAGAGACCATTGCTTTCATACGGACAGACGGGCATTTTTAAATCGACTCGTCTTTTCATGCTGATCAAGAATATATATAAATACATACTTCACTCGATTAAGCATTGTGGACAGGGTATAATTAAAATGAAATAAAAATAATAAAAATATAACAATTATATAACACATATGTACATTGAGTCGTACGGCATCAATAGAATACATTTACATAAATATTGCGTCTATGTGTGTCTATGTATGTGTGACTATGTGCTTGTGTAAGTGGGCAGTACAGAGTTGAGCCAAAGCAACAGCAACAACAACAGCTGCGGGCAGAGCATTGACAGAGAGTACACTTATGGCTATAACTTCCTTGATATTAGACCCATCATCATGAAACTTAATATGAGGACACATAAGTCCTTTCTCGGAATTGGGAGAATCTGGATCTAGAGACAGATAGACGAACAGACAGACGAACAGACAGACGGACAGACAGACGGACAGACAGACGGACAGACAGAGGGACAGTTTTAATAACGACTCGCCTTGCCATACTGATTAAGAATTGCGCCTCTTTATGTGCGTTACATAAATTCGTAAAAAACTAGTATGCCCTTTTACACTTTGTGTACAGGGCACGAAAAAAAGAAAGAAAAGCTACATGGCCAGTTAGTACATAGTAGCATACATTAAAGTTTGAAATCCACATAAAGCTGAATGTCCAGTTAGTTGTTTATATGGGCTTCCTTTGTCTGCAGTCAAAGCCACAAATGTTGTTAACATGCTCAACTTTTTAAGCAAAATCGGTACAAAATATGAGCAGGTCGAAAAGTTTGAGCTTTTAATTATGCTCACAACTTTTGTTGCAAAAACTTTAAAAAACATTGCAACGTAAATTAGACACAAAACTCAAACTCAGACAACATACATATAGTAGAGTGTATAGAATGCAATGTGTAAGGCTTTCATATTGGCACCTAATGGCAGCCATGGCTGACAAAAATTTATGTAAACGCGATTTTTAATTTCAGATAAACTTGATTGTTGATTACGAGCAACGTGGGCGAGCCCGTGGTTGGCCATTTAGAAGTGATAAATGCATTTCATAGCGAAAAGGACACAGTTTGCAGTCCAATCTGCGTACCTGCATAACAACTGGAATTCGAGTTCAGGCTTACAGCCTTATAGCATTTGAGGCGGTTCCATTTGAAAATTTATGCCTTGACAAAATGTCATGCCAATTAGACGCAACGGAACGTTAAGGCTAAATATTGTAGTTGACTTAAATTTAAATGTTGTTAAGCTTTCGTTTCAAACGCAAACCCAAAGTTACCTCACCTAACGATCAATTAAAATAACTGTTTATCAACTCTTATTAATCATGTTTAAACATGCGCCAGGCTCGAACAGAGTGCCATGCACGCAGACGGTTCACTTTGGCGCCCGTGGATGTTAGGTTTTTGTTTTTGTTTTTGGGTCTACATGAAATTATAACACGCATGGGCAGCTCGCATCGCCAATCACCTCCCGCCATCGGCACATCTTCGAGGGCACCATAATAATGGAGAAAATTTGTGCTTTGGTATTCGTTGCATTCGCATATCGCAAACTTTGAGCAATTAGAGTGCGATATTTTTGAAAAATTAACTACAAATCCCCAAACACTTGTGTGGCTGAGTTTTAAATTACAGTTTCACGTTCTCCACTGCCCTCTGAGTGGAGTTGCATTAATCAACAAGTTTAAATTGGCACGTGACCGTAAAGTATGTGGCATGGTCATGTATGTATTAATGGCACAAACATTTATTATTTTTTAAAAGATAGCGATTATTATTAATTGAGAAATACGTTGTTCAAGCACGTGTTGGCCGACGATAACAATATTTCCTGTATTCCTTGACATAAACCATTTTCCATTTCCTACCCTACAAAAAATGTTGCCATATAAAGTCGACCACAGGCTCATTATTATGACGCACTATTTCGCCTTAAAATGGAACTAAGTTGGATTTATTGAAGTTTTTATAGCCTGTACCCAAAGGGTAAAAGGCTATATTGGTTTTGTGCGAATGTATGAAACACACAGAAGGAGGCGTGGCAGACCCCACAAAATATATTTATTATTTATCAGGATGACAAGACAAGTCGATATAGCTATGTCCGTCCGTCCGTCCGTCCGTCTGTCTGTATGAGCGCAACGATCTCAGCAAGTACAATAGCTAGGATAACCAAACTTGGCATTCAGGTTCCCCTAAGCCTCAGGCATCGAGTTTGTGATTTTTTTCTGATACAGCCCCCCACTCCCCCGCAATTCGTGGTTTTCCTAACTCCGGTACGCATAGGCACGTGATGTAAATGTATTCTGTTAAAACTGAACATAAACATGTCTTCTAATTTAATTTTTTTTAATTTCTTTTTTTTTTTAATTTTCTTAATTTAATTTTTTGGCCCCGCTTTTGGTAAAAGCTTCGAGCGCCCTTGGCCATTAATGTCATCTCTGCCAAAGTTCTGCCCGCAGAGGTTGTTCTTGCTGCTTTGATTTATTTCTGTACTGCATACATAAACGCATATAAACACGCATAGACACGATTCTGATTAATTAATTAATTAATTTGTTAAACTATAAATATTTCCTTTAAAAATGTATTTGTAAAATAAGTAAATATATTTTCCCCTTTTTTCTGGCAATGGGTCCTAGGTATTTAAGAGTTGAGCTCGCTCGAGTCTAGGATTCCTTTCTTGTTTTGATTCGAACCAGATAACTATAGCATTTACATACCTCGATAACTACTAGTACGTATATGGCCCGGCTAGAATGATTTGGGACTGCCCTCGTATCTGCCATAGCAGCGATCGGTGCAAAAATCACTCTTAATACAATTGATTTTCGGTGCACAGTTCATGCCGAAATCAAACTCAATCCCATTAAGACATTTTAAAGTTAGAAAAAATCGTATGTGGGGATATAGTATTTATTTTAGATTTTTAGCTCTGTTCAGAGCACCTTTACGATTGTGGCTCCATCGTAATTGACGTGCTGGCAACGGCGTTCAATAGCTGCATAAAATGCGTGCACAGTTGGTGTCGATGGAGTCGCCTAAAT